ATAAAATGAACTAAGATTTTGTTAATTTAGATTATTAAGAGTTAATTTAAAACATTAATGATAATAATAAGGAATAGGAATAAAGAAACAATTAAAATATTGTTTTTTTAAAATAAATTATTAATGATTATTTAAATAAATAATATTACTAATAAATTTAAAGCTTTATTATTTTAAGTTCAAAAAAACTTATATAAAGAAATATTCTCTAATTTTTAAAATAAAAAAAATAAATTTTTTTCAAATTTATCTTTGAAAAATACTGTAGAAAATGGCTAATATAAATATAAAAGAAAAATAACAAAAACTTTTTATTATTAAAAACAATTGATAAATTATAAAAAATTTATATCATTTAGTAAATACCTATATTTTTAAAATGGCATATTAAAAATCTTAAGGAATTTAATTTTTTTGAAAATGTAAAATTTATTATTAATTTTGTTTGTATTAATTATATTTTAGTTTGAAATAGATATAGAAAAAAAGAATTTAATTTTTAAAGAAAAAATAAAAAATACATATGTTAAATTCATATAATAAGTATTTAAATTTAAATTTAGGCATATTTAAAAAGTTTGGAAATTTAATATAAAATAAGTATAAGTGATTTTTTTTTAAAGAGAAAACTATTTTATAACAAATATAAATATACATAGAATTATTTAGCTTGCTTTTATTATAAAAATAGATATTTACAAATACCTTTGTATAATTTTTATGCTAAATAAATCTTAAAATATATGATCAATGCCTAATAGTTTAATTATAGAAATTATGTAAAGAAATAACATTTTTTTATATGATTTTTAAATAGTTTGAGTTTAATGATTAGAATTAAAAATTTAATGTTAGTATTGATAAAGCTTAATTTATTTGTAAATATAAGCTTTTTTAAATTCTAAAAGGAAAAATATTATACTATATCTAATATAAAAAAGTATAAAGGAAGTTTTCACCAACTAACATTTAAATTAATTCTTAGTTAATTATATTTTTCTAATTATAAAAGTAATTAAATATCATAAAATATAATGCCTAAATGACTTTCATTATTAACCTTAGTTAAAATAATATATTGAAAAAATTAGTCGAATGTAATTAATATTCAATTAGTTTAAAAAGTTATGAATTTAAATATTTAAAATATAAATTAAATTAAAATTAATTAAAAAATACAATTATTTTTTCATAATATGTAAAAAAAAAAATATACATATATAAATTTTTAAATTTAATAAAAAAATTAGTTTAAATTTAATAAAAATGAAATGAAGTTTGCATTTAAATAAAATGCTTAATATGAAATTAAAATTTGCATTATTTAATTGTTTTTTAAAATGAGAATTGCCAAATATAAATTAAAAAATAATAACAATTGCTTAAAAATTACTTGCTTAAAATTAATTAAAAGAATAACAAACAATTGTGTATTATTCCTAATTAATGATATATAATAAAATAGATTTTGGTTAAGTTTAGAAAGAATTCAAAGGATTAATAAAAATTAAAAGTTTATGTATTAATTGTAAATAAATTAATAATAATATAAGTACTTCTTTAGGAATTCAATTTCTTAAAAAAATTATGATTTTATATATGAACAAGTATTTTCAAAATTAAAAATTAAAATTTAATTTTTATTAAAAAAAAAATTAATTATCTATTTATTAAATAATAAATAAAAAATTAGTTAAACTTTAATTTTTACTTGTTATAAATTGAGATAAATCAGAATTAAGATTAAATTGAAAATTAGATATAAATATAAAATTTTACTGAGAAATTTATTATAAATTTTTTAGTAGTAAATTATTTATTTTAAAATGAAATTTATATTTAAAAATAAAATAGGCTGAAAAATATATTGTTAGTTGTATTTTAAAAGAGTTTACATTAGAAATATCAGATAAGTAATATAATAATTTTTTATAGATAAATAATTAAATTATATATTCTAATGATGTTTTTGATTCACTTAAAACTTTAAAAGATAAATAGAAAGATTTATATTAACTTTCAAAAAATATATTTTACAAAAACTAATTTATATTTAATAAAATTCTTATGGATGAAAAAATAATATAAAATAATATTATAAGTATTTTTTTAATCACAGATATTAAAGGAGTTTAATAATTAGAATTTAAAGTTTTAGATAATAAGAATATTCAAAAGGAATTATTAAATATTGAAAATAAAAAAACAAAAAAATTAAAAACCTAATAAATTATATTAATAGTCTGAAAATTTCTATAATAATTATTAAAAAAAATTAAGAGCAATAAAATGCTACACACAAGACTAAAAAAAGTAAGCCTAAAAAATATCAAATAAATTTTACTTTTAAATATATAATAAATGTTTAGAATTTGAAATAAATAATAATAATATAATATTAAACGTAAGAATAATATTAGGAAAATTCAAAAATATATTATATCTTAAATTATATTTATTGAAAGAAGGAAAATTTATATATGATAAATTATTAAAACTTTATAATATTGATTAATATAATTTAATGAAATATAAATATATAACTTTAAAATAAGCTATATTTTATAAATACAACTAAGGTTTATTTATTGATTTATCAAGACTAAAATTAAACTATTTATTTTTATATTAATTAAAAAAAATTTTGTTTGATACAAAATAATAAAAATTAATAAAAGCTTTTTATGAAGAAAAAAACTAAATTTTATTAATTTCTTAAAATTAAAAATTTAATTAAATTTATTCAGTTTAAAATATAAATGATTGTATTAAAATAGTTAATAACATAATTGTATTTAAAGATAAATTATAAATATATAGCCTAGAATAAATTGACAGTATTTTAAAACTGTAAAACTTTTATAAAAATTAAAGACTAATTAAAAAAGAAAGATTTAAATTATTTATAAATGATATTGATGGTAATTAGTAAATAATATAAGGTGAAGCTCGTTTAATTTAAAAGTTTATAAATTGGAATATTTAATTATATATAATTGATTTTCATAATTAAAAAAATAATTTTATAATTTAAGAAATTATAAACTTGAATAAAATAGATAAAACTTAAAAATAATTATTAATAAAGTATTTTTTCTATTTTGTAAACAGTAATATTGAATAATCTGAAAATGATAACTAAAAAATAAAATTTAAAAATTAAAATATTTTTAAATATCCATTGAAAGCAATTTAATTATTCTAAAAAAACTAAATTTGAAGAAATAAAATAAAAAAAATTAAATTTTTAATAAATATAATTAATTAAATATATTTTTATTAATTTTTAGAAATTTATAATAATTTAAAAATAATTATAATAAAATTAATTTAATTTAGTTTAATTATATATAACTTTTAATATTTTTTTTAGTTTTTTTTTTTTTTTTAAAATTTTTATTTTATATATTTATTTTCTATATTTATTCATATAATTGTATTTTTTTCTAATTTATGATAATATCTAATACATTTAAAATTAAATAATTTTTAAGAAATATAATAAAATACGTAGTTTAAATTAAGGTTTATAGGTTTTTAGCAGATGCAAGCTGTTTTCCATTTATAAAAAGAGATTAAAATATAAATATATATTTTGATATAATTTTATTTTTAATAATAAAAATAGTATTAATTAGTATTAAAGGGGTTATATATTAATAAAATATAATTTATAATTTGATTCCTTTAATTTATTTTACATTTTTATTTAAATACATTATTATTATAATAATGTTCAATATTTTATTTATAATTATACAATAAGACATTCATAAATAAATTTGGTTTTTTTTTATAATATTATTTATTAATATATCCTTTTATTATTTATATAATAATATAGAAAAGAAAAAATATCTTTAATAATAATTAATTACATTTAAAAAATGTATCGCATTCCTGAATATAAAAAAATATTAATTATTATTTTTATATATATATATTATTAATATTTATTAAATTATTTAATTATAAGATTTTTTCTTTTATAATAAAAAAATTATTTATTTATAAATATTTTTTTCTTTTATATTTTATATATCTATATATAATTTTTTTATTATTTTCATTTTTTTTTATTTATTAAAATTTACGTTTTTAAAATATATAAAAATCTTTTGTATTCTTTATCATTCTATAGGAATAATAGTTTTTTATAGTAATATAAGTAAAACACTATTTATTTATATATTTAAAAAAAACATTACATATATTATGTTCTATTAAAATCAGAATATTTCAGAAAATTATGTACTTGATAAGCTAAATTAAAGATTAATGGGTAATATATAAGATATAAAGAAACAAAGGGGAAAAGTTTTAATGAACAATAATAAACAAGGTTATAAATAAAAAAATAATTAAAATTAAATATTTTATAAAAATATATAGGATGAGAATCTATTTTTCGAATAACATTTCAAATTAATACTTTTAATATAAAACATTTAAGATATGTGTAAAATACATATATTTAAAAAAAAATATTTTAAGTTAATAAAATTTTCTGTATGTCAAATCATGGGGAAAACTCATCCAGATTATTCATTACTACAGAATAATGCAAATAACTTAATGAAAAAAAAAAAAAAAAAACTCTATTTTTGGAAAAAATTAGTTGAAGATTAATAATAATTAATTTTTTACTTTTATAAAGAAAGTAATATTAGTGAAATAAATAAAAAAATTAGTAATTAAAAATTGTGGAGAATTTTAGAGTATTAATTTTATAATGAATTAAATAATATAAATTGTTAATTTATAATTAAAATAATTAATTTTTTAATTTAAATTAATAAATTATATTGTAATATTTTTATATTAATTTGAGTTTTATAAAATTAAAAGGAAAATAATTATCATATATAATAAAAAATACTGTTTGAATAAATATAAGAAATAAAAATTAATAAAACAAATAATAAAAAAATAAAAAACAAAATCTTAATTTTTATTATAAAATTTCGAAATAAAATATATATATATGATTTTTTTATCTTCTAAAACTAAGTATTCTTAAAGAAAAAATCATTTTTTTTTCTTTAGCCCTGTATCAACCGCTTCCCTTGGTTTTCTTTCAATTTTTGTTTACCTAACATCACTAAGTGCTGTTTTTATTTTGAATTTAGCGTCAAGAAATTTATCTTCAGCAATCCCGTTTCCACCATAATCACCAGGACCTGGAGATTATTCAATATTTTCTTTGAACCTTTGTTATTCAGGAATAGAATATTTAGGTACACTCATTTTAAGAGAAGTGGAACTTTCAATAGTTGAAAATCCAGTTCCATGAACATTTCTGAAATATTCTTTTGAATACAAAACAGGGACTAATAGATGATTATTAGTAGTTACATAAGGAAGTTTTACAGGGATAGTATCTAGTACAATATCTTTTTTTTCAAGTAATAACTATTAGTTTATTTTTGAAAAAATAGAGCTAGATTAGTTTGCTTTTTCTAAATGTGTAAATGATCTCATATTCATTTTTCTTTTTTCGAGTAGTTATTTTTTTTTTAGCAATTCTTATAATTCCTGTCTTTCGGGAGATATCCAATATTTACTTTATTTTTACATTTATTCTAATTGTTTCTATAAATCCTCTTTTGTTAGCTTGTTTTTTAATAATATTTATATGTTATTATTTGCTTTATTGTTTTATTGATATTATATATATTAGGTTTCAAATATTAACTTCCCTATAATTTTTCCCTATATTTTTATAATTATTTCTTATTTTAAAGGATTTTATTCTTCTTTTGTGGCTTTTTCGATTTATAAAATTGCTAATCCTAAAAACTCGTCGACTAAAACTTCCTATTTATCTTCATCATAAAGTACTTCTTGTATATCAAAATAAATAAGCTTTTAATTACTTATGTATATATTATAAGAATTCTAAAATTAAATCTGTCCTTGCTTTCCTTTTTAAAAGTCTGATTTTTGGAATGTATCTCCGCTCCTTATTTTCACATAATAAGATAAATCATGTATTTTTTCAGAAATTATTTGTATTTTAGATATTTAGATGTGCCCTTTATGATTTTTACGCTTTTGATTTTCCTCTAGTTCTCTCTATAGTTTTTATGAATTGCTGGTTTTTTCAAATTGTATTTCAGCGTATACCTTTCCTGCTAGTTTATTATCATAATCAAACAATAAGTCTATTTCAATTTACTGTCTTCCCTTTTGCTTTGCGTTTTGCATGGCATTATATATTCCTTATCCAATTAATATATCTCTTTCTAACAGATTCTTTAACGGTCCATAATAATATTCCTTTTTGAATATTTATATAATTATTTTATAATCTGAATTTCTTTAAAACTCATATTCAATGTTAAATTCTGGCTCTAAATTTCCATTTTTTACTTCTTCAGTTGTTTTTCTTTGACCATCAAATTATATTACAGCCCAAGGACTCTTTTTTTTTATTATTGTTTTTTTTAATATTAATTATTTTTAATTTTGTTTACTTACCATACTTTAAAATTAATCACCTTTTCTGATTATTTTTGCATTTAATAATTTAAAAATTAATTTTCTGAGCATTTTTGTTATGTTTTGATTATATTAGTTCTTTGGTTTATTTTTTTGTATTTTAAAAAGTGTAAAAACTTTTATTTTTAATTATTTATATATATATTTTGGTATATAAATTTATTTAATTATATTAAATTATTATAAAATATTTTATATTGTTTCATTTTTTATTTGTATTATATTAATATACAAATTTATAATATAAATAATTTAAATTATTTAAATTTTAAGTAAAAATATATTTAATTTTTCAAAAACAAAAATTATTTAATTGATATTAAAAAAAAAAATTTATTTCATATAAATAAAAATCAATTAACTATTATATTTATGCTTCCTGTATATCATCAAAATAAGGTTCTTTAAATAAAATTGATTTCCTGAAATCTTACATGGACACTCTTTTTTAAAATTTAAAACTTTAATTAGAAATATTAATAACCAATTTATTGATAACTCTATAAATAATTTTATCATTTTTTTAAAAATAATATTCCTCAATACATCTAAAGTTTATTAAAAAGAAAATCAAAATTGATTTTTTTTTAATTATTTTATAAAACTTGATAACTAAAAATATAATTTTTAAAACTTATATGCAAACAATATTTATATTTAATTAAAGTTTAGCGATATAATTAATTATCTATCTAAACTAATATACAACAAAAAATCAAGTTTTATTGATTTTTTATATCTAAAATAAATAAAATATGAAATATTTTGTAAATAAGATATTAACTATAATGTTATTTCTTCCTTTTAAATATTAAATATTTTATATCTGGGTTTTTTTTATTGATCTTAATGAAAGCCCATAATTACTTAATTTTTCGATTTTTGTAAATGAACTTTCAATTTATGAGTTTTTGGAATTTTCGAAAATATTTTAATATAGAAATATTAAGATACTAATCTTTTATATATTTTTATTTTCTCTAAATATGTTAAATGCTTATATTTTATTTTTTTATAAAATTTCAATTAAAAAAAACTGAATTTATATAGAATAAGTATTATTAAATTACTCTATGTTATATTTTTTTATCTATTGACATTAATTATTTAGATTTCTTATAATTAAGGCTATTAAGTAAATATAACTGCTTTCTTATTATATTCAATTAATACGTTTACATATTAGGCTGTTTTTCTTTTTAATATTCGTGTGTTTAACTGTGTTTACTTTGTTAATCATTTATATTTTTTGCTTTTCTTATACCTTTATGTTGTTTTTATTTATCTATAGTTTATTTAATTTTAAATAATTTTCGCTTTGATTTTTATTCCACCTATAGTGCTAATTATTAATGATCATAAATTTTATTTTAAAGCTTATTCTGACAATATATTTAAAAATTTATATGTATTTAAAAAATTGTTTTTATTTGATTACTTTTTATATTGATATATGTTTATCCTTATCCTTTTTATTTTTAATTTTTTAAAATTAAATAAAAAATCATAGTTCAGAATATTAATCTAAATTTTAAAATGCTTAGACTATATTTTTAAAAGTGATATTTTTTTAATCGAATTACATTAGAATTTAATTATTATATTAAGATATTAATTAAAAAAAGAATAAAACAATTAAACTAAAAAAAAAAAAAAAAAGCTTTACAAAATAATACATAATAATTATAAAATAAAAAAAATACAAATTAATTAATTAAAAAAATAAATAAAAAATATGTAATCAATTATAATGCTTAAAATTATAAATATGAGTAAGCCCAGCATCATTACCTATAGCAAGATATTTTCCATTATGACTAAATTTGCAGGCACTAATAAGCTTAACCTAAGTTTTGAAATTAGGCCAATTAGCAAATACTGTAAAAGAGGGTACATGAACTAATCTAATAGCATTTATTTTCCATTTCGAAGCACAAAGAAGAATTTCATTTTATGAATTAAATGAAAGATTATCAATTGATGTAGTGAGGTTTTATATTTCTTTAATAACTTCCTTTTTCATTTTGTTTGTATTTTTTTCGTATTCAAATACATTCACAACTCCACTATCGGAAGAAGCTGCAAAAAAACCTCCGTTTGAAGACATTTTTATATTATTAGTACATTAACTTCCTTCATTAAGAAATACATCAAAAATACTTCTTTTAGAAAGATCCCATTAGTATATTTTGTTAGTTTTTCCTCCTGAAAAGAGGAATTTACTATCAAAGGAAAAGCAAAGAGATTTACATTCTTCATTCATTTTAAATTCAAATAAGAATTATTTAGTATGAGCATTAAGAATCATAATATAGCCCTCTGAACTATAAACTGCGATGTAGTTTTGGTCTGGAGAAATTACGAATTTGTCGATTTTGGATGAAAATCTTTAAGTAAATAAATGAGAGGATATTTTTTCGACTTTATCAGAAACTAAGTCATAATATAGGAGGTGTCTTTTATTTTAACTTGCGAGTAAAATTTAATTTTTTTAAAGAAGAAATTAGGCTGTAGATATAGGAAAGTTTTCTACATAAACTTATTTTAAAAGTTTAATATTATCCCTAAAAGCAGGTTTATTTTCTCTTATAGTGAAAATTTTGATTAATTAATCTAATCCAGAAGTGAAAAAAACTAGATTATTAGTGTGAAAATCTATATCTTGGATAACTGCGTTGTGTTTATCCTTGATTGGAATTTATCCTATTCTTTCTATATCGACTATTTCGTTTAGAAGATTTTAGGGTTTGTAGTTATCAGTGTAAACAGAATATTGTGTTTGGAGCATTTTATCTAATATTTAGTTTGGGTTATTATCATATTCGTTGTCTTAAATTACGGATTGTTAATGGATTTAGTTTTATTCATCATCAAATGCCCAACCGTAGAAATTTGTGGTTTTTAATTTATCGTTGTAAAATTATTTTAGACGGGTTTAATATTCTTGGCCGGTTATAGTTTTTTCTTCTTCAGTTTTACGTAGTTTTCGTAATCTCGCAACTTTTGTGATATCGATTTCTATTTTAGAATCTTCTACGTCAAACCATGCTGCGTCTTCGATTTGGTTTGTTATTTTTATATTTATTGGTTAATCTATTTAGGGCTTTTTTGTGGGTATATTGGTTAGACTTTCATCATTTATTATGTCGTCTAATTTTTCTAATTACTTTTCCATTTTTACCTTTTTTATTGCTCTTTAATTTAAGAGCTTGGACATTTTTTTTATTGTTTTTTTATTTTTATTGCCAGACTTGTTTTCAGGTAGAGTGCTTTTCAGTGTTTCTTTTGCCATTATTTTATTTATGTTATTTTTTATTTAATATTTTATTCTTTATTAATAATATAAATTTATTTTCTTGTTATTTTTATCCTACTTTTATTATAATTTATTTTTAAAAAAATTAACAATTATATTTTTAATAGTTTTACCAAAAAAAAAGTAATTTATATATTTTTAACAAATAAAGAATAATTAAAATTTAAGTATTTTTTTTTAAAAAAAAAATAAATAAATATAATTATAATAAAAGTTCAGAAAAATAATCGGCTATATAAATATATAATTAATACACAGTCATAAATATTCTAATTTCTTATAATTTACATAAAAAAATTATTTATATATTTTGATAAACTTTTTTAAGTAAAAGAAAATAATAATTTAATATAAATTTTTTGTTGTTTAAGAGATATTTTAATTTTTTACTGAAAGGAAAATTAAATTATATATTTTTTAAAAGATTTAATAAGTTTTATAATATATTATATATTAATTATATATACAATTGTGTAGATAATATTTATATAATATATATATATATATATTTATTTTAAATATATATTTTTTATTTATTGAATATTAATTATTATATAAAATCAATTTATTCAACTCTAAAATTAATTAATACTATCTAAAAAAATAAAAAAAATATATAATCAATATTATTATAATATAATTTTAATTACTATTTGAATTTATTATATATTATTTTTTTCTTTTCTTATTTCCTTCACTAATCTCTTCTGTGACTGTTTTAGTGCCATCTTGATTAGTAACAACAGTTTTTCTAATTGTTTATTACTATCCATTTCTTTTAAATAATATACTAAAAATTAAAATATATAATTACACTATTTTCGTTGAACTTTAAATACTCTAAGAAGATCCAAATCCTCTTCCAGAGCTAAACTACTATTACGTTTATAAATTTCCTTATTATCCGGAGAAGAAATCATTACTAACAAAAGGACCATTATTAAAGAAATTACTACTTCCAAAGAAATTATTATTAAAAAAATTGTTATTATTAAGTAAAGACTATCTTTACAACATATCATTTTAATTATTAAAATAGTTATTATTAAAGAAATCAGGTTAATTATTAAATGCTTATTATTGGAAAGTATTACTTTTAAAAAAGCCTTATTTTTGATTTGCTTTATGGACTTTTTTAAACGGAAAATTGTTTCCAAAAAACTAAGAAAGAAAAGGATCATCGTCATCTCCAAATCCAAAATTAGTAAAGAAATTTTTAAATATATCATTGGCATGTTGATAATTTTATTAATTAAATTAATAATTTTATTATTATGCTCCTTATCCTAATCCATCGAATCCATATCTATCATAAGCAGCCCTTTTTTGCTGTTTTTTTTGTTTAGTTTTTAATATTATTAATGTATTTATTATATTATATTATTTACTGAATCAGATAAAATTTCATATGCTTCTGAGATTTATTTAAACTTAGTTGTGGCCTCATCTTTTTTGTTTTGATTTTTGTCTGGATGCCATTACAAAGCTAATTTTTTATATGCTTTTTTAATTTATTCTTCTTTAGCATTTTTATTAATACCAAGAGTTTTGTAATAGCATTCCTTTTATTAAGATTTATTACTCATATTTTTTATATATTTTTTGTATATTTTTTAATTTGTTTTTTTTTAATTTAAAATTAAATATATATTGATAATTAAATAATTTTAATTACATATATAAATATTTTTTTTTTTTTTTATATTTTTAATTTATATTTATAGAATAGAATATTGAATTTTGTTTATATTAAAATGAAAAAAAATCAATTTATATTAATTTTTTCATATAATTACGAATTATTTTTAATTTATGTGGATAATTATTTTTTTATATCTTTTTAAATTAAAAAATAAATGTTTTATTTTTGTTTTTTTTATGGAAATATATATATATAATAAATTAGTTATTAAATTATTTAAAAAAAAAAATTAATAAAAATATAAAAGAATGAACAAATATATATAAAAGTAAATTTAATAATCATATCAATTATTATCTCCATTAAGGCATTTTTAATTTCCCTCCAATTCCAAGGACATTACCTCCAAAAGTATTACAAGAAGGTCCAAATCTATCAACTTTACCTAGATTATCATATTTTTGAGTAACTCTTCTTTCAGCAGTTTTTGTTTAGTCTTGGAATTTAGTTTAAACATAATTAAATTTATCCTTATTAATTTATTATAAATGATTAATTTTTTCTTATTCTTCTTAAACTATAGCTTTTTTAAGAATAGATTTGAATTATAATTTTTTAATAAGAAAATCTTATTTTTATTTAAATTAAGTAAATTTATTTAAGTCGAAGTTTTTTTTTTATTTTTCAAGAATTTATTATTATAATTTATCTTAAAATATTTTTTTTTCTTTATTATATTTTTAAATTAACATTTTCTATTCTTCTCTTTTTTTTTGGAATTTTTTATAATTTTCCTTTTCTATTATTAATTTTTCTTGTCTTTAAATTTCCTCTATTTAATTTTATGAAAAAAACTTTTTTTTTTAATTTTCTTTCCATTTATTAATATTTTCCTTTATTTCTTTTTTATTTTCTTATATTCTTTTTTACTCTTCTATCATTTTTTATTTCTCTATATTTTCATTTTCTTTTTTTTTTTTCTTATTATTTCTTTTTAACCTTCTTTTATATTTTTATATTCATTTATAGTTTTTTTTTTCTCTTCTTCAAGTTCTTTATACTTTACATAATCCATTGTATGTGCTATTATTTATTGTTTAGTGAATAAACCTAATGTAATTATGCATTCATCTACAAATTTTTGATTTTAATAATCATTTTTATATTTAGATACTATTTTTATGTAATCATTATGATCTTCCTTCTGCCAATTTAAATATTTGCCACCTAAATCCTTCATTTTTTTTTCTAATTAAATAATTTTTTGTTTATATTCTTCCATTTTTTATTCGAAAATAAGAAATTCTTCGCTCTATTGTTCATCTTCATATTCAAATTCATATTCTTTTTCAATTTCCTTTTATAATTTTTCATTTCTATCTTATTATTAATCTTCTTAATCAAATTCTTCGACTTCTTCATTATATATACCATATTATTATAGAATAAATTGTATTTCATCTTCTTCTTGAAGTTCTTATAGTAATTAATTATTTTCTAGTTTTTAATTGGAATTATTAATATCTAATTAATTAAAAAAATTTTCGTTATCATAATATCCGTCATTTATATTATCTTAAATTTTATATAAAATATTATTTATTTCGGTTTATTTTGTTTCTAAATCTTAGTATATTTTTTGTTGAACGCTTTTAAAATTTTCTATTTCTAGTTTTTAATTATTTTTTTATTTTAATTAATTTCGGATATTTATTATTTTCAAAAATAATTCTTATCTTTCTATTTCTCTATCGAATTAATTACATTCTATTTCTTCATTCATTTTTAATATTACACCTTTAAATTTTTATGTGGCATAATTAAAACCGAGTTATTTAGTTAAATTTAATTATTTTTGTTCAAAAATTTCATGGCGTAATTAATTATATTACATTTGCCATTATGAAATGTCCATTATTAAAATTGTATATATGTTTTTAAATTTTTACAATAATTTGATATATATTAATATTTTAAAAAAACATAATTTAATTATTATTTTTATAAAAAAAGTTTTTATATTTGAAAGAATGTTGTTAAAAATATTAAATATATATATATAGATATATATATATATATATATTTATATATATTTATATGTATTTATATATTTTTATATAAAATACTTATAAAAATATAAATATATATTTATTATTTTTATTAATTTTAAATATATTTTTATAAAAAAAATATTTAAATATTTATAATTATTTATTTTGAAACCCATAATAATTAAATTTTATCTTTTATATATAAATAAATAATATATTTCAAATCAAAAAAAAATTTCACCATCACAGAACTCAGTTCATAACGATTTAATTTTTCGCCTTTTACTAAAGATTACCGTGGACTGGGTTTATAAATGTGAATATTACAAATTTTTGTAGGAATCTTTTTAGATTCCTCTAACCAAACACACCCTTAAAATAATTAAACAAAATTTTTTTTTTTTATATAAAATTATTTATATATAAAGAAATAAAAGTAAATAAAAAATAATGTATAAAATAAAAATAAATATATTTTTATATTTATATAAAATAAAAATTTATTATATATATTTATTTTAAATAAAATAAAATAAAAAAATCTATTATGCATACAATTAAAATAAATTTCTAACTCTAAAAGCTTTTTAATAAAAAATATAATATTGTTTAATTTAAGAAAACATATATAAGTTATAAATATATAAGATATATCTAATATCTAATACATTAATTTTATTTAAAAAAATATCTTATTAAAAAATATGAAAATAATAATAATATTAAATTCAATATACATATTTTAAATATATTATATTAATAAGTCTATATTTATATATAGTTTTTCAATTATTTAATTTATATATAGCAGCGGTATATAAATACTATTTAAATTTTATATTAATATAAATACACAACATAATTTTTTTTATTATATAAATAATATAATAATTACAAAATACAAAAGATATTTAATATAAAAAAAATAAGTGTATTTTTTAATATATAAAAATATTATTGATTATTAATGAATTATTTTTATAATAATACTAAAAATATTATTTATTAAAAATTTAGTTAGAAATATTTGATTTATTATATTTAAAAGTTTTATTTAAAAAACCTTTTCTTTAATTATATACCATTTGTATTCCTATTATAATTAAAAAATTAAGAAATATTAAAACATGAAATTTTTTAATTTAAAACGAATTTAATATTATTTATAAGAAATAATTTTTTTTTTTTTTGAGGAAGTCATATATTATTTTATAAAACTAAAAATTTATTAATTTCTTTTTAAAATAAATAATAAGATTTTAATTATTTATAATAAAATTGAAATTTTTATTTTATTTTTATATATTTTTTTCCTGCGTTAAAAATAATAATTATTGTTTATACAATAAAATGGAAGAATATATTGATTAAATAAAAAACTATTTTAATAGCTTTTAATTAAAATTAGATATTGATTATATAGCATATCAAAAAAGTTTAAAGTAAAATTTAGATTGGGTTGTAGATAATGTTAACCCAGTCCCATATATCAAAGGAAAATTCGATGTAAAATAATAAATTATAAAATATTATATTTTTTTTTTTTAAAAAAAACTAGATTATGTTTACTTTTTTGAGTCAATAAAAAAGAATATTATAAAATTAAAGTTAATAGTACTAAAGAGAATTAAAATTATAAGTTTTAAAACCAATCGTTGTCAAATATAATTAATTACCAGTATAATTTTCTAGTAAAATCAAAAATAATAATTTAAAAAAAAAAAAAAAAAATTAAAAGAAATTAAAGAGGACTATATTATCAATAATCTTACTGAAAATTAGAGATTATTTGCATTATTAAGTTTATCATATATGAGTTATTATATTAGTAGAAGATGTATTTTTTTTTTATTTTAAATAATATTTTTTATTATTTAAAAGTTTTCCACAAACGTTTTGTCAAAAATTCTAAAATATTTTTAGTAAGTTGGTTTGGATTAGGATTAATAATTTACCCTTCAGCCTATAATATGATTTTTTATTTAGAAGGAAAATAATTTAATAATTAAAAAGATGAAGATGATGAATGAAATATATAATTTTTATTTAAAATAAATATCTTTTTCACAGATGATTTCTTTTTAGTATAATTCAACTATTTATTATATTTTTTTTTTTTTTTTTTTTTTTAAGAAAAAAATAAACCAAATTGCTTTATTGCAAATATTTATAAAAATAAGTAAATAAAATATAATATTATCTGTGTCAAAAAAGAAAAAAGGACATAAATAAATATTTTAATAACTTAAAATTTAAATATATAATATTTAATATCCAACTTTTTAAAAAAATATCATTTATATTTCTTTTTATTTAAAATATAAATAATAATATAATATAATAAATATTTTTATTAATTTTTAAAATTTAAATTAATTATATATAAATATTTTTTATATTATAAAATAATCTATTTAATAAAAAATAAAGGTATAAAATGTAAAACTATAAAAAAATTTAGAATATTTTTTTATAATACTTTTATATATATATTTATATATTCATATTAAATTTGAATAATTATTTCTATTAATTATACCTTTATATTATTTCCATATTTTATAATGTGATGTAAATTTCCAAAATAAATAAAATTAAAATACATCTCTATGATTTTTAGTGCCAATCTAAAATAATATATTTAATTAATTTAGCATATATTTTTTTTATATACTAATGAAGAAATAAATCCAAATTATTTGCCAAATTTACAAATGGCACATTCGAAAATTGCTATTTCTTTCGGATTCCATAATTCTTTTTTTTTATGTGTTTAATACATAAAAAATAAATTAATAAAATTTAAAAAAAATTAATAATTATAAATTAAATCTATATTATGTTTAAATATAAATATATTAGTATACTATTAATTTATTATTATAGTTTTTTTTTTTTTTCATATAGTAGTAATCTTATCATTTAATATTAAATTAATTAATTAAAAAATAAAATAAAAAATATTACAAAAAATTAATAATAATTAAAATAAAATTACCAAACACGTAATCCGTCTTTAATGGATTCAATAATTAATCAAGTATGCCCAATTAAATATCATTTTAAAAAAGTATATTGTTTTGCTTTTCTTCATTTTTTTCTGAAGTTTTACCATTCTTTTTTTCATTTTTTGAATTTGAATTATTAATATTTTCTGATGTCCAATTTAATATTTCATTGTTATTTTTAGTCCCTTAACTATTTAATGTTTGCTTTATATTTATTTTTCGTCCTCTTTTTTTTTCTCTAAGTTACATTATTCATTTTATATGCTTTAAGGATTAAAATCTTTGTTTTCTCCTGGAATTATTAGTAGATCTTTTATATTAAAATTTTTTTATAATACATCTAGCAAACTATATTTAAATAGTTTTCAAATGCTATCATCCATTAAGGCGTTTACTTGCTTTACCTTAAAAGATTAGTTTATTTTTTTGTAAATATTAACGGATTAACTTCTTGGCTATCGCTTTATCTTGATTTTTAATAAAAAATAAAAAAAAATATTAATAAAAAAAAATATATATGAAAAAATAAAAAAAAAAAAAAAAACTTATATATAATATTTATATTTTTATCAGCAATTTATAAAAAGCAAAAAATATTTAATTGAAATTATTAATTAATGATAAAGAATGTTTTTTTTTTTTTTTTTTTCAGATTTATATATTTTTTTTTAATGTCTTATATTTATATTTTTATTTTTTATATATAGTTTTACCCTTATAATATTTCTTCGTTTATTATTAAATCCATGGAGTTTTATTTATATTTTTTTATATATTGTAAAGATCTTTAGGATTCTTATGTTAAATTGCTATATGTAATATTAATAAATAAAAAAATAAAATATAAAGGGTATATAAGGATATTAAATTATAGAAAATGTAAAAATAAAAATATATGTTTTTACTATTTATTTCCCAAAGAAGCAATATTTTTTAGTTACTTTAAGACTTCCATTCCTTAGTTTTATATTATATTTTATGAATTATTTTGATTTTGAATATCATTCAATTTAATTTTTTTTATAAAATAGGTTAACTAAAATGATTTATATTTATTTTATTGATTTTTTCAGTCATAATAAATAAAAAAAGTTTTTTTATTTTTTTTTTATATATTTTTTAATTTTTTTTGACTTAAAAAATTTATATTTATATGAATGAATCTTTTTTTTTAAAAATTATATATATGCTATTATTAATTATTTTTGATTTATATAAATTTAAGAGTTTCTATTATTGTGTTTTTACATAAAAAAAATTAAAAAATGTTTCTTTTTATATTTATATTCTTATAAACCATTTTTAATCTGAATTTGTTTTTATTTTTATAAAAGTTCATACTATTTTTTATATTAAAATAAACAAAAAAATAATTAATATATAAAGAAAATAAACTAATTTTTTTTGGAATCAAAATAATGATTTTGATTTTGTTTTTGTTTTTGTTTTTATTTTTAAGACTTTCAATATAAATTATTACTTAATCCTAATAAGTTTTTTTTGTTTTCTAAATGTAATAAAGTTGTACATTTAAAGTTTAAATTTTTATATAAATTGATTTATATCTGCTATATATATATAAATATTTTATATTTTAATGACATTTAAAAAGAAATTAAATTTGTAATAATCTATTTAAATATGAAATTCTTAAATGAAACAATTATATTGATCATTAAAAACAAAAGGTTTAAAGGCTTGTTTTTATTTAAGTAATTTGTTTTGCTAGGGTTCATTTCATTTTTTTATTTTACTTAAAAAAGAATTAATTTTTTTTTTAATTCATTTGTTTATTTATTTTTCATATATTAGTAATAAAAATAACTATATGTATTAACTTCATACATAATATTAATTATAATGATGGAAATTAAAATTTGTAAATCAAAATAAAGAAGTAATATATATTACCAAAAATTAATTAAAAAAACAATTATTTATAAAAATTCTTTTTTTTTTTTTATTTTAGAATTAAAAATAATAAAAAATAGATTTTATTTATTTAAATTAGTTTTCTTATTAATTTATTAAATATTTTTTTTTATTATTTTAATTTAAAGCGCGAAAAAAATTATTACATTTATGCGCCGATAATAATTCACTTTTTTTTTTATGTATTTCAATTTTTTTAATATTTAAAATATAATTTTATTAAAGAAAAACCTTTTTTTTAAAAAGAAAATAAATTAAATTATTATATTACAAAAAATGATAAAAAACATAGAAAATTTAGATAAAAAATCAAGATTAGCACAATTAAATAAATAAGTTCAGAAAGATATTTAAAAAGTAAACAAAAAATTAAATATTTTTATATATCAAAATCAATTACATTTTCAAATTTCTATTTTTGAAAGAGAGAAAAAAAGAAAAAATAATTAATTAATGATGATTCTTATGAAAATGACGAAGTTTAAGAAGAATAAGAAAATGACTTTATTGATGATTAATATGGTAAATTAATAAATTATAAATTTGTTTTATATTAAATAAAAAAAATTAGATGATAAAAAATGTAAATAAAAATAAAAAAAAATCTGAAAATATATATTAAAAACATAAATAATTGAAAAATAATTATAGATAAGAAGAAATATAAAGAATATTAAGAAATTGATGAAGAAAATGATGAATTTTTAGTTAATAATACAAAGAAAAAAACCAAAAACACTATTTTAAATTACACAAATACAACAAAAGCTTTCGCAGACCCAAAATAACATAAAACAACAAATAAGAAATTAGAAGAATTAGATGTTGAAAATTTAATAAACTAAATAGAAAGAAAGAAAAAAATAGAATAAGAAGAATAAAAATTAATGGAAGAAGAAGAGGATAATTTAATGTAAGAATAATAATAATAATAATATATATAATAATCTTATATGAAATAATAATCCTAAACTAAATAATAATTTTAAATTTAATAATAATAATTATAGTAAACATAATCTTCTTAAAATAAATAATAATAACATAATATACAATAATAATAATAAAAAGAAATAGCATAATCTAATAACGTTTAAAAAAATGACAAAAAAAATGATATTTCCGAAGATGAAGGTACAAATTCAATATAATAATTTGAAGAATATTTATCGAAAATATCAAAAAATTTATAGGAAGAAAAATAAAAAAATGTAAATGAATAAAATTAAATAAAACTCTAAATAAATTCTTAAACAATATAATAAATTAATTAGACTATAATAAGTTAGCCAACAGATATAAATTATTTTAAAAATGCAGAAGATGGCTCTTTAGATGTTTATTTATATGATTATTATTATGATAATGTAGTTAAGCCAGGAAAAATATATGCTTTTGGTAAAGTCAAAGACCCTTAGTTAAATAAATATCATTCATGTACAATTGAAATAGAAAATATTATCCGATATTATTATTTATTGCCTTCTTCCGAATAAATAACAGAAGAAGAAATAAAGAACGAAGTACATTAAATTTTTAAAAACGCACAAAAAATGTCCAAAAAAGTCGACTTTGTGGGTTAGTTTGTCTAAAAAAATTACGCTTTTGAACTTCCTATACCTAAAGGAAACTAGAAATGGTACTAAATAATGACTTCTTATGAATTTGAAAGCTTAGATCCAGATGTAAAAGGTAAAACTTTCAATTATTGTATAGGAAGCACATATAGTAGTTTAGAAAGTTTCCTGATTTAAAAAAGAATTAAAGGCCCTTGTTGGGTGAAAATGCGAAATATAAAAAATACACCAAACTTAATCAGCAATAGGAAATTAGAATTCAAAATAGACTATAGTATAAATACTAATATTTAGGTTTTGGAGGGATAAAAAAATTCGCCGGTTTTTTCAGTAGTTTCTTTGGGTTTAAAAAGTGTCAATAGAATAGATTTGAAGGGGAATAAGAAAGAATATAAAAAGGAAATTTTTATTCTTACTATGAAGTTTAATTAAAATGTTAATATAGATAACAGTATTGTAAAAGAAATGCAAAATTATTAAAAAATAGCATTTGTTTGTCATCCAAATAATCAAAAAAAATAAGATTCAGTATTCTAGAAAGGAGTTTTGGATAAATAAACGGTTTTTTGTTAAAGTGAAATGGTGCTATTAGAAAATTTTCTGAATAAATTTAATGAACTAGATCCTGATATTGTAGTTGGACATGATCTTTATTAGACATTGTTAGATATTATTTGTAATAGAATTAAAGAAAGAGGACTTTAAAAATGGGTTTATTTATCTAAATTAATTAATGTAGGTAGTAATGAGATCCCTAAGTATGGAAATGCAATGTAAAAATGTAGATAGATTTTAAAAGGAAGACTTATTGTGGATACTTTATTAAGTTGTTAAGAATTTCTTAATTCAGTCGAGTATACTATAGAACATTTAGCAAAGAAGATTTTTGATAAAGAAATGTAAAGAATTTTTTTTTTTTTTTTTTAAGTTTTTTTTATTTTAAGTTTTTTTTGTTTTTTTATAGAACTAGAGTTGATTAAAAAGATTACGAAAAAAAATTTGCAACTAATTTTTTAGTTAATTCAATTGTTGAAGATACATATTTAGATAATGAGTATGCTTTGAAAATTATGTATCATTTATAAATTATTTAATTGACTAAATAATTGACTATTATTTGTGGAAATTAATGGATTGGGTCTTTATAAAATTAAAGAGCAGAGAGGAATGAAATGCTTCTTTTGCATAAATTTTATGAAGTAACTTTTTTTTCTAAATAAATATTATTTAATTATTAACAAAAAAAATAAAAAAAAATAAGCTTAATTATGTTTACCCTGATAATTTTAAAAACTTGAATTTTTAATATAAGAAAAAAATGTAACTAAAATTAAGTGAAAATACTGGAAGTTAATAATAATAAGGAAAATAAAAAAAACAAAAATTCAAAGGAGGTTAAGTTTTTGAACCTTAAAAAGGGCTTTATAATGAATATATAGTACTTTTGGATTTTAACTCCTTATATCCATCTATTATATAAGAATTTAATGTGTGCTTTACTACAGCAACAAGAAAATCTCTTAGCTTAGAATAATAAATGTAGATATTCATAAAGAATAAGAAAGATTTAAATGAATAAATAATATAAAATAATTAAGAAGAAGAAGAATAATATAATGATATTTAATAAGATTAATAAAATGACGATCAAATTGCTTAGATCGAAAAAGTGAAATATATAGCTGTTTTGCCAGGAATATTGAGAGATTTAGTCGATTAAAGAAAAAAAGTAAAAAATTAATTAAAAAACGCGAAAGATTAATTAGAAAAAGAAACACTAGACATAAAATAAAAAGCATTTAAATTAGTAGCTAATTCCATATATGGGTGTTTAGGTTTTTCCTCTTCGAGATTTTATGCTATGCCTATAGCAGCTTTTATTACTAGTAAAGGTAGAGAAGTACTTTTTAGTTCTAAAAAAATAGTAGAAGACATGGGATATAATGTGATTTATGGAGATACTGATAGTTTAATGATTAGACCTAATACTTAGGATCTATGTGAGGCTATTAAAATTGCCCTTAAAATTAAGATTGAGGCTAATAAATAATATAAAAAATTGTAATTAGATATTGACGGGGTATTTAAAAATATGTTGCTTATTAAAAAGAAGAAATATGCTACTTTAAAAGTTTGTAATTGGGAAGAGGCTTATTAAAATAAAAATATTTAGGAAATCACTGTTAAAGAATTAAAAGGTTTGTTTATGATTTATTTTTTTAACTTTTTTTATTTATTTTTTAAGGTATTGATATTGTTAGAAGAGATTGGTCATAAATATCAAGAGATGCAGGAAACAAAGTTTTGGATATCATTTTAAATAGTAAATCTAGTGAACAAGTCTAGGAAAATATTATTACTTATTTAACTGAATTAAGTATTTTTATTTTTTTATTTTTATTTTATTTTTTGTTAAAAGATAAAGAAATTGATGAGAAAAGAATAAAACCAAGTGATTATTATATTACGAAAAAACTTACTAAAAGAATAGATTAGTATGGAGAAAAAAACATTCCTCATGTAGAAGTTGCGTCTAGAATGATTACGGAAAAGGGGTTAGATCCTTAATCTTTAGTTGGGCATATTATAAATTATATAATTTGTAAAAATTAATCGGTAATTTAAAACAAAAAAAAGAAAGTTTATTTAACAAAAATAAAAATATAGAGTAAATTAATTGATAAGGCTTTCAGTCCTAAAGAATATAATGACCAAAAAGATACCTTAGAAATAGACTTAGAATATTATAAGAAATATTAAATTTTTGAACCTATAAAAAGATAATTAGAAGTAATCGAAAATATAAATATTTCTTAAGTAGCAAGTATTTTTGCTATAAAGTATACTGTAGTATAAACTAAAGAAAATATAGAAGAATAAGGACACCAAAATAAAGATATGAGACGTATTTATTTATAAAAATATATGCCTTAGGTTAATTTAATATGTAAATCATGTAAAAAAAGCTAACTTTTTACAGGATGTTTTAAATATGAAAGTGAAAATAGCGATAGTTAATAAAATGAAAAATAAAAAAATATTTTATAATGTAAGTTCTGTTAAGAAGATAACTTTATTAATATTAGAAACGGTGTTATTTTCTGTTTGAAGAATTTAATTAGATATAAATAATAAATGGAATTAGTTGATGAAAATGAAATTGATTCATTCACTTTTGGATTCAGTTTATTAAAAAACTACGAGCTTAGAATTACAAATAAATTCTTTAATGATTAACTTTAAGCTCTTTAGTCTATGTTCGAGTTAAGCATATAGTATTTTTTTTTAATTTATATTATATATTTTAATTTATTTTATGTTTGTGAAGGGAAAAAAATGAACTTTCAGTTGATATTTAACTTAAAATTTAAAATATTAAATAAATTGTTGACAAAGAGTTAGAAAAAAGTGATTATTTTAATGTTCCTGTTTTACAATTTATGAATTCTTTTGGAATTTAATGAAAGTTTTTTAGAGTTTATTTTTCCCTTGTTTTTAATATGAATAAAAAATATTAAATTTATTTTTAATTTTTAATGTGTTTTTTAAAATTATTTTTTTTTGTTTCTGTTTTATTCCTTTAATAATGTAATTACTTTTTTGTTATTGTTTATAATTATTATTATATTTTTTTTTTTTAAAAAAAAAAAAAAATTAATTTAAAAATTTTTTATATGTTTTTTTTTTTTTTTAAAAAAATAAATAAATTAATTTTCGAGTAATTATTAGAAGTTTTAATTTTTAAATTATGAAATTAAATAATAGTTCATCTCAAACATCTCTTAGAAAAATCACGAATGTAAAATATTATTAAAACTATAAAAAAAACGAAACATAATATTTGCCTTAAAAAATAGTATTTAAAAAAAAACAATTTCAATTATTTTAATGAAATATTTTACTATAAAAAAAATAAAAGAATAATATCACAAGGATATTTTAAAAAAATCCAGAAATAAATTTAAATAAAAAAGATTACTAAGTGAATAATAATAATTGTTGTTTAAAAGTAAAATCTATAGACAAAAATATGTATTTAATTATAATTATATATAATATAATTTAAACAAAAATAGTAATATACAAGATTATGCTATTTAAATATAATCAAATATAAGAGACTTAGAATATAAACAATTAAAAAATTTACTTAATTATCAAAAAAATTAATAATGTTAACATAAATATTAAATTAGTTTTTATAATAAATCTGTAATTTTTTATTTTTATTTTTTATCAAAATATAAATTTATTTAATATTTAATAGTATGTATAAAATAATAATTAAATTTAATAAAATGACCATACTAAATCAAGTACAACATCAAAAAGTCCAACATTTAATAATATAGAGCAAAGTAATAACTAATATTTTTTACATAATTAAATAAATAAAGATAATATATAAATAAATGATATTGATAATAATAAAAGTTATAAGAGTATAAATTTAAATATAAGTGCTGAAAATCGTATCAATAATATAAAAGATGATGCTTAAGAAAAAAAATAGACAAATAATTAACATAAAAAATACAATAATATTATATGACATAATTGGAAATGCAAAACAAATATTATAAGAATAATAATTGTCAATAGAATTAATAATGTTAACATAATATTAAATTAGTTTTTATAATAAATCTGTAATTTTTATTTTTATTTTTATCAAAATATAAATTTATTTAATATTTAATAGTATGTATAAAATAATAATTAAATTTAATAAAATGACCATACTAAATCAAGTACAACATCAAAAAGTCCAACATTTAATAATATAGAGCAAAGTAATAACTAATATTTTTACATAATTAAATAAATAAAGATAATATATAAATAAATGATATTGATAATAATAAAAGTTATAAGAGTATAAATTTAAATATAAGTGCTGAAAATCGTATCAATAATATAAAAGATGATGCTTAAGAAAAAAAATAGACAAATAATTAACATAAAAAATACAATAATATTATATGACATAATTGGAAATGCAAAACAAAATATTATAAGAATAATAAAAGTCAATAGAGAAATATCAATAAGAAATTAAAAAACAAAATTATTAAATCCAATTTATAGCCTAATAATAATAATAATAATTATAGTAATAATAGTAATAATAATAGTAATAATAATAGTAATAGTTATCAGTAAATTAAATATAGATTTAATGTTAATAAGACTTTAATAAAAGTGTAGATATAATAGAAAATGAAGATGAATTATGGAATTTGTATGAAAAACAAACAAAATTAAATATTTAAAAAAATAATAAATATTGTTGCGGTTTATCTTCAAGTTGTTTTTAGAAAAAAGACGACTTTTCAGATATTTAAAGTAGTAATATAAGTAATAACTTTAAAAAAGAAAGAAGAAAATGGCATTTAAATTAAAGGGCTTTTACTTAAACTGCTTTCTTGGTTTATGAAAAAGATTTCATATAAAATAAAAAATTAATTGAAAATGATTTTAGTAATGAAAATGATTAAAATCAGTTTAATTAGTAACAATATTTATAAATTAATTTAAATTAAAATAAAAAATGTTATTAATAATAATATAGTTTTTAGAATTAAAATTTAGTATAAATTATTAAAAGCTAAAATTTTAATTAAAAAAGCGATTATTTATAAATATAGAATTGTAATTATTAACAATTAAATTAATAAATGTAATTCAAAAATTTACATTTGAAATAAAATTAGGGAAATTAATGTTCTATATAAAATATTTAATAATAAAAATAAGTAGTATAAAATATATATGGATTTTAAAATGATTTGTAAGATTTAAATTTAGATAATTTAAGTCCTAGGAATCTAAATTAAGTATATAAAAGCAAAACTAAAAGTAAAAGTATTTAAGTAACAAATATCAAATAAAATAGTATTTAAATAAATGTAAAAACATATATATATATATATATATATATATATATATATATATAATTATTATCAATTACTTAATTTATATATAAATATTTAAGGTAAATAATTAATATAAATAATAATTTTAAGTTAAAAATTTAAGATGTTGAGTTTAAATAAATATATTAATATTATCTATATAAATTTTTATTTTTAAATTTAAAATTTAAAAAGCAATTAATTTTATTTTTTTAATAATAATTATTATGTAATTTCATTATTTTTATAAAAATAAAATAAAACTTAAAAAATAAATAACTTTTTTTTTCATTACTTTTACAAAAAAAACAATATAATAATTTAAATATAAAAAAAATAAAAAAATTAACAATAATATGATATCAATACTAAATTTCTAAGATTAAGATGAAATAAATAGGTTATTGAAAAAAAATATCTATTTTTAAACATAATTTTTATTTTCTTTAAAATAAAAAAAGTCCTATATCTCAACATGCTATGAATTAGTTAGGTTATTCAATGGAAAATATAAGGAGTAAAACAAAAGAACAAATAAAATTAGAATATAAAGGGAAAAATAAAAATATTCCAAATCATTTATACGAATAATACATAGATTTAAAATACGAAAATTATATTGAAAAAAGGAAACATGCAATATAAGAGATTACATAAGTAAAAATATATAATTATAGTAAAATAATTAACAAAAATAAACAAATAGTTAAGATAATAATTAATATAAAATAATTAATAAAATAAATCAAGAATGTCTTAAATGAATCGTTCAAATGATTTATCTTAAGAAGAATTAAAAGAAAAAGAATAATAAAAATTAAGAGTTTTAAAAGTGAAATAAAAAAATTAAATAGAATATTTGATTAGAAATAAAATGGAAACTGAAAATTAAAGATTAAAAGAAATAGATAAAGAAAGAAGAATTTAAGAAATGGAAAAGAAAAGAGAAGAGGAAAAAGAGAAGAGAATAAAAGAAAATGATTATAATAGATAGATAAGAGAATAGAAAATATAGGAAAAAGAAATTTAAAAATAGATTGAATTATAAAGAGAGTTAGAAAAGGCAGAAGAAAATGAAAAAATTTTTTAAGAAAAATTAAAATAAAGAAAATAATAAATTATATATTAAACTTAAAAAAATGATTTAGAAAAATAAATTAAAAAAGAAAAATTAGAAAAAAAACTTAAAGAAATCGAACTTGAGAATTAGATTTATAATTTGTAAATGTAATAAAAAACTATTGAAAAATTGAAAAAATTAGAAGAAAAAAGTAAAGAATAACATACTCTTAAATAAATGCAAAATCAATAATAAAGAGAAAAGTCATTAAGAAAATTATAAGAAAATCAACAAATTTAATAATAAAACCTTTAATAATAATTAGAAATTTAGGAATAAAAGGAAAAATAGAAATATTTAAATAGATTATAATAAGCAGAGAAGTTAAAATTATAAATATAAATTCATAGATTAATGTAAGAAAAGAAAGATTTAGAAATTTAATAGACTTAAGCTTTATAAGAAATAAAAAAAATAGATAATAAGAATTATTAGAATAATAATAGATGCAAAAAACCATGTATATATAAGAAAGTTAAAAAAGGAAAGAATTGGAAAGGTAAAATGAAAGTTTAAAAAGAAGAAAAAATGAAGAAAAAATAAGGAAAAATTATGAAGAAGAGAATAGTATTTAGAATTAAAAATCAATATAATAATATAATAAAATATAATAATAAATATAATAAGCTGAATAAAGAAGATTAGAATAAATAGAAAATAATAAAATAATATTTTTAAAAAATCAAACTAAAATGGAAGATGCTTTAGATAATATTAATAGAATAAAAAAATAAGAAGAATTTAAAAATTAATAAATATATTTCAAAATTTAATAAAGTAATAAAAGATAACTTGAAAAATAAATTGAAATTTTAAATGCTTAAAAAGATAAATTAAAATTGTAGGCGGAATTCCAAAAAGAAAAATAAAAAATTATTTAAGAAATTAATAATATTAATGGAAATTAAGATTTTAAAATTTTGTAAAAATCACTTGCTTAATTAAATGACTATGAATCTATTAATGAAAGTTAATAGACTAATAATCTTTCGAATAAATAATATAATTAACCTATTCCTTAAATTCAATAAAAAATATAAGAAAATCGACCCATTTAATAATAAAATCTTTAAAACTCATAAGATATTTAAGAATAAAAGGAAAAATAGAAACATTTAAATAGATAAAAATAAGAAGAAAAATTAAAATTATAATTAGAAATTCATAAATTAATGTAAGAGAAGAAAGCTTTGAAAATTTAATAAGCTTTAGCTTTATAAGAAATGATAAAAAGTCAATAATAAGAATAATTAGAATAACAAAAGATGGCAAAAGATATGTATATACAAGGAAATTAAAATAAAAAGAAATGGAAAGGCAATATTCAAGTTTAAAAAACGGAGAAATCATATAAAAAATAAAGTAAAATTGCGAAGAAGATGATAGTATGAAATGCAAATAACCAATATAATAATCTGAATAAAAAAGATTAGAATAAATAGAAAATAATAAAATAGATTTTTTAAAAAATCAAATTAAAATGGAAGATGTATAAGATAATATAAATAGAATAAAAAAAAGAGAAAAGTTTTAAAATTAATAATAATCTATTTAAAATATTCAAGAAAAAAATCATAGTTAACTTTAAAAATAAATAGATAATTTAATTGCTTAAAAAGATAAATTAAAATTATAGTCTGAATACACAAAAGAAAAGATTATATAAAATAATGATAATGGAAATTAAAATCATACAGTCGGGTAAAAATCGCTTGTTTAATTAAATGAATATGAATCTGTTAATAAAAATTAAAAAAATAAATAATATAATTCATAACATAATTCTTAAAATATTCTAAGTATTAAATAAAAATAATAAAAAATAAATAATAATAATAAATAATTGATTAATACAAATTTATAATAAAACAATTATTCTATAAAAAATGTAAATAATATATAACAAGAAGAAAATAATAATAATTAAAATTCTATTTAATAAGAAAATACAAAAAACAATTATAAATCTAAAAATAATAATAAAATGAATAAAAGACTTGCTTAATTCTTAAATAAATAATTTGCTTAAAAAATATTCCCTTATACTAATAATGCAAGAAGTAATTATAAAGTAGGGAATTAAGAAATTTAGTTAAATTATATTTCTTTGGATAAAAGAAAGAAAAAGTAAAAAATTGATTATAAGAATTTAAAAGGATTAAAAAAAATGCTGCCTAAAAATTACATTAATGATATGAGATGTCTATAAAAAGTTGTCAATTAAGAAACTAATATTCATATTGAAAAAACATTAATTGCTAATAGATATGATATTAGCTAAGTTAATATTTAGGAATTATCAAAAGGATTAATTTCTATTTATAAGTATTTTTATTTATTATTAAAAAAATATAATATTTATTAAATTTTCTTTTTTATTTTATATAGTAAATATGAAAATAAATAATCTAAAATGAATGAATTATTTAATAAATGTGATATCTTACTTTGAAAACATTAATAAAAATGTTTTTTTTTTATTGTTATCTTAAAAAATAATATTGATTTATTTGTTTTATATATAAATATATTTTTTTTTTAACAAATATTATTTTTAAAGTCAATTATTAATAATTTTTTTTAAAAAAAAAAAATGAATATTTTCATATATTAAAAACATACAAAATATAAATATTTTTAGAAAAAAATAAATAAAAAAAAAAACTATAAATATTTTAAAATAATAAATAAATATATATATATATATATATATTTTTTTTTTTATTTTTTTTTCGAAATTCATTCTTCTTCTTAATATATTTTCAAAATTTTAAATACTGATTATTTAGAAATTTCATTACCCATAACAGATCTAATAGATTCTTTTCTTTATTTACTAACTCTATCAACTTATTCATTAATTGATTTAATAGTTTTAACAGATTTTATAGATTTAGCAGTAGCATATTTTTATAATTATAAATTATTATTATTAATTAATTAAACTTAATCATTAAACCGTTCATGAATGTTATCATGAAATAATTTTAAAGATGAAAATAAAGAACCAATTTAAAATTCTTCTTCTTCTAATTCTTCTTCTTTGTCTTCTTCTTCTTCATTTTCATCAAAAGAATCTTATATATTTAATTTATTTTCTTATTCAAGGTTATATGATTCTTCGAATAAATTATCTTAATCAAAATATTCTTCTTTTTCTGATTCTTCAGAAGATTATAAAGATTTATTATCATTATTAATTTTTTATAAAGTATATCTATTCCAGGTTTTAAAAGTTATTTGTAAAAACATAAAGGCAATCATAGGATTAAATTTTTTAGAATTAAGAAGAGATTAATTAAAAATTTTTTTACTGTTTTTTAAAAGACTTTTTTTTTTTTATTCAGCAATTTTTAATTTTGTTTTTAATTCCATTTCTTGAAATAATTGCTATATTTCTCCTCTGACGTCATTTATTAATTCTGATCCATATGCTTTTCTCATACATGCAAACAAAACATCATTAAAATATATATTTCCAGAGCCATCACTATATATTTTTTATTTTATTTTATATTTTTTTAATTTACTCAGTTAAATTCCATTACATAACATCTTTAGCTATCATTTTTTTACTAATTGTTTTATCTGGCCTATTATAACCTAAAAAAATTAAAATATTATTTTAATATATATATATAAATGTATATATATATATATATATATATATATTATTTATATTTTTATATATTTTTATATTTATATATTTATATATTTATATATTTATATACCTAATGGTTCTTCTAATTCATGCAGAAAATTTACTAAATTTACTGATTCTATTTTTTCACCATAAGAAAAGGCTGTGTATTTTGACCAGGTTGCTCTAAATATTTCTACTTTTTCATTAAAAGCCTACAACGGGTTACCGTCTTTCATATAATAATCTTCGAAATATTAAATAATAATAAGAATAAAAAGGTTAAGCATTATAAAAGTACACATTAGAATAAAAGTTACATAATAAATAGTACTAAATCCTATTTTTATATTTTAATTAAATAATCTTTATAAAATATTAAAAGTAAATTATAAAAATATAAATTAAAGTTTTTTAATATACAAAATATTTACGCGTTCCACAATCAATTCCTTATATACAATTAGTAGTTTTTCCACAATCAAACATAAAAATATACCAGTTTTCTCCAGTAGAACACCTAAATAATGTAATTAAGGCATTAACGAAATTAAAGAAATTGTTATAATTATTAATTGCATTTCCTTTTTTAATATCTTTAAATAGAAAAACTCCTAAAATAGCGTAAATAAAAAATAACAAAAAAAGTAAAGCACCAACATTCATTAAAGAAGGAAAGGAAAAGGCCAATGTATCGATAATTTTTTGTAGTTTTTACATACTTTTTATCAATTTTAAGAGCCTAGATATTCTCATAACTCTCACTATTCTGACTAATTGGGGTCCTATTCTTAAAAAAGCTATACCAGATCCCAATTAATTCATTACTATATCAATTATACTTGAAATAACTACAAAAAGATCGAATTTATTCCATGATGAAATCCAAAACCCTTCTAATCCGGTCGCTATTAATTTAAGAATTAACTCCATAATAAAAGTAGCTGTGAAAAAGTAATTAATATTTTCTAAAATGCTTTCGTATTATAAGCTTGAACCTTCATATGTTAAACCCATTGAAATAATGTTTAGAACTATACAAACCATTATTAGTACTTCAAATACTCTAGAATTTACTATTCTGAATACTTTTAAACGAAAAGCGCCACGGGGTTCACGGTTTGCGGCAAATTCTGCTTTTACTATTATGATCATTTATTGAAATTCTATCCAACGGGATTATTCTTCGGTTAAAAAAAGAGAACTTTAACGCCTTTCGCTTTATTAGGCTTTATTAAAATTTAAAAATATAACACCGACAAATAAGTTTACTAAAAAAAATGAGCCTACAAGTATAAATGAAACGAAGAAATATTATATTATTTGATAATTATCCTTTACTGGGCCCTTTTTATTTTATTATAGTGTTTTTTTTTTATTATAAAAAATATATATATATATTTACTATTTCCGGTAAATTAGAATCTATAGCTTAAAACATGATTCCCGGCCAATTTTCAAGAGAACTTATTATATATAAAGTAGTCATACTTGAAATTATATTATCAAAATTAGTATCATATGTAGACCATCTGCAATCAGTTCTTTAAGCACAAGTTTGTAAACATTATTGTTAGTTTACACCATAAAATTCATTTAATCCTTAACAATAACTCATTCTATTTCCTATTAAAGAAATGCTTAAAATAGCAAACATAAGCCTTATTTTTTATTATATTATTTATATTATTATTATTTTAATATTTTTTTATATATTTATTTTATTATTTTTTTATGATTTTTTTATTATTTTTTTTTATCATTTTTTTATCATTTTTTTACTTTTTTTTTTTTTTTTTAATTTTTAATACCATATTAAAATAATAACAATAAGAACATTCAAAATGCCACTAACAGATTCGAATAAAGCAATTACTACAACTTTCATATTTACATTATGACTAATAAATCTTAAAGGTCTAAGAGTTCTTAACATTCGAAGAATCTTTTTTATTTTTTTTTATTTTTTTAATAATTTTTTATTTACCTTAATAGCAGGAATATTAACATTATCAAAAGACATATCTACAAGTGCAGAAACTACAATAAAAAAATCTATTTAAGACCAAGATTCAGTCAAATAAGAATTTTCATTAAGAATAAAACCAAAGGCAACAATTTTTATAAAAGCTTCTAAAGTAAAAATTATATTAAAACCAATATCTATATAACTAGAAACCTCAAAAGCTTAAGTTCCTTCATCAATATATGTATCTATTACAAGTTTAAGTGATGAAATTATTATAAAAATAAGAATTGCATGTTCGAAATGGCTATGATTTACCACTTTATAGCAAAAAACTCTAAAAAGATTTTATTTACCGAAAATAAAGCAGGAATAATCGCATTCAATATCTTTAAATAATTATTATTAGTTAAACGATTTCCCATTACTAATTAATATCTGCATTTCTAATTATTCCATTTCATCTGAATCCATTCTTTAGTAATCAAAATTTTCTTAAAAAGACATGGCTTTTATTTTTTGTTTTTATTACTATCTCCTTATGCTTCTATAGGAGCATCATCTTCATAAATATCTTCATTTTCATATTCAATTTCTATCTCAGAAGGACTTGAGAATCCGTCCAAAAGAATAGCTAAGAAAAGGTTAAGGAAAATCCAATTACCAATAAATATCCAAGAAATTAAATAAAATGAAGTTATTGCTTTATGTACATTTGAATTAAATGTTTTATATAAAATATCGTTCCAGTTTTCTAAGGTTACTACTTGGAAAACTGTAATAAATGCGTTTTGGAAAGTATCAAAATTTTGTCTTATTTAAATGTTTTTTTAGTTTAATTGTCCTCCATAAATTTACATTCCAAGTAGAGTATATATATAAATGAAAAGAAATAATAAAAGGGCTATATAAATAAATGAATCTAGTGTTTTTTAGATTACTTGGATAATTGTGTTCATAAATTCTAAACCTCGAAGAAGTCTGGTTACTCGAAGTACTCTAAAAGTACGGAAAATTCGAACCGAACGAAAAGCTGAAACTGCGGAATTTCCTCCTGAAAAAAAAGTCAATTCGAATATTGATAAAAGGACTATACTACAGTCAAATAAGTTCATTCGATCCCTCAAATAGTTTACTGGACCCAAAGCAAGAATTTTTAAGCCCATTTCAGCTATAAAAATAAACGTAAATACCTAATTTAGGTTGTCTAGTAAATCATTTGTTTTTTTATCAGTGAATGAGCCATTCAAAGCCAATATTACAGTGTTAAATATAACACATATTGTTGATATGTTATTGAATGAGTTGCTCATTATTAAATCTGCATATTTTCTGTGAAATACCTTTGTAAAACCAATAGGACCTTTCAACCAAACTTTTAATTACTGTTTGTCTGTTGATAGGACTTTTAAGATTTTATTCAAATGACGAACACCGCTTTTGTAGCTTTTAAATATATCTAAACCTGAAAAAATGTTATTTTATTTAATTCCTTCAATGAAATCTGTTTTTTTTATTTATAAATAATCGGCTTTATATGATTATTTTTCGAAAATGGCTTAAGTTTCGTCGTTTTAATTGTTTTCTTATTAAACTATTTATTACCTAATTAATCTTCTTATAGATGTATAGTCTTTTATATCTTCTAAAATTTGTTGGTAGATTTTTTCTTATTCTTATATTTTTAGATTCTGCTTTTCTTTCCTTTTAAATCTTAAATTGGAAGTGTTCTAAGGGATTATTATTCCACTTTAGGAAAAACTATTTTATTCAAATTTTGAATTCTCTTAATTTTCAATCATTTAAATTACAAAGCTTTTTTTTACTGGGATATTTATTTACACAATAGAATAATTATTTGATTTAATAATAGAGTTGTTTAAGGAAATATTCATACTACGGCTTACATTATTGAATACTTTACTTTAAGTTTGGTTGTTTTTGATTTTACTACGGTTAATTAGGTTATTTACATTACTGTTTGGTCTTTTGCTTTTTTTGATTTATTGTTTGAGTTTTTTAAGTGCGGCTTTTTTTTATTTTGTCGATTTTACTTTTTTTAGTTTGTAGAGCATTTTATATTTTAATTATTTTATTTTATAGTCTTCTTCTTCGAGTTTGGTTTCTTCTTCGAATTTTATTCTGTTTTCTAGAATTTCTTTTTCGGATGTGGATTAATATTCAAATTATAAATTTAAATTTATTTTCCAGAATTTGGCGTTTTCGAGCATTTTTTTCTCTTTAATTATTTTAAGTTCTTAGATTTTTCGGCGTTCCTCAAGTTCATTGTTAAGATTAAATTAAACTTGGTCAACATTTCTATTGGTTATTTTTTTCTGGTATTATTGTTGGTCAGACATTTGTTATAATGTGCTTTAGTTTTTTAAGGTTTTTCTTATTATACTTTTTTATTTTATTAAAGGAGATTAGATAATAGAAAGTTTTCTTGTACTTTTTTATTTTATTTCTTGACTTTTTCTTTTTGATAAAGGAATATTAATATTAGATTAGCTTAATTGATTTTATGACGTTTTTTTTGAATTATCCTCTGGTTTTGTTTATGGCATAATATTAAGTTATTGAAGTTTTTTAATGCTTTCAGAAGAGCGAACTTATTTACCATATTGCATGTTTTTTGTAACTTAAATCTGTTTTCCGAACTTATTTTCTTAATTATTAGAATCACTTGAAAAAGAGCTTTATTCACTTTCCTAAATTTCTTCAATGATGGGCTCTTTAATTGTATTATTCCAGTTAGCGATACTAAATTTTTGAGATTTTGGAGATGTTTCTTTATTTTATAGCTTATTTTAATATTGCTATTAAGAGTTTTAATATATACTATTATTTATTTAGTTTGGATGAATATATATTTGCTTGCCCATTATTATATGATTTTTTAAACTTTATTTTTCATTATTATTTTTTAATATCCCAGATTTTTCGTTATTTTTTTGTTATAAATAGCTTCTTTAAATATATAATTATTATAATTTTAATTCATAATCAAGTATTTCTTCATTATTTTCATGCTCTTCATCATCATAGTATTCTTATTTAAAATCTGAGTCTTGACTAAGGCTTTCATTTAGATTATTTTTAGAAGAATTTTCATAATTTTTTAATTAATTATGGACTAATGTATCTGAAATTTAAGAAAAACTTAAAGGCATTTATAATTATAATTTATTATTAATATTATTTTTATTGAAAAATTGAATTTCGAATCACTATAATTGAATTCGGTTTCTTTTATTTTTTTACTTTTTAAATCCAGAATAGAGAAATTTTTAATTTTTAATTATTAATGTTATTATTTGTTTTATTCGTTATCTGTTTTAATTTATTATTATTTCTAAGAATAGCTTTAATTTAATTAATCCATTTTAGATAAATCTTCAATTTCTTACCAAAATTATTAATCTTCTTATAAAAAATTTTATTAAGAATTACCAGAAAGAGTAGTTTTAGAAGAAAAAGCTTTTTTATAATCTTCAAAAATATTAGAGTTTCCCATAAACATAATTGAAAGTTTATTTTATTAATCTTAAAAAAGAGGAGTTGAAATATTATTATAAATATAATTATTATTATTATTATTATTATTATTATTATTATTATTATTATTATTATAATAATAATTTTGTATTGAATTATTTGAATTATTGTCTTATTATATGTTTATTTTAGAATTTCTATTTTTAATATATTAATAAATAATTCTTTAAGTAGGTAAAATTACTCTATTTTTATAAATATTATTTGTATTTTTTATCATTTTTTATTAAATTTATTATTATTTTTATATTTTTTGTATTGCATTTTTAATCTCAAGTTTTTTTTTCTATCTCCATAAATCTATTTTTTTAAGAGTATATTTTTTATATTTTTAAATAAGAGCCTTTTTTTTTTTTTGATTTTGTATATTTATTAATTATTGAATTCCATCCCATGTAAATTCTTATTTATTATTAGTTTTATTTTATTAATTTTATGAGTTAATAGATGAACCTAATTTTTATTTTTTATTTTCATTATTTTCTTTATCTAGCTGTTTTTTATATTGTCTCCTATATTCTCTTATTATTTCTAACGTCATCTTTTCCTCCTCGACTTTTTCAGTATTTTAACATCCTTAATTTTATGAAAATCTTGCTTTGATTATGGCTAACATTAAATTAAGAAGGAAAAAAGAGCCAATAAAAATCAAAAAAATGAAATAAAATACCACATATATTGAAAAAGCATCAAAAAGATAAAACATAATATTTGTCCATCCTTCTAAAGTCACACATTAAAAAACCATTAAAAAACTATAAATTATATCATCGAAATTAGTTACTCCATAATCTGGATTATCCATCATTTTTCCACATATATAACCACTAGGGCAGTCTATTCCGCCACAAATTATATCATCTATATGAGGTATCCCTGTATTTATTTCAAAGCATCTATTTTTTAGCATTCCTTAGAATAATTAGAGACCTGCTATAGCAAATATTAAGAATAAGAAAATTAATATAATTAATGTATTTATAAGATCAGGAATTGCCCCAAAAAGTGTTAATAATAAAACTCTTAAACTTCTAATAGTCGAAATAGCTCTAAGTGGTCTCAGAATTCTAAATGAACGTAAAGATGAAAGATTTATGGAATTATTATTGGCTACTAAAGGTAATAAAGAAGATACGACAATTGTAAAATCTAGAACATTCCAACCATCACGTAAATAAGCACCTTCAACAAATACTAAACCCATCCCGCATATTTTCAACACACATTCGACTGTATATGTCCATAAAAAAAACTCTTCTATATAATATTATGTTAGTGATTATGTATTAGTTGTTGGATCATCAAAAGCTAAAAAAATAGAATTTGAAATGATAACTAAAAGGATGAAATTGTCAAAATATTTATGTTAAACAATACATTAACAAATATAACTTATATATCTATTTTTTTTATATATATATTATTTATTTTAAATTTATTTACTTGAAAATTAAAATTATTGACTTTTATAATTATATGCATGGAAATTTACTTTAATAATATTTTAAAAGCTCAACTGGATTCTTTTAATGACATTAAAATAATATCTATTAATAATTAAGTCGATTATGCTTTTCCATTTCAATTGTTTCGTGTTCATATATTGCTTAATATACTTCTATCATATTTATATCTACTTTTGTTTTTTATTCTTCCTAATACTAATAATTCTAGTTTTCATCATATAAATAAAATTCTTCTGTATTTTCATCTTCTTCTTATTATTGAAATAAATCTTTGAATTTGTTATATTATTGCTTTTATTTTATATCTTCAGTATTATTTTCTATTATTTAAAAACTAACATTCTTTCTAAACCTACTGTATTTGTTTTTTTTATTTTTGTATAAATTCGGGACTATGTCATTTTCTTCGGAGGCTGAATAGAGGGATTGGGCTTCGATTGAGTCGTTTTTTTAAAAATTTTATTCTATAATTCTATCTTGGGAATTTAAGTTTTCAGTTTTTACCTCATCCTTTAAATTAAATTCTACATCTTAGTACATGTTTTATGGTGAATGGTTATTTAGTTGATCTTTTAAAGAATTTTATTATTCTATTTTGGATTTTTATTTCGAAGGGTCTGATATTTTGCTCTATGAGGTATGTAATTAAGGACTTTTTTCAAAATTTAATTGATTTTTCGAATCGTTTAAAGGGTGTTATTAATCCATTTATTTGGTATAAAAAACAGAAAAAAAGTGGAATAAATTATTATATTGTTTTTTTTTTGATTTATTTTTATAAAAGAAAGAAATTATTTTATAATTATTTGCTTCTTTGTTTTGATTTACTTTTTTTTTAATTTATTGAAAAATATTCTATTGTATAAATATTTACTTTTATTCTTTTTAACAAATGCAAGTTTATTTTATTTTAATAATATATTTGTTATTTAAAAAATTATTTTATGTAATATGTGATTTAATAAATTTTAATTTATAATAAAAATTATTTTTAAAAAAATGAATTGCTTAAAAATAAAATATAATTAAATTTAGTTTATAAATATAAAAAAAACAAAATATATATTTATAAAATATATAATAATAATAATAATAATAATAATAATAATTTAAAAAATAAAAAAATATTTAAACATAGTAAATATATAAACCTTTTTTAAATTATTATTAATTTTTAATATAACTTTTTCAATAACCATAAAATATTAAAGAATAAAATAAAATTTTATTTAATTTATATACATTTAAGTATAAAATATTAATTTCAATTATTTAATTTAAGAAAATATTCCCATACCATAAAAAATAATAAAGACTGAAAGTATTACAAATTAATTAATTTAACCATAATTGCTAAATTATAACTAATAAATTTTTTTAAATACAAGCTAAAAATTCCTAATTTTTTATTTCATTTCTGCATTTTATTTATTTCAATAATTTTATTTATTTCTATTTTTTTTTTTTTTTTTCCTTTTTTTATTTTTTATAAAAAAAATAAAATATAAAAAATAAATTTTTTATTTTTAAAGTAAAAAAAAAACTAAAAATAAAGGAATATATTTTTTTTCACCGTTCTAACGTTGACTACCTTCTTATCTATCATATCCTGCGCCTTTTGGTATTATCTTCTTAAAAATTTAACTTGCATCAAATGTGCTTATATTGAGAATATAAGAAGATTTTATCACATCGGTCTGTCGTCAAACAACAACAAAAATAATATTAATAACAATAATTTTAATAATATTAATAATAATATTAATATTTTATTTATAAAATATATGTATTAAAATTTTAAAACCACTCCATAGTTAATATTTGAAAATAGTCCATAAATAGCACTTTTGTTAAATCCAATTTTAGAACCTTCTGTAATTGTTTTAATAAACTAATAACTCTAATAATGTGGATTGAATACATATATAACCAAAAACCTTTAAAAAAGTCAATAATTAATTCTTATTGAATTATCAGATTCAAACAAAGTATTCTAAGAAGCCTAGGAACTTCAAATATTAAAAGACTATAAAAGAATATCAAATAGAATAAAAATAGATGAATAAAATGAAATATCACCTGAGTTACTATCACCTGAAAGTAAATAAAAGTTTAGACTTTTAGAAAGTTAAAAAAAAGCAATTTTAGATTAAATTGATCATCGTATATATAAATATGAGTAATATAAAGTAATAAACGCAAATTATTTTACAAAATAAATCTAATAAAATATTGAAAAAAGTAAATTTCTACTTAATATATTCACACCAGCAGAAAGATTGAGGATTACTCATAGTTTTTTATATAAAATTTAACTGAAAGATTTAAAATTAATGAAATTTTTGCAAGAATAAAAAGCAGTTAAGTGTGTTACACCTCTCCATGATCATAATATACATATATCGGGCAGTTTATAAGATTTAGAGGACTATTATGGGGAAAATATATCTATATATTTCGAGTTTTTATAGTTTTATTAAAACAAATTGAAAATTTTGGTATTTATTTGTGTTTTTTTAACTTTTATATAGGTTTTTGTACATGAAAAATATTAAAAAAAAGCTGCTTTTTTTGCAAATTCAATTTATGCTTTTTCTGTTTGTGTTTGGATTTCGTATTTTTTTTTTTGTTGGAAAAGATTTGAAAGCGAATTGTAGGTTAAATGGGGTGTTTTGGCAAAAAAAATATATAAAGAAGATCATAATTTTGATTTCTAGGGATAAAAAAGAATTAAGTGTACCACTTTTGAAGAAGAAGAGGGATATTCGAAAACTAAAAGATTCTATCTTTATATATACAGCCTTTTTGAATCTTTTCCTTTATTAATAGTGGCTTTGGGAGTCAAAATTATTATTTTTAATCTAAATGGATTAATTAAAGATATTGATTCATGGTTTTATATACATTAGGTGGCTAAATATGGATAAAAGGGTGGATTACTTGAAAATATTTGGCTAAAAGAATAAATATTGAATATTCTAATGGTTATTTTGATAATTATAGTGAATAATTATTACACTTAATTGAGTTTAAAATCATCAAAAAGAGAAAATCATCGAACTAATTATAATTTACACAATAGTTTAATTATAAAGAGGTTTTTTTTCGATTTAATAAATAGATTTACTCATTTTATTTTCATTGCATTTGTAATTAGGGACATGGAATATTTAAAAAGTTTACTAAACTCACTATTTTTAATGGACGAAATAAGAAAAATATGTTCAGAATCTTTAATCCCTTATTTAATAAAATAACAGAAGAAGAAAAAAAAGAATACTGGTTACGAAAAAGATATAACTTTTTAAAAATTCATAAAAGAAATAGAACTTTGGGATTATGATGATTTCGATGATTATATTGAAGTTGTGGCTTAAATTGCCTTTATTTGCTTATTTGCGTATGTTTCACGTTTTGCTGTTATTTTTTCATTTTTTTTTAATGTTTTTGAAATAAAGAGTGATAAATTTAAACTTTAAAGAAAATTATATAAAAGGTCAGTACCTTATAAAATTTAGGGGATTGGAGCGTGGAATTTTGTGGTAAAACTTTTGGGATTTTTGTGTATTTATACAAATATTGCGTTCTTTTGTTTAGATTATTTTCAGGTTTTTGAATTTTAGAGTATTTAATAAGGAGAAAGTAGTGAAGAGGTTGTGGTGTGGATGAAAATTTATTTAGGGATTTTTTGTTTGGAACATGTGTTTATTTTCTTTAAGATTTTAGCTGAGTAGTTTATATCTTTTCTACCTAAATGGGTTAGGGTTTATAAAAGAAGAATGTATTTATAAAATTCTTAAAATATTATCATTAATTAATGATTTTTAATTATAATATTTATTTATAGTTTTATATATAAAAATATAAAAATTTAAAAATATATATATATATATATTATTTTATATTTATTATATTTATTATATTTATTATATTTATTATATTTATTATATATTAAACTATTAAGAATATATATAAATAATTAATATTAATATTTATTAATATTATTATTTTTTATTTATACATAATTTTAATTAAAGTTTTTATTTTATTTATTATTTATAAAAGTAAAATTATTTTTTATTCTAAATTTTATATATTTAATATATTATTATTTAATCAAGATCTTAAGACATTATATATTTTATAATATATATAAATTAATCATAAGATAAAAAAAAGTTTTATAATAATAAATAAAAGTTGAATAATAATGGGTTGCATAAACGAAGTTTGTCTTCAAAAAAATATTAATCCAATATAAAATTATGATGGAATATAAAAAAGGTTATAATTTAATCTTATAATTCATAAACTACTGATGATTCATAAGAGAATTTAGAAAATGCAATTTAAATAAATATAGATAATAAAGAAAATAAATAAAATATAAGTTTAAAAGATTTTGAAATATTAAAAGTAACAAAAAAAAAAGTAATTTAAAAAAAAAATATAACTAAAATAGTTATTGGGAAAAGGTTCTTTTGGAACTGTATATTTAGTATAAATGAAAAAAACTAGTATTTTTTTTTTATATAAAAATAAAATAAAAATAAAAATAAAAAGAGTAATTATTTGCAATGAAGAGATTAAATAAAGAAAATATTACAAAATAAGATTAAATATTGAAAGTTATAGAAGAAAAAAATATTATGTCGAATTTAAAATGTTTTTTTATTATTTAGTTAATATATGCTTTCTAAACACCTAAAAAATTATATTTTGTAATGGAGTTTATGTAAGGAGGTGAAATGTTTTTATATATAAGATAAGAAAGATAATTTAGTGAATAAAAAACTAGATTTTATATTGCAGAAATTATTTTGGCATTAGAATATATACACTCAAAAAATATAATTTATAGAGATCTTAAACCTGAAAATATTCTAATTAATAAAGATGGACATATAAAAATTTGTGATTTTGGGCTTTCTAAATAAGGAATTGGTGATAATGAGACAACTAAAACAGTTTGTGGAACACCTGAATATTTAGCACCTGAAATATTAAGAGGTAAATATAATAAATAAAAAATAAACTTATATATGTAAAAAGATAAAAATACTATATATATATATAAATATAAAAATATATATTTATAAACATATATACATATATATATATATACATATATACATATATAAATATATACATATATACATATATACATATATATACATTTATATATATTAGGAAAACCTCATGGAAAAGAAGTAGATTGGTATAGTCTGGTATTTTTTTATTTTATTATTTATATATCATATTTTTATTTAAAGGGATGTATTTTCTATGAATTTTTAACGGGATATCCACCTTATTATAATCGAAATAAATAATTAATGTTATATATTAATTTTTTTCATATATTTTATATTATAAAATGTAGGTTTTAAAATAGACTTAGTAGATAAATTGAAATGAAGCCTTATTTTTCTAAAGATGCATCTGACATAATTTAAGCATTACTTTAAAATGATGTATTTAATAATAATTATTTTTATCATATTAATAATATAATTTAAAAAGCCTGATAAACGTTTAGGAAAAAACGGATGCAAAGAAATAAAAGAACATATTTTCTTTTAAGACATTGATTGGGATAAATTGAAAAATTTAGAAATTTAACCGCCTTTTGTTCCAAAGTTAAAAAATGAATATGATTTATAATATATTTCATCAGTAAATAAATAAATAATAAAAAAAAAAATTACATTAAATACATATAAATTAAATTAAATTACATTTAATTTTATACTGGGATATTAAATAATTAATTTTATTATTATGTTTTCTAGAATATACTATTAAAACTTTAAATATATATATAATTATATATATATATATATATATATATATATATATATATATATATATATATATATATATATATATATGTATGTATTATAAAATATTTTTATATAGGAATTCAAAAATTAAGTTATAGATGAAACTTATTATAAAATTGGAATAACTAGTCAATAATAAAATGGTAACACGTTTTAAGATTTCTCATATGTTAATGATTCTAAAATTTAATGAGAAAAGCATAAGAAAGATATATATAATATATATATATTAATAAATAATATTCAAACAAACAAAAATTATTATAAAAAAAAGAGTTGAAAAAATATAAAAATAATTATATAAACATATATATAAAAATAAGATTTGTGTAAACAAAAAAATATGATAATTTAAAAAATATTTAAGTATAAATTTCTTCAAATAATTACATAAAAACACCCTATAAAAATACAGAAATTTAATTATACGTAAGTAAAAACAATTTTAGGTAATTCTAAAGTAATTTAAAATTCTGTAAAGCCTTAAATAACTAAACATGGAGTAAAATTAGGACAAGACGCAAATTAGACACAAAAAGCATTACATGAATTAGATAATTAATTTGATGAAATTTAAGAAATAAAGAATCCTAATAATTTCATTTAAAAAAAAATAATAGAGGATTTCGTAGTAGAATCTGAGTTTTTAAAAGCAAAAGAAATAAGCGAACTTTTAGATGTAGAAGAAGAAATAATAACTAAAATGGCCCTAGAATTGAATTTAAAACCTGAAAAAATTCCAGTAAAAGATGCAAATTTAATCACTTTAGTTTTCAATGCAAAAGTATATACACATGGTTAATAAACTTTTCCGAAATCTCGTTATCCTGTAGTTACTATAATGGGACATGTAGATCATGGTAAAACCACTATTTTAGATTATCTAAGAAAAAGCTCAATCGCTTCAGGTGAATATGGAGGAATTACATAAAAAATAGGTGCTTTTCATGTAATTACTCCATAAAATTAAAGAATTACATTTATAGATACACCTGGTCATGAAGCTTTTTCAAATATGAGGTTTAGAGGGGCAAATTCGACTGATATCATTATTTTAGTCGTTTCGGCTATAGAAGGTTTATAGCCACAAACTTTGGAAGCTATTAAAATGGCTTATTAAAGTGAAGTTCCTATGATTGTGGCTATTAATAAAATTGATGTAGATGGGGCTAGTCCAGAAGATGTCGAAAAATAACTTTTTGAAAAAGGAAAACTTTAAATTGAACCGTTTGGAGGAAATATTCCAGTGATCCATGTTTCGGCTTTGAAAGGTATTAATATGGATTTATTATAAGAATTAATTCTTTTTGAAGCAGAGTTATTAGATTTAAAAGCAGTATTTTTTTTATCTTTTTTAATTACTATTTAATAATAAAGGAATTTGATGTATTAGCTGAAGGAGTTGTTATAGAAAGCAAAAAAGATGCAAATAATGATCAGAAAATTTGTTCTGTTATTATTTAAAAAGGAACTCTAAAAATTGGAGATAATGTAATAATTGGAAATTAATATTGTAGAATTAGAAGTATTAAAGATGATAAAAATAATAATCTAAAACATGCCTATCCTTCATTTGGAGTTGAAATTGTAATTATATATATATATATATATATATATATATATATATATTATATATATATATTTATATATATATATATACATTTATTTTTATATAAAAGACTGGATTTAAATAATTACCTTAGCCAGGTGATGTAATATTTGCTTTAGAAAATGAATATATATCTAAAGTTATTAGTAATTATAGAATTAGAAATCAAAAAAGTTTTTAATTTTAAGACGAATAATTTATTGAAGGTTCACAAGCAAAAATAAAATTTAAGTAAATTATAAATATGCAAATTTTTATAACAAAATATTAATAAAGAAATCGTCGTGACAAGAGATTATTTTTTTCAGGAAATAAAGAATAAATAAAATAAAAATTTAATGAAATTGAATAAAAACTAATTATAAAGTTAGAAGAACAAAATTAAAAATTATTGGATGCATAACCAGATCATAAAATAAAAATAGAAACGGAAATTGCGAATATAGAAGAAGATATCGAAAAAAATAGACTATATATAGCAAATCTTATAGAAGACGAAGAAGAAGATAACGTATTAAATATAATAATAAAGGCTAATGATTATAGTATGAAAGAAACACTTGTTAGTTAGATATTAAAACAATAAAATATGAATAAAGAAATGAGTTTAAATATAACAAACGCCTCTGTAGGATAAATAACAGAATAAGATTTAAGAGAAGCGGAAATGTTTAAGGCAATTATCATAGGGATGGATATATAAATACCCCCTGAATTAGAAGGTTAAATAAAATAAAAAAACATAATTATAAAATCTCATAAGATTATTTATAATTTACTTGATGATATTAAAAGATTCTTACAAGAAACTAAATTTGGATTAAAAGAAGGCGAAAAATAAATAAGCAAAGGATAGGCTACAGTATCAAAGTTATTCGAAATATAAGGTGCTAAAAAAGAAAGATTAGTTGTGGCAGGGTGCAAAATTTAAAGTGGAGTTATAAATAAAGGATTTATGTTTAGATTAATAAGAGAAGATAAAATAATAGAAAAAAATCTAGAAATAAGTAGCTTAAAACATTTCAAAAAAGAAGTTTAGTAAGTAAGGGAAGGAAATGAATGTGGAATTATGCTACTTAAATATAACGATATTGAAGAAGGTGACATAATTGAAGGATATGTTATTGAAAAATGAATTATATATTATTATTTTTTTAAAAAAATATATATATTTTTTATAATAATATCTAAAGTAATATAAAAATATTTTTTTTATTTTTATACAAATATAAAAAAAAATAATAATAATAATATTTATATAAATATAAAAAATATTTAAATTTAAAATTTTTTATTATATAATAAAATAAATATAAATATATAAATATATAAATAAATAAATATATATTTATATTTATATTTATATTTATATTTTATTTATTTTTTATTTATGTTTTTTCTTTAATTCTTATATTTATTTATTTCATATTATTTTTGAACAATATTATTAATTATCAAACAAATTTTAATTATGATAAAGCCTAGCATAATTATATGAATTTTTCTTCTTCTTCTATATCGTTTTATTTGAATATTATTTATCTTTCATTATTTGTTTATTTTTATTGTAATTTTTTTTTATTTTAACTTGCTTATTTTAGTAATTCCTAAGTTACATTTGTACTTTCTGTATTTTAACTTTAGCTGTTATTTTTTTACATTTTAATCGTTTTCATTTATATTATTTGTTTTTATTCGTTATTATTATCATTTTGTGCTTAGTTTATATTTTCTATATAAAAATTGCTTTTATTATTATCTTAAATACAAAATTCTTTATTATTAGCATTTTAGTATTATTAATATTGCTCTTGTTTTATTTATTTAGTCTTTTATTCGATTTTATTAAACTTTTAAAAATAAAAATTAAAAAAATAACTAATATCAGTAAAATAAAGTTAAATTATTGATTTTTTTTTAAATAAATTAGGTATTTTTTATAACATATTTTTATTTTTTTATTAAAAAAAATTTAAATTTTTTTTTTTATTTTTTGCTGAGAAAATTAATAATAAAACAATTTACCAAATACCTATTGTCATTTGGTTTATTTATATAAAATTTAAAATTTGTTAAACTTGTCTTAAAGTTCATTTTTGGCTTTAAGGTTACTTTATTTTATATTAAATCCTATTGTTCAGGTTTAAGTATTAAATTTATTTTACTACCAATAACATTATCTTCAAATGAGCCGGTATTGCATTAAACAAAACCCTTTTAAATTTAACTTTTATTTCTAAACTATGATCTAGAATTTAGTTTTTGTTATGATTAATCTTTTAAAATGGCATATAAATTATTATTTTCTGTATCCATTTATATTTTTTATAAAAATATAAAAAATATTTATATATATGTATTGCTTTTTATGTAAATAATTATAATAAAGATAATATAATTTATTTTATATTTAATTCATAATTTCCATATATAAAAATTATAGTTTTTTTTTTCTTATTATTTTTTAATCTATTTTATATAATTTGTTTAAAATTTTTTATAAAGTTATTTTTTTCTTGTATTGATATTATTAAATGAAAAAAAATAAAAATCTAATAATAATAATAATAATAATAATCTATATATTATTTATTTTTTGCGTATTTAAAAAATATAATGTAATCATATAAATTACAGAAGCTAAAATAATAATCAAAAAAAATTTCAAAAAAACTATATTTTTTTTCCAAAATTTTATCATTTATAAAATATATGTTTATTATCTTCTGAATTTTCCATAAAAACTTTAGTATTAACTCCATCTAAATATATTCCGAAATTAGATTTTACCATAAACACATCAACATTTTCATCATTAATATTTAATTAAAAAAACTTCTTAACTATAGTATTATTTCCTAATTAAAAAAATTCCCCATTATTATATTCTTATTATAAAGGACCATTATTAAGAAACATTTTCTCCAATAAATAATTAGAAGAAACTGCTGCCCAATTTCCCATAAGTAAAGTCATATGAGGTATTTTATTTTCAATTAAAACATCTTTAGGTTTATCTGGAGTACATATAATTCTTCCTGGAACATAAAAGAAACTAAAGCCATTTAAATCGACATGTTATCCTTCTTTGAATTATAAATAATATTCTGTTTTGGCTTTTTCAATATTAGATCCTATATATAAGACTGTTGTATGCCATGAATCAGGAAGTTACCATAACTTATTGACCTTGTTTTAGGAAGATATTAAATCATAATGAGTTTAGATTATTTAAGTGTCTACTGATTATATAGATATGTCTTAGGAAAATATCAAATCATAATCAGTTTGGATTACTTGACGGTCTTCAGGCTATATAAATGGGTCTTTTAATATTAGATCAAATGATTATTTCATGAAACTAAATATAAGAGGCTTTGATTGTTTACTGTCTGCTACTATTCCTAAGTATGCGGGAAGGGATTAGGCTATTATTAGACTTATTAATATAGATATTATTAATAATTTTTTCATTTTTTTTTTTTTTTTTAAGTTTTATATTTTAATTAAAAAAATTCATTTTTTTTTTAATTTTATTATTTATTAAATAAAAAAAATTATAATATATTTAAAATTTTATATAATAAATATATATATATATATATATAAATATATTTATATATATATATATATATATATATATATATATATTATATATCCACAATAAAAAAAATTGTTCAAAAAGTTACCGAAATGCTTTCAGTGAAGGTTTTTAACAAAAAATCAGCAATTTTAAAGCTTTCATTTTTTTCAATTTTAAGCTAAAGTAATGCTCTTTTTATTCCTTTTAATTAAAAAAATACTACCTTCTAATCTATTTAAAATGCATTTAAGGCAAAATGTATATATTCGGAATCAAAAAGGTTTTCTTATAATACTAATATGAGAAAATATTACAAAAAATCCATATTTTTGAACATATTAACTTAATTAGGTGAGAATTAATTGAGTTATTTATTCTAAATCATCATATCTATCCAACGTTACATAATATTTAAGAGGTTATCAAGTTTCTCTAGAATATTATATAAAGAAGGTACTATAAGGAAGAAAGCTTTCATCCAATAAAATTTAATATCTATATTTTTGAAGAAAAAATTGCCTAGATTTGCTCTTTTAAAAGGCTCTACGAAAAGAGGCTGGAGCATTGAAAAAAAAAAGCTGTCGATTTTCTTAGATTTGATTTATTCTAATAAAATACAAACATTTTAGGGCTACATCTAATTCAATAAACACTAAATGAGATATTAAATGAATAAACTAACGTTTTAGTTTTTATTTTATTCACTAAAATAATCTAATAGGGGCTTTTTGGTCAAAAAATATCTCTCTATGTCATTTTAGATAGACATTTAATCTACTAGAGCATTATAATTGGATAAATATAGATTTTTTATATGTTAAAATTTCTACAAATAGGCTATTTTGAATCTTTCGTTTATTTCGAGGTTAAAATCCTTATATAGGAGTATAAAAAGAGTATACTTAGAGTAGAAAACAGTAGATTAGCTTATATTAATGGCTTAGTCTTTTACAAATTTTTATATTTTTTAAACATCTTCGGTTAAAAAAGAGAGAGCTATATCAAGAATTTCTTATTAGTTTTAAAAAATGCAATTATTTTGGTATAAAGTTGAATTTTTATTGTATAAAAAAGAGAACATTTTTTCTACAAAAAGTTAAGATAAAAATTCCAGATTTTATATTCCGCCTAATTCTTCGATTATATTGGATGTATTTAGATCTAAAATTTAATAAGTTTCCTATAAAAAAAATATAAAACGGTTTATTATAGCCTCATTTATTTTATATTTTTTATCTAAAATAATTTCAGTACATATTTTTTGGATTATTTCTTATATATTATTATGTATTTTAAATTAAAATTTTTTCATTGTTGTTTCTTAAGATTAATTAGTAAAATAAGTCTTCCTTAAACTTATATTATATACATATAGTATTATTTCTTTAAATTAATCCCCAGTCATCCCTTTGCAATAGAATATAAAGTTTTTTCTTAAAAGAGAATTTTATATTGTGAGTTAATCTTATAAGATATTTTAAAGGTCAGTTTATATGTTTTATATTATAGTTTCTGCGTCGATTTTTTTATATTGGCTTTGGTTAAATTAAATTAGTTGTTTTTATATTTATAAATTTTCTTGTTTTTATATAAAGTTAGTATTATTTTATGATATTTGTGTTTATTAAAATGATTTTTAGGAGTACTTTTATCGAATTTTATTCATAAGGTTTTCATAAAATAGCTATGTTTCTTTATTTAGGTTCATAAGTGGGTTGTTTTGGGATTTTTATTCATTATTTAAAGGTGTTTTGTTAGCATTTTGGCCTTTTTCTTAGTCTTCTTCTTCTTTTGTCTCAATTAATATTAAAGAACCCATTCCTCTTTGTTTATTTAATTATTTAACAAAACTATCAGGTAATTATGAGTATGATGTTGTTTTTGGAATGACTATTTTTTTTTTGGATTAATAATTTTATTCTAAATCTTTAAATGAGTCTCTTTTTGTTATTTAATTTATTGGCGAATATGTTTATTCTATAAAAGAGAATCTTTAGCCTATAAATTATTTAGGAGATTATTGAGATTATTGAGATTACTAAGATTATTTTTTTATCTAATATTAATATTGGGATGTACATCGACGACTTATGAGATTTTTTTCAGATAATTTTTTATTATTATTTTGGTCTAAAATAGAGGGAAGTTTATTTAATATTAATTTTTGGGAATTTTAGGACAATATTTCTTATTTTATATTTTATGGTATTTATTTTGGTGTTTAGGTATTTAGTTATTAACTTGGATATCTTTTTAAATATTTTAAAGGAAATTTTGGAGTACAATAATCTTATAATATTTAATAATTGTCATCTGGTTATTTTTAAGTTCGATTTTTTAATATTACATTTAGACGCTATTATGATATATCTGAAAATGACATTTTTTTTTTTAAATAATATAATAAAAATCTTTAAATTTAAAATTTTAATATATATGTATATAATTTTAATATATATTTATTAATCATTAATTTAACAACTTAATATTTTTGTTTTTGTTTTTTAAAAAAAAAAGATATAAAATAAAGAAATATTAAAATTTATTTTTTTTCAAACTTTTTTAAGTTTCTTTTCTAATTTATTTTCATATTCATTAAAAGGAGATTTCTTGTATTCTTTTTTTAAATTACCGTAAAGTTAGCGAGCAAATTCGCTTTCTTGTTCTTCGTAATTTTTTTCGTTTTCTTCATTTTTATTTAATGAATAATTTTAAACATCAGCTTATTATAATTTATTAGATTTTTAATTTAAATAATCATCTTCTTAATATTTTCTATTAAAGCTAGAATTAATAGATCCATCATCAGAATTATCTGTAGAATTTTTTTCTTAAGTAAAGAAGCAAGACCAGTAAATTAAGTAGGCTTTAAATATTCATCTAAGATATTTTGTTAGTATGACTATTATTATTATTATTATTATTATTATTATTATTATTATTATTATTATTATTATTATTATTATATTAGATATTTATTATATATTTTAAAGATCATTATTCATATTATCATTATTTATATTTGTATATGATTTATTTTTTTTATATCCTTAATTGTTTTTTTATTAATTAAAATTGTTATTATTTTATAAATTTTTTTTATTTTATAAATTCATTATTCCACTTTAATATCCATTTAAACTATTTTATTTTTGAAAATTTATATTTTATAAACTATTACTATTATTATTAATATTATTATTATTATTATTATTATTATTATTATTATTAGTATTATTAGTATTATTATTATTATTGTTGTTATTTATATTAATATTGTTATTATTATTTTTATTTTATTTATCAAAAGCAAAAGATCCTACATATATATTATTTCCTTTTCCAATTGGTGGTATTCTATCTGGTGACTTTGATTATCTTTTTACAAATTAATTTTTTTAAGACATTAATACCTAATGTCTATTTTTACTATTTTTAAGTAATGCTTCATGACATTCTTCTTTTATTTTTGGCATTTAATTAATTTCTAATGGTAATGGTTCACATTTAAAGTAATTATGATTTAGACACTATTCTACATTAAACCTTTTATTTGGATTTAAGACCATAATTCCATCAATTAGATTAATTAATTCAATATCCAAATCTTTTTTTTTGTTTACAATTCTTCCCTTAATTTTCTTTCGAATTACCTTCTTGGTTTTAAATCTTTATAGAATTATAATTTTTGTGCTTCAGGCCAACTTTTACTATCTGGAGATCCACATAAATCATATATTTTTTCTATTTATCTAGATTCATTTTCTCCTTTTAAAAGATTTTCATTTACAGCCAATTCTATAAAAACACAACCTACACTCCACAGATCAATCTAAGAACTATATTCTCTCGCTCCTAAAAGTAATTCAGGTGCTCTATACCATAAAGTGACTACTTTATTTGTATATTTAGGTTAAGAAGGATTTAGAAGACGTGCAAGACCAAAGTCTGCTATTTTCACCTCTCCTTGATTATTATAGAGTATATTTGCTATTTTTAAATCTCTATGTATTACTTTCTTTTAATGTAAATATTGAACTCCTAATAATATCTATTACATTATACATTTTAATTCCGGGAGGTTAAAATGAAGCTTATTTCTATGTAATCCTGCAAAATCATGGTCCATGTAATCAAATACTAAAAATGTAGAGCCTCGAAAATCATTTCTTTCGGAAGGCTTAGATACTATTATTTCACGTAGTTTTATTATGTGTGTATGATCTAATTGTTTCAATAATTTAATTTCTCTAATTGCTGTTATAGGAAATCCATCTTCTTTTATTTTCTCGTCTTTACTTTCGAATTTTTTTAATGCTACATATTATTTAGTTTTTAAACATTCAGCTTTGTATACTCGACCATATGTACCTGAACCTACTTCAGCTATTACTCGGTAGTATTTTTTTATGTTTTTTGTACGAATTGGTACAGTTTTTGCTATTGTTTTTTCCATTTGTTTTTATTATATATATTTAATTTATTATATATATTAATTCTTTGTATTATTTTATATATATTTTTATATTTTTAGATTATTATTAAAATATAGATTGTTTTTATTAAAATATATAAAGTTTTTTAAAATTAAATAAAAATATATAAAGTTTTTTAAAATTAAATAAAAATATATATATATACGAACATATTTTTTTGTTTTTTTAAATAATTTTTTTGCCATTATAATAATTAATTAAATTTTTTTATATTATATATTTTTTTTATATATAAAATTATCTTGATTATTATAAAAATGTTATAAAATGAATTATATTTTTTAAATTATTGATAAATTATAAGTATTATAAATACATTTTAAAGGAATAATTTTTATTTTTTAAAAAAATAAAAAATTAAATTTTAAATTTTTTTTATTTCAATTAAATAAAAATACATAAATTTATAAAATTGCTAATATTAAAAAAAATTTAAAACATAAACTAATAATTATAAAAAATAAATTTAAGTTTTTTGTTAAAATATGATTGTCAATTAGTATTATAAATAAATATACTTTAAATTATTATTATTTCAGCTATTTATTTATATTTTTTTTCCTAAAATTTTATTTCATCATCTATTTATTTTTAATTCTATTTTTTAATTATAATTATTCTTATCACCTTTTTTTAAAAATCTAGATACTTAAGATTACATTTCATTTACTTAATTACTCGAAGAGATTTTACTTACTGATTCGTTTCTATTTAAATGCTATTATATTTATGCTTTAAAAAAGTTAGTATTAACGGAATTTTAATAACTATTATTTTAATTAATTTTACTATCATTTGAACTTTGGTAATTTTTTTATTAATTTTCATTTTAAACTTAGATTTATTAATTTTCTTATTAAGCTAATTCTGCATTTATAATATTTTTCTACAAAGTTATTCCGTTTAATAATTCTAAAAAATAAATAAATTTTTAAAATAATATATTTTTAATTTATTTTAATATATTTTTTTAATTACTTATAGATTATAAGGCTGCGCTTTCATTATCAAAATATATAACACAAATATCTAATTAATCTTGCTCTCTCTTTTATAAAATTTTATAATTAATAAGTTAATATATTAATTATTTAAAATTAAAAAAATATATATATATAAAAGATATAAATAAATATAAAGATTTATATCTTTTAAATATATACAAATTTATAAATTTAAATATAATAATAATGTAAAAATAAATACCAAAATATGAACGATATTGCTATTATATTTTTAAATAATATTGAGTAAATATTCATTTTATGTGTTTTTATTTAAATTACTAATCAAAATTGGAAATGCATTTTAAAATATCCTTTATTAGTTATTATATTAATTATTATCTAAACTTGTTAAAGATTCAGAATAATTAAATGTTTTTATAGGACTATCTTAAGAAATTTATCCTTATAATATATTATTTTTATTTTTATTTTCAATATTATTTTAATTATAAATATTATTTATTTTATTATTAAAAATATTTTTGCTCTCATTTAATATATTATTATTATTATTATTATTATTATTATTATTATTATTATTATTACTATTAATACTAATATTATTTTAGTAGTTTTTATTTTTTTCATTATGTTCAATATTTATTTATTTTAATTTTACATTTTTTCTTAAATTTTAAATTGAAATTTTTTTTTTAGGCTATTCTATAACTTTTTACCATTTTCCATCTTCTCCTTTTTTAAGCTATTTATTTTTAGTCCCTTTTATTCTTTCATTTAATTTTTCTTTTAAAGTAAATGATTAGCTTGAAAATTTTATTTTTTTATAGATTCCTGTTCCTTTAAATCTTTTTATTTTAAGTTTAGTATTTTAATTTTCTTTAGAATTTTTTTTTAGAATTGTTAATCTTCCTACTTTTATTTTTATATCGCTATCTATTTATTAAGAATTCATTTTTTTTATTTAATTTAATAGATTTAATTAATTTTTATATATTTTAATCATAATGTTTTTTTAATTATAGTTTATAAGTATATAATCTATATATATATTTAATTTTTTTCTTTTATTTATTTTATTATATAAGATTTTTTATTCCCTCCTTTATACTATAATTTAATTTAATATATAAATAAATTAAAAATGTTTTTTTTTTATTAAATATATGATTTTTTTATATTTTTTAATATTTAAATATATAATATATTATTTATCTTTAAAAAATTTAAATTAATTTATTGAATATAAATATTTTAAATAAAAATTATTAATTTACTTAATTAAAAATAAAATATATATATATATATATATATATATATATATTATATATATATATTAACAATTTTTATCTATTAATAATTATAAAATTCTAATTTTTTTTTTTTTTATAAAATATATATATTAGATCAATATTAAATATTTTATATTTTTTTTTTTTTTAAATACTAAAAAATTTATTATTAAATATATATATTTTAAATTATATAATATATTTTTTTTTTTTTAGAATAATAATATATTAATTATTAAAAAAAATTAAATAAATAAAAAATATTATAATAAGAAATACTTTTAATAATTGTTTTATATTTCTATTTAATAATAATTATTATAAAATGATTACAATTTATTTTTACCAATAATCTACGGATCTAATAAATTCTCAAAATTTAAAATTAAATGATTATTTTTTATGTTAATGTATATTAAAAAAAGCTTAAAAAAATTCTAATATATATAAATAAAAATGATTTTCTTTTATAGGATAAATAAATTTCATTGAAAATTTGTATTATAAACAATATTTTATTCTAAGTAACTAAAATTTTTAAAACTAAAATTATGAAATTTAAGTTTGTTATAAATAAAAACTTTATAAAATTTTAAATAATATTTTAAAACTAATAATTTACTATGATTTAGCATTTTTTTCTGTAATTTAATTTTAAATAAAAAGAAATTATATATTAATAATGCTATATAAATAAAAAATAATAAATTATAGATATATATATTAAATTAAAATATCTTTTTTTTAAAAAAAATAATTAATAGATATTTAAGAATTTCATATTTACAATATATTACTGATTTAAATGATATTTTTTAATTATTATTAATATATTTAAGATATTTTAAACATTTTTATTTCTATTTTTTTTTATAACAATATTTTGTTTCTATTTTTTTTTCTTTAGGTTTTTTTATTGTTTTTTCATTATGAGATACCACAAATTAAATTAAAAATAAAGAAAAAATAGATTTTTTATTAAATATCTATATATTTTAAAAATACAAGCTAATAGCCCTATAATAATAATTAGAATATAAAACCTATATAAAAAAATATATTATTTAAGTCTTAACAATGAAAAATCTTCCTTAAAATAATTATCATATAATAAATAATAAAGAACATCTTTATGTAAAAATTTCCCTTTTTTTATTTTTATCAAGATTATCTTAAATTAACTTTCTAAAAATTCTGATATCAATATATTAACTATAAATTATAATCACTAATTTTTTTATTTTATGATAATTTTTTTTTTTAGAAAATTTAATATTTAAGAATTTCTGTTTTATATTGGTTCTTATTTAATTGATAAATCCAGTTTTTTTTTTTATTTTTTTATAAATTAAATAAATAAATTTTTAAAGTGTCTTTATGATATTATAATATTTAAAAAAAATATAAAAAAATCTCATTTTTTTTTATTTAAATAAATAATATGAAATATAAATTTTTTATTTAAAGTTTAATGATAAATATATAATATTCTTAATTATAAACTTATTTTATAATATAATATTTAAGGTTTAACATATATATTATATAATTTAATTGAAATAATTATTATTTAAAAACAAAAAAAAATTATTGTTATTTTATATATTTCATATTAAAAAATAAATATAATATTTTATATTAAATGCATTATATATATAAATATTTATGTTTTTGTAAAAAATCATAATAACCAATATTAAGTTAAATGTATATTTTAAATTATTTAAAGGAATAAAGGATTTTATAAATTAAAATAAAAAATATTTATTTTATTTATTAAGATGATATAACAAATAATTATAAAAAAAAAAAAAAATCATCAAAAAGTTTTTTTATTTTTTCAAATTTTAGCTTTTCCTCCATCATTATTAAAATCAGGATAAAGTCCATTTCTAATTTCTGGTAAAAATTCTTAAAATGATTATTCGATTCTTGCATCTAAAGTATTTGAACAAACAATTTTTCCATCATAACAACTAATAACTACACCTCCTAATCTTTAATAATAATACAAAAAAAAGGAATTAATAGGTATTTTATATTATTTTTATATAAATTAATTATATTCGTATTTTTTTACATATTTTTATTTTTGTCATTAAGAAAATAATCTTTATTAATGCTTATTTTACAATTAAAGTTTTTAAGTTTACATTCTTTAATAACTAAAGTATTAAAATTACTTTCACATTCATAAATAATGCTTTATATTAAATCCAAATCTTCTTTTTTACATTACAATTCAACATTTTATTCCATTAATTTAATCATAGCCTATATTAAAAAAAAAAAAAAAAAAAAAGTTTTATTCTAAATATTATCTTATTATTATTTTATTTTTATACTTAAATAATAAGATCTTTAAGTAATTTTTTATATTATTCCTTATTCTAAATTAAACTCTCTAATTGTTTTTTTACATCTATTTTCAAAGTTTCTAAAAGTTCATATCTTCTAGTCATTTTTTTTAATCTACATTCATTAATAACAGATGAACGTTCACTTTATTAAAATAATTAATTTTATTTATTAAAAACTAGTTGTTTACATTTTTTTCTAGGATTATACTTATTCCATTTTTTTATAATATTCGGAAATCACTTTTTGCTTTTCATGATCAAAATATTTATTATATTCTTAATTATAAACAGCATTTCCTGTCTCAATAATTCCTTATGATACATGATTGGCTTTCCATTCTATTGCTTTTGTCATTTCTGCTACTCTTTCTTAAGGATTATAGGTAGAAGTCATTTTAAATATATATTTATTTATTTTTTTATTTTAATAAATATAATTTATATTATAATCTTATATTTTTGAAATAAAATTTTTAATAATTTTTTTTTTACATTTTTTTATAAGTTTTAATTTTTCCTAAATACGATTTATTTTTAATAAATAAAATATATATATATAATATCAATTTATATTATAAATAAATATTATTTTTTATTAAATTAAATAATTAAAATTTATTACAAAAAAGCAAATAAAAAATAATTTAATATTTAATATATTGTTTATTTTTAACAATGTATTTTTAAAAGAATTAATTTTATTTTATTTTAATTTATAAAATAAAATAAATAATAAAAATAATAAATATTTGTTTTGAAAATGTCTAATTATGATAAAATATTTAATTAGTGTATATAAAATCAAGATTCTTATTATGAAAATATATTTACTTTAGTAGAAAATGCATCAGATATGTAGAAATATATATAATATTTATATTTTATATATAAATTTATATATTTAACTACAAAAAAATAAAAAATAGCTAATGTTGTAAATAAATAGTAAAAAATGTAAAATAGACATTATAAAATAAACAATTAAAAGCTATATAAAAATATTTTGCTTTATAAGTATAAAATTAAAAAAAAACAAACAAACAAATTACATACCATACACTATTATCAAAATTAAAAATAAAAAAAATAGATTTTAAAATCAACAATATAATCAAATAATAAATAATTAGCATAATTAACGGCAGAAAATTTAACAGAAATATTTGTTAAGTACGCATTACATAATTCTAAATCTAATGATCCTAAGCGAGGTGAAACAGTATTTGGAAAAGATTAAGGTTTTTTTTATTTATATAAAAAAAAAGAAAAAAAGAAACTTAACAAAAATAAAAATAGATAAAGATGCATCAAATGATTTTTATTTTTTATTAATAGAATGTATTAAAGCTTGGCCTATATTGTTTCCAAATATAAAAGCATTAAATTAATTATATTAAGATTTATTAAAAGAAGGAGTTATTTTTCCAAAAGAACTAACGAATTTTCAAGATGAACTTAAAGAAATTAAAAATAATTAATAAAAAAAAATAGATTATACAAATAAATATACAGAGGAAACGTAAAAAGGTGAAATATTAAATACTGAATCATAAAATAGATTGACTTAAAAAGGAGATAATTAAATATAACCTTCATAATAAATAATAAATATAAATGTATAAGAACTAGATATAGAATCTTAAAGATTACATAAGTTTTTGTAAAACATAGATGAGAAATTATTAATTATTAATTAATAAGAAAATGAAATTTTAACGATAGAATGTTTAAATATTTTTTAAGTCTATATTTTATATTTAATTTTTTTAAAAAAAAAGATTTATAATAATTAATAAAGCCTTTAATTAAATAAAATTAGAAAATTACAGAGACTCTAATAAATACAGTATTAGGGTTACCTTAAAGTAAAAACAATGAGATTTTGTAATCGAAACTTTTTGAAAGTAAGGAATTACTTGAATTTATAATTGGTGAAAATGAGAAATTGACAAAAAATAAAATATAAGTTACTAATTATGTAATAAGTTTAAAAAAATAAGTATTGAAATATTTAAAGTAAAATAATATGTATATATAGTAAAAAAAATATTTTTATAATTAAAAAAAGAAATTATTATACGAATGATATTCTTAAATAAAATAATTAATAATAATAATAATAATAATAATAATAATAATAATAATAATAATAATAATAATAAAATAATATATAATAAATAAAAACAATAATAACTATAATAAAAAGATAATTTTTAAATTTCAAATTCTTTTAAATCATAATAATAAAATAATAATTAATTTGATGATTTCTCATAATTTAACGTTTAAAATTAATAAAATGATATTTTTACTGATTATGGTTTCGGATAAAATGATTGGGACAATCAGATATAAAGATAATAAAATACAAATAAATAAAAAGATGATTTTTTAAATCAATAATAAATATAGTAATAACTTTAATAATAATAAATATAACAATAATAATTATTATTAGAATAATAATAAATGGAATAATAAAAATAACTACATGAATAATAATAAAATTTATAATATAATGAATAATAAAAAACTAAATAATCTTTTCAATAATAATAATCAGAATAATAATAATAGCAATAATTATAAATTTAAAAATAACGATTCTAATAATAATAATAATTTTCAAATAGTCAAATTCAGCAAGCAACGCTTGATAATCCTTTTCAATCTTAAATAGAATAAATTCCTTATAATAATAGTAATATTAACAACCCATTTAATTTTGAATACGAAGAAAACTAATAATCTTAATTCGAGCAGTAATAGAATTAATATCCGAATTAAGAAATTTAATAAAATTAATTATAAATTTAATAATAACATCAATAACTAAATAATACACAATAAGAAATATAATAAAATGCTATTTAAAATCAATAAATATAAAACGATAACCCGTTTGATGATAATGTTTATTAACAAAATGATGAAAGCTATCACGATTAATTTTTTGATTAATTTGAATAATAAAAATAATAATAATAATATGAAATAAATTAGTAATAATAATTAGAATAATAATAATAATTATAAATATAATAATAATAATTATAATATTAATAGTAGTTATAGAATTAAAATATATAATAATAAAAAATAAACAATTAATTGCCTTAAATTTAAGTACATTAAGAAGAAAATCCTGTTTTTGAAAATGATAATAATTTTTCTGTAAACTAATCATAAAATATAAATAATATATAATAATAAAGTTAAAATAATATTAATTTTCAACCTCCTTCTTAATAAGAAATTAGCAATACTTTAAATTTCAATTAGAATTTGAATGAGAATAATTTTTATTAGCAAGAAATTATTGAAAATTAATAACAATAAATTTTTGGAGATAATAATTTAGAAGACATTAATTAAAATATTGATTAATAAAATTAAGTATTTAATAATTAATAATATTAAGGTAATGATATGAATCAATAAAATGATTTATTCCAATAAGTATTTTAAGATAATCATTATTAAGAAAATAATTAACAACCATAAATTTAGTAAATTTAAAATTTTCAAAATGAATAATATTACGAAGAGAATGATTAATAAAAATAATATAATTATGAAAATCAATAATAAGACTAATTTTTTTAATAATAATAATATTATGGCAATGAATAAAATGATAACTATTTTAATAATGATTAAAAATAAGTAATAAATTAATAAATAGATGAATTCTAAGAAATTACATACAATTAAGAACAATAAGTATAAAATTAAAATTAAAAATACACAGAATAATATAATAATGACATTTAATAATAAGATTAATAAAATAATTAATAGGATTTTGGATTCGATTAATTTCCTTAAGAAAGTAATTTTTTTGATGAAAATGAATTATAAAATAATAAAACTACTCAAAAAGAAAAAAATTAAAATACATAGGATTAAATATAACAAAATAGTCAAAACACTTTCGAATAATTTAATCAAGGATATAATATATAATATTAAAAATAAAATAAAGAAAAATAAAATACATAAAAATAAATATAACAATAACAATAAGAAAATTTAAATATATAAAAAATTCAAAATAATAATTATCAAGATCAATTTTTTGATGATTAACCTATTTCATATATAAATAATGATACCAAAATTGCTGATGAAAATTTTGATTTTTTTAATTAAGAATAATAATAATAATAGCCTAAAGAAAATTAATAAGATATTTTTTAAATTTTTACACAAGAAAATAATTAATAATAATAATAATAATAATAAAAATAATAATAATAATAATAATAAATAGATTTTTCATAATAAATATTTAAAGAAAATTAATAATAATAATTTTAAAATCAATAAACAATTAAATAGCAATAAAATAATAATGATGATTTATATTATAATTTAAATTAAGAATAAACTATATAATAATATATTTATGATAAAAAAAAATTATTTATCATCTAAAAAGCTTAATCTAATAATTCTGAAACCTATTTATATATAAATAATGATACCAAAATTGCTGATGAAATTTTTGATTTTTTTAATTAAGAATAATAATAATAATAGCCTAAAGAAAATTAATAAGATATTTTTTAAATTTTTAACAACATAATAAAAATAATAATAATATAATAAATAATAATAATAATAATAATAATAATAATAAATAGATTTTTCATAATAAATATTTAAAGAAAATTAATAATAATAATTTTAAAATCAATAAACAATTAAATAGCAATAAAATAATAATGATGATTTATATTATAATTTAAATTAAGAATAAACTATATAATAATATATTTATGATAAAAAAAATTATTTATCATCTAAAAAGCTTAATCTAATAATTCTGAAAATATTTAATAAATAGATAAAAAACTTGAAATTATTAATTAATTTTATTTATGTATAATATAAAACCAAGATTTTAATTAAGATCCATTTTATTTTTCACCTCTTAAATCAGGAAGAGCTAAATCTAAATTTATTAAGAACATTTAAAATTAAATTAATATAGTAATAAAAAAATGTTTTTTTTTATAAAAAAAAAAATATAAAAAGAATGAAAATAGTCAACAATAAGAAATACTAAAATAATTTTAATAACAAATAATACTGTTAAAATAAGTAAAAATAATATTTATATATATTTAAAAATAATGTAAATTAAAAAAAATAGGAAATTAATGAAAAAAATGAATTGAAAGAATAAGAAAATCAAAAAACTTAAGAATTACAAAAACAGTTAATAACTTTAATAAAATCATAAAATAAATTAAAATAAGAAATGGACTAAATACTTGAAGAAAACAAGAAATTACATAAATCTTAACAACAAATAATGCAATAAAACTCAACAATATAAAGCCAAAACATAACTATGTCTTAAGAATTATAATATTTAAGATAAATATTAAATGAAAATAGTATTTTATATGACCCTTAAAATAAAGATTTATTCGAAGAATACTAATCCGTATAAATAAATAAAAATATAAGGGAGAATTTTAAATAAATAGAAAATTAATTAACTTTTTAAAAAAGACTTTACTAAAATACTAATATAACAGAAAATCTATAAAAACTATTATATTTTAATCTTAACTCTTCTCCTGTAAAAGACGATGCCATTGTTAAATTGATAGGAATGAATAAAAACAAAAATTAATAAAAAGAAAAAAAGAAAATATACTATGATGTTTCTCTATTTAAGAATATTCTTTAATCCGAAAACTATTATTAAAACAGAGAAAATTTAGATAACTTTAAATATGCATGTATTATGAACAAAGCTATATTGTTTGAAAATAAAATATTATAAATTGGAATAGAAAATAGTAGTTAAGAAGGACAAATTTAAATTGAAATGACTTTTCATTTTATTAATAAAAGCAAAGAATTAATTTAATTAAATTTTGATGATAAATGTAAATAATATTTTAAAAAAAAAATATTTTTTATATATATATATAAATATATATATATTTTTTAGAAATTAGTTAAGGATTTTTAATTAATTTAATTAATCCTTTAGAAATAAGAGCAAGAAATAAGTATAAGCATAAAATTGAATTAAATTAAATAGATATAAATAAATAAATTCCTCAAGCAAATATTGCTTTAATGTAAAATAATAACAAAATAAAAAAATTAATATAAAAATATAAAAAATATAAATATATATATATAAATATATATATATATATATATATATATATATTTATATATATTTTTATAATTTAGTGCATATGAAGAATAAACAAATCTTTTAATAGGAATACCTATCACAATAACAAAATTAATAAAATATGAGTTTTTAGAAAAAACACAATTTAAAAATATATGGAAATAAATGAAATAAAAAAGCGTATTTAATGAGCCTAGAAAAATCAATTAAAAATTTGGAAATGATGTTACGGATTTAAAAAAATATTTATAATATATGATGGAACTTAATTCTAAAAAATAAACTTATGGGTTATTTTTTAAACTATTTGAAAATAATATGTATATGATGAAAATTAAATAATATTAAGATCAATTAATTACTTTTAAAATTTAATATTAAGATGATGATTAGGAAAATATAGCTTAATATTTATGTAATTTATTTTGTTTTTTATTTACTATATGATTATATTATTGGTTATTTATATTTTATGTTAAATATTTATTTTTTTATTTATATAAAATTATATATATAATAAAATTTAAATGAATTTAAATCCTTTTTTTTAATTACAAATAAAATTATTTATTTATAAAAAAATGTATTAATTTTATAATCTAATAAAAAATAAATAAAAATAACTTTTAATTAATTTAATTTATATTATATTATTAATTAATTCATTTACTATATTTATAATCATATGAAAAATCATCATTTTTTTTCTAAAAGCATTTTAAATCAGGTTTAAAAGTGCATTATTATAATTCTTTTGATTCTTTATACATTTAATACATATCTTTGATAATTTCTTTTTTGAACAAAGCATTTTTGTCATAAAGTCTTTCAGCAAAGTTTATTTTATTATTATTCAAAAAAGATGATTTTTCATTAAATTTTTTATTTAAACTTAAATCAGGTCTAAAAGTATAATCCTTCTTATTTTTTTCAAGTAAAAACCCTTCATGATCATAAAAACCCTTTTTAAAAAATTTTTATTTACTTTTTTATGTTTCACTAGATTTCCTTTAATTACTATTTCTGCTTGAATTCAATTATCTTTATTTTTGATTTTCTTTTTTTTTAATAGTTTTTTAATGTTAAAAATAAATATTTTTAATTGAAATATCTGTATTTTATTCATTTTCAGGGGAAAATTCATTTGTATTTTTTAAAACTTCTAAACCAGTCTGTTTTTCTTCTATTTATTTTAAATTTTTTTCACTTTCTTCATTTTCTTATTTTTATTTGATTTTTTAGACAAATTATTTTATAGATTTTTCATTTATATTATGTTTTTGTAGACTTTATATATAAATATATATATATATATATATATATATATATATATATATATATATATATATATATATGTTTTTTTTTATTATTATTAAAAAATAAAAAATATTACTATAAAAAAGATTCCCTTTTAACTTCTGTTTATATTTATTTAGCTAAATTATTTATATTTTAGGTTTTTAAAATATTTATTATTTAATTTAAATGATACTATTTTATTTTTTCATCATTTACTTTTATTAATAAATTCCATAAATCATCTATATTTTCATCTTCGAGTTTATTTTTAAAATTTTAATTCATTATATCTTTATATTTATCTATATTTAATAATTATTTTTTGTTGTTTCTTTAATTAATTTTGTTTTCTTTTTCGGATTCTCTTATTGATCTTTGAATAGATACTTCTTAATAAAATAAATAATTGGACATAAATTAATTTTTAGTATAAATATGTTATATATGGTATATTTTTGTTTTTTTAATTTATAATATATTTTTTATTTTACTTTTCTTATAAATATATAATAATAAATTTTTTTTAAAAAAAAAAACAAAAATTTTAAAAAAAAAAAAAATTAATTTTTTTTTTTTTTTTTTTCATTTAAAAAATATAAAAATATAACATCTTTTAGTTTTTGTAAAAAAATCATTTAATATTGTTTTAATTCATGCATTTTTTAAGCTTTTTAAAAATACACCTTCGAATTCTTTAAGACTAACTTTATTATCTTTAATTTAATCATTTTATTCAATCCAATTAGTAATATCTTCTTATTTAGGAATAAATTTTTCCATACCAATATCTATATAAGTTTATTTAATAAGATTAAATGTTTCATCTTTATTAATATATCCGGATGAATCTTTATCAATTTTTTTAAATATTGTGATTGCAATTTATAACTTTTACTATATACTATCATTTTCTTCATTTATATTATTATTTAATTACATTAAATATTTTATTGCTAATTATTCAAAATCATCAACTGTAACTTTTCCATCTTTGTTATAATCTAAAACTTCTTTTAAATAATTTTACTATTCTTCTTAATCTGGAGTGTATGAGGGATTTCCTAATAATGATTAGGCATCTTTTATCATTTAAGATGGATTTAATTGATTTTATTTAAAATATTTTTAAAATAATTCTCTTCCTATTTACGCTGCATCTTATTCACTTAACATTTTTTAATTTATTTTTAGTTAATTTTATATTTTATTATTAAATAATATTTATATATTTTTGAAAATTTATGAAATTTTTTCTTAAGAATCTATTATATTTAATTTTTAAATATAAATATTTTAAAAAATAAACTGATTTTAATAATTTTTTTTTTTTTTAATATGGGGATAATTTTTTTTGTTAACAAAAAAAAAGAAATATAATTATATAATATATTTTCTTTATATCATAATATATTTAATATAATATAGTTTAAAAAAAATAATGAAATTAATATTAGTTAAAAATAAATAAAAATAATGTTTTTTAACCGAAAAAAACATATATCTTTTAATTAAGATTAATAAATATTAAATTTTTTAAATTAAGAATATTTTAAATATATAATGAATTAAAAAATAAATGAAATAATTAAAATAATTTAATATGATTAAATAAAAATATAATTAAATCAATTAAGATATAATAGTATATATAAACAAAAAATATAATATATAATAAAATTAAATATTAAAATGATTATTTATTTAAAATAAGAATAACAAATATAAATACTATATATATATATATATATATATATATATATATATATACATATATAAATTTATACATTTATACATTTTTATATTTATACATTTATACATTTATACATTTATACATTAATACATTTATATATTTATATATTTATACATTTATACATTTATATATTTATACATTTATACATTTATACATCTATACATTTATAGATATTTATATTTTTTGATTTTGTTTTATTCTATTATTTTTATAATTTTTAAATTTATGTTCTAATTTTTTTTATTTTTATTATTATAACTATATTATATAGAGAGTTAACGTACGATTTTTTAGCCTTACTCCTACTTTCCGTATAAAGCTTATATTAACAAACATTTTCCTAAGTTTTATCCTTTTAATTTAAATAATATATTTATTATCGCATTTAAATTTTTTAAATTTTTATATTTTTTATTCTATATTTTCGATGATATTAATTATTATTAGGATTATTTAGAATTTTACTTATTTTATAATACTTCGTAAAATACTTTATATTCTAATAATATCCTAAATTTAAAATTATTTTTATTTAATTTCCTAATTTAATAGAATCAATATTGCACCTATTAAACAGATTAAGTAAAAAAGAAAATTTTAAATAATATTTAATTAAAAAAATATATATTAATAATATAAAGAATATATATATATATATATATATATATATATATATTGATTTTATTTTTAATTAAATAATAAATATTTTTTTTTTGTAATAAAAGTAAAATAAATTGTTTCAATTCAAAGAATTAAATAAATAAAAAGTGAAAAATAAAAAATACTCAATAAATTAAATAATAATATTCTTATAAAAATAAAAATAAAACATAAATATATAAATATAAGTAAATCATAAAAAAAAAATAAAAAAAAAATAAAAATAAAAAATATAATTATTAGTATAAAAAAAAATGTAATAATAAGAACTACCAAATAAAATAGCCCTATAACTCTAAAAACCGAACTCTAAATAATAAAAAGATTATACATAAGCCAATTTATAGACAGCCATATAATTACCTCAACTTTAAATAGATTCAGATAAAATTTAATATGTAAAATTAGAGAAAAAACACGAAGTAGAATTAGAAATAACTTTTATTCATAAAATATGTTTTATTTCTTTCGGAATAGCTTCATTTGCTGGTTGGAATTCTATAGTGACTGCCTTTGATTTTTTTTCTAGTAAATATCCAAAAGAACAATATGTAGATATAACTTTCTATTTCCCTTTTGCGGTTATGGTAGGTGATTTTTTAGCTGGAATAATCACTCCAGCATTAGCAAAAAAGACATCTCATTAATTAAGAATAACTATAAGTGTTCTAATAATAGCTATTTTATGTCTTTTATTATCTCTAGTGGCTGTTTATTATAATAACTGGAATGGTTTTTGGATTTCGATGACCATTTTATTCTTCGAAGGGCTATTTGAATGCATAACTACACATTCTTTAGTTGCTTTAGCTGGTTAAGTGCACCCTTATTTAAATAATTTATACTGGACATATACTGGAGGGTCAGGATTGATGATGAATTTATTAAGATTCATAGTTTTGGGAGCTTTTGGGGAAAGTGAGGAAGCTAATATTAATTTAGGGACGATACTTTATTTTTCTTTTGCAGCTGTAGTTTTTCTTATTTCGATTTTTTTTCTTATTCTTTTTTGTAATAGTGATTACTATAAAGCTATAGAATTAAGAGATTTAAAAAAATATGAAGAAATAAACTAAAAAAATAAAAAATTAAACAAATAATAATATTAAGAATTTTAATATTATATAAAAATAAATTTAATATATTAAATTATTATTTTCTATAAGATAATATGTGGGTTTCTTACCTGTTTTTTTATGGTTATCTTTTTTTAAACTTTCCTTATGTTTCCGGCTGTCTCAGTTTTCTAAAAACCTACTTATACAGTATTAAAAGGTGCTTGGGCTACGTATTTATATATATAATTATAGATATGTTTTTATTTATTTTTTGTTCAGAGTTACTATGATTACTATTTTTAATTTTTCTGATATGATGGGGAAATGGATAGGAGATTATAAATGTCTCTAGAGATTATATTTTATTTATAGTTTAGTTATTTTAAGATTTATTTTTATTGTTTTCTTTTTATTTACAACTAATTAAATTGGAGGGGAGTTTTTCTAAAATGATTATTTTGCTTTTTGTAATATTTTGTGTTTTCATTTACTAATGGATTCGTTACTACTAGTTTAATGTATTTGGCACAAAGAAAAACTAATAATCCAGCTATTAGGGATTTAATTAATTATATAAATTCTTTTATTATGTCTTTTGGTATTGATTTCGGAATTATTTTTGCTATATTTTTAGTTCCTTAATGAAGTTTTATTTTATTATTTAGAATAATAATATATTATGTTTTATTTATATAATAGATTGTTCTATTTAAAATAATTAAAAAAAAGTATTTATTAAATTAAGGATGTTAGAATATTAATTAAAGTTATTATTTGTATATTTTATTTTAAATCTTATTTGTATTTTTTTTATATATTATTCGTAAATAATATGTAGAAAAACTTGTATATAATAAAAATTTATACATATTAAATTAGTGTATGACTATTTTATTTAAAATTTAAATCAAATAAAAAAACATATTATTTTAATATTTATAAATATTAAATTTTAAAATATTAATAAAATATATAATTATAAAATTAATTGAAATAATTTTTTTTTCATTTTAACATAAATAAATAAAAAAATATAATTAATTTTATATTAAAATAATAAAAAAAATTAAAAGAAATAATATGATAAACAAATTAATATAAAAAATAAATATAATAATATTAATAATTAGTAAGATAAATTAAAAAAAAAAATATATATAAATAAATATATATTTATATATATATATATATATATATATATATATATATATATATATATATATATATATTTTTTAATTAATTTTTTAATATTCCCATATTAATTACATATTAATTTTTCTTAAAATAATATTTAAATAAAAAAGTTAGGTTAAATACATTAAGAATAATAATTATTTATAATTATTAGTTAAAAAAAAAAAATTATATTAAGGATAATTATAAATATACTTTAATTTGTATAAAAATAGATTTAATGAATAAAAATAAAAATAATATTATGATTTATTAAAATAATGTAAATTTTTTTTTTATTAAATATAAATATTTTTAATAAAAAAATTAAATTAGTTAAATATACTATTATTATAAAAAATAAGAAATTGAAATTTTAAAGTTTATATAATATATTTATTTAAAAAATATTTGTATTACTTTTTTTTTAATATATTTATTTAATTATTTTATATATTTAAAAACATATCTTTATTTATTAAAATTAATTTATAATTGCAATCTATTTTTTAGTAATTTCATTTTTATTTTTTTATTTAGGATTTTTCTAGAAATTTAATTTTCAAAATAGAAATTAAAACTTGAAATTAAATGTTTATATTTTATTATATAATATATTTTTTTTTTATATAAATAAATATATTAATATTATTTATATCAAAAAATATAAAAAATTTATATTTATTAAAAAATATTTATTTATCTAATAAATAAATTAAAAATAAATAATAAAAAGATGTTTAGAAATTTTTTAAGGATAAGAAATCTTAATATAAGATATCTTGCTAATAATTTAATTAAAAATAATAAGTTTAATTTTTCAAATAATAATCCAGAAGGTATATAAAAAAAAATTAATAAAATAAAAAATAACTATATAAAGGATTTGATAAATTTAAAAGAAAATCAGTAAAAAATTAAAATGAAGAATAAAAAAATATAAATGAAGGTAAGAGAATAAAAAATGCAAACACATATATAAATATTTATATTTAATTTTTTTTTTTTTAATAAGTATATAATTTTTACAAAATATTAAAAATTAAAACAAAAAGATCAAAAGTAATAGAAAATCGAAATTTTATAAGATAAAAAAATAGAAGATTAACATAAAAATCAAAAATAAAAAATTGTTGAAGAGGACATATTTAAAAATGGATGCCAAAAATAAGATTAAAAATAAGAAGAGAAAAAAGACTTATAGGAATAAAAATAACAATAAAAAAGTGCAAATAAAAATGAATAATATGATTTTAAGAAATACTTTAATCTTTTTGGAGATAACACAAACAAAAATAAAAATAAGAAAATAAAAAATTAGAAAAAGAAAGTAAATATGAAGAAGAAAAGTAAAAAAAAATAGAATTAGAAGAAAATAAATAAGAAGTAAATGAAGAAGACGAAGATGAATAATTAGAATAAAAATAAAAAAAAAAGAATAATAATAATAATAATAAATAGATTTTAATTTCGAATAATATTATAAAAAAGCTAAAGAATTTATAAATAATAATGAAAATTTATAAAAATTAGGAGGAGGTATTTTAATGTTAATATTGGGTGGTATAATTTATTATTAATATTAAAAATATTAATTAATTTCATATACTGTAATAAATATATATATATATATATATATATATATATATATATATACATATATCTATTTATATATATAATATATTTTTTTAGGATTTTATAAAAAAATACTTGGAAACAAATAAAATAAAAGAAATTATTATATTAAAATAATATTCAAATGGAAAAGAATTTATTAATATAGCAAAAATAAAAACAAATGATGGTGAAACAAGAAAAATGATGTTAGGAAATGTGGATCATTTTTTATAATAACTTGAATAAAGGCAAAAAGAAAAAGAAGGAAATTTAATCCCTGTTAAATTTGAATATTTACTCGATAATTCGAAAATTCTTAATTAATTTTATTCTGTTTTGTCTTCTATAGTTTCCATAGCTTTCTGTTATGTACTTTTTAAATAAACCACCATGTTAAAAGGACTAGGAAATAAAGGAGGTGGTGGTGGAGATTCTAAAGATATATTCAGCATGGGTAATTTATATATATATATATATATATATAAATATAAAATAACATTTAAATTAGGAAAATCAAATGTAAAAGTATTTGGATTAGAAACAAAAATAAATATAAAATTCAAAGATGTCGCCGGTTAAGATGAAGCTAAACAAGAAATATAAGAATTCGTTGATTTTTTAAAAAAACCTAAAAAATACAAAGAAATAGGTGCTAAATTACCTAAAGGAGCACTCCTAACAGGCCCACCAGGAACTGGTAAAACTCTTTTAGCAAAAGTAAAATGTTAAAAATATAAATAAATTATAAATATGTAAAAATATATAAAAATATATAAAAATAAATAAAAATATATAAAAATATATAAAAATATATATAAATATATATATATATATATATATATATATATATATATATATAATATAATTATTAGGCTTGTGCAGGAGAAGCCGGAGTTCCGTTCTTTTTTATTTCTGGCTCTGATTTTGTCGAAATGTTTGTAGGTGTAGGAGCTTCTCGAGTACGTGATTTGTTTAAAAAAGCAAAAGAAAAATCTCCATCAATAATTTTTATTGATGAAATAGATGCAGTAGGAAGAAAAAGAGAAAGTAAAATATATATATTTATATATTTTAAATATATAAATAAATATACATATTAGATAAAGTCGGTGGAAACGACGAGAGAGATAATACACTTAATCAACTTCTTGTTGAAATGGATGGTTTTGATACTGATTCTAATGTAATAGTTTTAGCCGCTACAAATAGAAAAGAGCTACTAGATTCAGCCTTGACACGTCCTGGTAGATTTGATAGAAGCATAGAAATAACTAATCCTGATATAGAAGGTAGAAAATAGATATTTATGGTACATTTAAAGCCTATAAAGCTTCATCCTGATCATACAATGGATGAATATGCTAAAAGATTGGCTACTTTAACACCTGGATTTTCCGGGGCTGATATAATGAACTTATGTAATGAAGCTGCTATATTGGCTGTCAGAAAAAATAAGAAATATGTTGAATCTATAGACTTTGAAATGGCTTCAGAAAGAGTAATTGGTGGTTTGGAGAAAAAAAAAATCGTTTCAGAAGAAGAAAGGAGAATCGTAGCAGTTCATGAAAGCGGACATGCAGTTATTTCTTGGTTTTTAGAAGGGGGATATCCTTTATTAAAATTAACTATCATTCCAAGGACTAAAGGGTCCTTAGGATTTGCTTAATATTTACCTAATGAAAGTTCATTGGAAAATAAAAGTGAATTAATTGACAGATTATGTACAATTTTGGGAGGAAGATGTGCAGAAGAAGAATTTTTTTAAACTATAACTACTGGAGCCTATGATGATTTAAAAAAAGCATATGAATTATGTCACGCGATAGTTTCGAAATATGGAATGAGTGATATTATAGGCAATGTAGGATATATTGAAAATGAATATAGTAAAAGTTATTCAGATTCTACTAATAAAGATATTGATGACGAAATAAAGAAAATTATACTTGAAGCTACAATTAGAACTAGGGCTTTGGTTAAACAATATAAATAATAAATTGATAAGTTAAAAATATATAAATATAAATATTTTTAATTTTTATTTTTATACAGTTTATCAAGCGAATTGTTGAGTAAAGATACACTAGATTTGAAATAAATAACAAGAATTTTAGGTAATAGACCTTTTCCACCAAAATCTAATTATAAGGCTTATTTGGAAATTTAGTAATAAGATGAAATTTAAGATTAAAAAAAGTAATAATAACAAGAAAGTTAATAATAATTATAAAAATATGAAAATATTAATTAATAGTAGTAATAAAACGCTGCTTGATTTTTTTTTATTTTGGATATATTTTTAAATTATAAATACTTAATTTTATATATAAAAATATATTGATTGAAATTATATTTTTTATTTAATTTTAATGAAATATTATTTTTTTAAATTATATATATATATATTTTTTTATAAATAAAAAATTTAAAATTCATATATTATATATATATATTTATTTATTTTTTAAAAAAATCTAATATTATAAGAATTAATGGCGTAATATATATTAATATATATATAAATATATATATAAAAAATTAAAGTTTAGTAATAAACCAAAAATTTACTTCAGATAATTCTTTTGCTGAAAAATTTGAACATCATTTAAAGTTTTTATCATTTCGATTTGTAAATGAAATACTTGAAGCCTAATAAATAAATTAATTCATGTACATATCATTAATAATAATAGAATTCTTTTAATTTCAATATTATTTAATGCATCCATTTATGAATTCATTTCTATTTACATCTCCCATATTATAAAATTTAAGGGATTTTATTAAATACTTTTAAATATCCTTTATCTTAAATTAAGGAGATTCTACAACAATTCTCATAATATTATACACATTTACCTCAGTTATGATAATAATGGCCCTAATAGCCACTCACATAATAATAAAAATGTAATAATAAAATATAAGATTAGTAAACACATCTAATATGACTACCTTAAGTTTAAAAATATTATCTTATTTTAGTATTGGGACATTAAATATAATTCCTATACCATTTTTTAACATTTTTTTCGCAATACTAATATGTAAACAAGATTCTTAATAACATTAAGATTTTGAATGCTATAGTGGTATTTATTTATTGCATTGCGCATTCGCATTTATAGGAGCATTTATTCTATTTGTTTTAAGTTTAGTTTTCGCACTTTTTTTAACAGAAGGAAATCCCTTTTCAAATTTTGCATAAGGATAAACAGAATCATTCATGCCTTTATTAAAATTATTTATAAAAATGATTATTATTATTTTCTTTTAAGTTGATTATACGGGAAAATTAATAAAGGAATTTACAGTTGTTTTTTTAGGAATTAATATAATTATTCTAGTATATAGATTTATTTTACCAAGAATATATAATAAAGTATGATAATAAATATAAATAAATATATATAAATATATATATATATATATATTATATATATTTAAATATAAATATAAAATTAATATTATATCTATAAATATATAAATATTTTCAATATTTTTTTTTTAATCTTTTTATAGCTTGTTTTTTATATGACTGTATTCTATGAAGTTATTATGTTTTATACAAATATTTGTTTGATTATTACATCTTATTTAGATTTTGATGATATCGATAATATGGGATTGTTTTATAATTATTTTAGTATTTATATATATTTATAATTAGTAATTTTTATTTAAACAAAATAAAGTTGCTCCTTTTCTTTTCTATTTTTATATTAATATGAATGATTATTTTAACTAATATATATTTTCTAAAAAATCTAAAGAAATCAAAGATTCTAGCGAAATGAAAATATATATAATAAATTTATTATATTATATAAAAGAAAGAGATTCTTTAAAAGAAAGAATTATTCTTGAAGTATATTACAAATGAAATATATATATATATATATATTTATACTTACATATATTATTTTATATTATTAAGGGTATGTTCAGATTACATTATAAAAATTGTATTATAATAGATTGTTATTGTCATAATATAATAGATGACTAATTATTTAAGCAAGATAAATTATATACTTAAGAATAACAGAGAGAAATAGAAAAAAAGTGGTGTATATTCAGCCAATAAATAATTATAGATTTCATTTCAAGAAGCAAAAAAGACTATTATTTACATTTAATATTTTCATATATATTATATGAAAAACTATAAAATACATACAGAACTTTATTGGAATCAATGCTTACAATAGATTCTAAGCCAGCATTATAGTAAGAATTTTCAGTTTATAGATATTAAATGTAAATATAGTTAAATATGTAAGAAGATGAAATAAAAAGTGAGAAAAAAACAGTTGATTTTAATAAAATTGTTTAATTTTAGAGTTTAGTAATTTTATATAAATATTTTAAAATTTTATTTATTTATTTTTAAAAAGTTTGTTTAATATTAAGAAAAAATTGACGAATCTTGTTATCTCCATATTAATTTTTGGAGAGAATTATTAGAATAAAATCCTGATATATAAAATCTTGAATAAATGGGTTCTAAAATTACATATTCAATAGAATAAGTATAAAAATACTTCGAATTATGTAAAGAAGTTTATCCTAATAATCTATAAGTTTTATAAATCTATGGATTATATTTACAAAATATAGTAAACGATGAAGATTAAAGCTAAGTAATAATGGATAGTTATAAAAATATAATAAATTAGTAATAATAAAGTAAGCTATCGAATAATTTTGATTATTATAAATATGGAGAAAACTCTAAAATTTCAGTAGTAGTGTGTTCAGCATAACATAATAAAGTAGGAACTATAATAAATTTAAATTTTAATACGAAAACGTAATAAATATAATAAAATATATAATTATATATATAAATTATTAAATATAATATATATATATATATATATATCTATATATATCTATAAATTTTTATTTTTTATATTAATTTAAATTTACATATTTAATTTTAGTTTAACAAATTATAATCCCCATGAATTAATAGATTAAAACATATCTAAATTAATGCCAAAAGTAATCGGGGATTTACATGATGGTTTAATATATAAATTCTTATTAACTTCCTAATCTAATATAATAGTAAAAGAAAGGCTTATTTTAATTTAAAATAAGGTATAGATATATGAATATATATATAAATATATATATATATATATATATATATATTAATTTAATTATATATAGAATTTATATATGATTCCTTGTTCGTTAATTATAAAAATTTTAACAAATTTAGAAGAAGGAATTTAAATTGTTGGTATTTTTAGTGATAATATAAAATCTTAATAATTAATATAATCTTAAGATGAAAAAGAACATTATATATTATATAGATATGATACAGAAACTGAATTAGTTTAAGGTATAAGTAAATCACTATTAGATATAATAGGTATTTAAACTTAATAATTAGCATTAAAAACATAATTTCATTCAGAATTATAATTAGGTATAATCTATTTTAATCAATATATATATATATATATATAAATATTTATGTTTAAAGATATTATAATACCTGATATTGTTAATGAAAACTTTCAGGAATAAATATATAAATAAGGGGCTATTGTTGATATAAACTTGAAGCTTTTACACGAATATTATAATGTTGAAGATTTTGATGAAGAAAATTCTTATGATGAATAAATACAAGAATAAGAATAATAATAGGAAGATGAAAATTAATAGGAAGATATACTATAATTAAATTCTAACGTATAACTTTTTTCGTAAGATGAAAATTAATAATAATAATAATAATAATAATAATAATAATTATAATAATAATAATAATTAGTATTCATAGAGAATTAAGATATAATTGAAGAATAAAGCGAAAAATCAAGTTTTTTAGAAAATTAAAAATAATAAACAAAAATAAACTAAAAAGCATTTAAATTTAAAGCAAGAATAAAAGTACAATCTTAATATAATTATGAAGGAAAAAAAGTATTTAAAAATAAAAATAAAATATAAAATAAAAAAATAAGATTAATTTATTAAGTGTTGTAGAATTACCAAATGAAAATAATAAATAAGAAAGTGATAATAATATATACAATGAATAAGATTAAAATTTTAGCATATATACAATTAAATATAAATAAAATGAAAAAGAAAACTAAAATGAAATTTAAAATAAAGATAGTATTACACATGAAGTTTATTCTTCTGTTTAAGATGATTAAATTAAATAATTAAAAGATTTTAAAGCAGTTATTTCAGAAAAATAAATACCTAAGAATATTATTATATTAAAAAAGGCAATGATATTTAAACTTTTAGCTATTATTACACTTTATTCAGTTGATTTTAATTATAAAAGTAAATAAAATGATTCGTTTAATTAAGGTACAAACGTTATATACTACGGACATCAAAGATAAAATATTATGGCAGAAATAAATTATTATGCAAGAAAAATATAATTAATAGCAAAGTAAAATAAAAAAAATAAATTACATATATATAAAATATTAAAAGTGATAAAATAAATATTCCTATTTAATTTACGGCAGAAAAATTTTATTAGAATAATCAAAATAAAGTAATAATGAAGACATATATATATATATATATAAATCCATATAATATATATATATATATATATATAATATATTTATATTATAAATATTTATATAAATATATTAAGCTTGAAAAATATGTTGATAATTTATAAAAAATTTAATTTAAAATAATCGAACATACAATAAAAATAAATAACGAATTAGAAAATGAATTTATTGATTAAAAATATGATTTTTAATTCAAACTTTAAAATGGATAAACAATCATAAGTACAAACATTTTTTCAGATGCTATGTTTTAATTTATAACAGCATCTGCATCATTAGCAAATTCAACATAAAAAAGTTTTAAAGAAATTTATAATTAAAAGTAAAAAATAAAATAAAATAAAAATTAATAAAAATAAATATATAATATATTATAAATATATTAAAATATTAAAATTATATATAAATATATATATATATATATATATCTTTATTCAATTTTTTATTTTTATATATATATATATATATATTTTAATAATATATAGAGATGGGTATTTAGATTCTACATCTAAATACTTCTTTTATGTTAGTACTAATGGTTTATTTATTCTTAGGTAAGTTAGTGAACAAATTGCTAAGTAGTTTTATGAATATTATGTTAAAGTTAATTCATAATATTTTTTAATTTTTGAAATTATAATGATAGTAAGTATTTTGTTTATAGTACTAAGCTTATTTATATTAATTCCGATAATATTTTAAATACATAAAGCTAATAATCGAGTACTTTCATTGTTTGGAATGATTGAAATAGCAGATATATAAGATTTAGGTTAGAAATGTGAATTATATTAGTAATAATATTTAGAAAAAAACCAAATAAATAATTAAAACCTTGAATAATTAAAAGGATAGGAAAATAATAGTTCAAAGAATACAATATAAAAGTTAAAAGAATAGAATTAAAACAATTAAGAAAAAAAAAAAACAAAAGATACACCTTCGCCTTCTTCTCCTACTAAAAAGAAAAAAAAAAGCGCTTTTTAATTATAATAAGAAGCAAGTCGTTCATAAAAATTAATGCAATCTAAATCTTCAAATAATAAAACAGAATTATAAAAGTTTTCTTTTTTTGCAATTATTTTTATCTCTACTTTTGTAGCTTAATTTGTTCTTGAAATCTATTATTTAAAACATATCTAAAATGCATATAATTTATTAGATTTAACTTCGCAAAGAAATCCTATTTCTAAATATAACCTTCTCTATTTATTAGAATAAATCTCCTCAGCCAAAAATCTATAGGAAGATAATTAAAATTTAAATGATATATTCATACAAAGAGTATATTAAAACGAATACAATATTTTTGAAAATGTCAAAATTAGTTTTCCATCTTAATTTGATTAGTTTAAGAGTATTTTTATTTAAAAAAATTACGAAACAGCATGCCTAGATAATTATAATGTTATTGAAAGTATAGAAACTAATTTAACTTAACAAGAATGTATTACTATTAATTATGAAATATTGCTTAAAGGTTTAAGAATGTCTATAATTAATTTAACAGAAAGTATATTATATATATATATAAATATATAAATATTAATAATTTTATTTATATAAATATATAAAAATATTTTTAAATATAATTTGTATATTAATTTTTATTTTTTTAATATAGATATTAGAGTTATTTTAAATTTATTTAATTAAGAACAATAAAAATAAAATTTTTAAACATAAAAACATTATTTAAATGATTAATCTTTTACTAATATTGAATCTTTAATGATTTATATAAAATATTTAAATGAATTTTTAATTTAAATTCTTATTGAAAATATTTAACAATATTAAAAATTCTATTTAAATTTAAGTATGTATTTATTTATTTCTTTTTTATTTTCTAGCTTTTTTATTTATTTATGTTTATGGAACCCTTATTTATATGAATTAAATATTAAAATATGGAGAACAAAAGGTATGCTTAATATGATTCCTATAAAAATTATATTTAAAGATAAAAAATTAATAGAATATTTCTAAAATGAAGAGATTTTGAAAGCTGTAAAATGATAATATTTATACATATAAATTTATATATATATATAAATTTATATATATATATATAATATAATATATATATAATATATATATATATATATACATAAAAATTTATTTTAATCTTTTTTTTTATATTTTTTTTTATGTAATTATTAAAATTTCTTTATAATTTAATATTTATTGATATTTATATTGTTTTTTATTTAAATAAAAATATAATTGCTATATATATATTGTTATATATCTAAATAAATTTAAATCAAATTATTAAAATTATAATTTTTTTTATTGATTATTTTAATATTAATAACCAAAAAAATTCAAAATCAATTATTTATAATTTTATAAAAGAAATTTATAAAAAACAATATTTATAATATTGTACAATTTTATACAAAAAAAATTAAAATTATATAATATTCATTATTATTACATTACTATTTAAATTTAAATATATATAAACAAATAATTTCTCATCTATAATATATATAATAATTATATTTTTTCATTTAATATAATTTAATTCAAATAAAATAAAATAATGATATAATTATCATGGGCAGATGTTATACTAAGTTCCTTTGGAGGACTGCTTATAAGCTTAAGTACATCATTCCATCTTCTAACAAAAGGTCGAGTAACCGGTTTTTCAGGTATATTTTACTCCCTAATAACATTCGATAAATAATAATACCATTACAATCTTTCTATAATTTGTGGTTTAACCATAACATCATCTATTCTATATAATATATTCTAATTTAATATAGTATGGTACAATACCTAAATATTTGATGACCCAAAATTGATGATTTCTCGTCTTAATTATATAGGCTACGGTCTATCTGGATTTTTAGTAGGTTTAGGTACTAAATTAAGCAATGGCTGTACAAGCGGACATGGAGTTTGTGGTTTACCTCGTTTTTCAATAAGAAGTTGGGTATCTGTGGGTATATTTTTTTTGTAGGAATATGTATATCTACATTGAGACATTACTAAAATTTCCTTTATGAAAAAATAGATGACTAAAAATCGAATATAATTGAAGAATTTAACTATGAAATATGCTCAAATGTAATTTTAGGGATTTCTATTTTTTTGATTTTATTTAGTATTTTCTTAAAAATAAATAAAAAAGATTAACTTCTGGAAATATTAATAGGACTTTTAACAGGTATTTTGTTTGCTTTAGGACTCGGCTTTGGAGGGATGCTTAGAAGGTCTAAAATTAACGGTTTTTTATCTCTATAAGAAAACTGGGATCCTTCTTTGATGTTTTTATTATGCTTTGCAGTCGGAGGAAACATGATTACTTTTTATTTTATATAAAAAAAAAAAAAACCTTTATATTCTGATAGATTCTATATAACCACAAATAAATAAATAGATCTTAAATTAATTATGGGTTCTTTTATTTTCGGTATAGGATGGGGAATAGGAAGCTTATGTCCAGGTCCAGCTTTGGCTCTTTTTTCGATTTTTAGTATTTAAATTAGTGTTGTTTGGATTTGTTTTTTGGCTCTAGGGTAGCTTATTGTGGGTTTTGGTGATATTTATTTAAAAGTGATTCGTCAAAAAATAAAAATAATAGGAATTAATGATAACGTTAAAAAATAATAAAATTAATAATTCTAAGCAAATGATATTATAGCAGAAGATTTGATATATTAAAATACAAATAATAATGAGAAAACAAAATGATATAATTGTTCACAATAATATTTATTTATATAACTATTGCTTATTTAATTTATGTGTTTAATAATATTTTAATTAATAAAAGAAGACATGATATTAAATTTATCTTTCTAAGCAAAATATTTTCGCTATGATCTATAATTTTATTTTTATATTAATTATAATTATTGAAATAGTTATTTATTAGTTTTTTGATAATATATTTAATATTAAAATTATTAATATTCTAAATGTTTTAATTTTTAAATATATATAATTTAATTGATTATTATATTTATAAACTAAGATATTTTTATTTTTATTTTTATTCTAATAATTAATTAAAATTGATTTTATCTATTAATAATTTTTTTTATAAGAAGTTAAACATCTTCTACTTATATAGTTGTTAATTATCAAAAATGTAATATTTTTATTAATAATATTTATTACGACAAATTATTTTTATAAAAAAAAACTAATAAAATTAGAATTATTATGTTTATATTTTAAAAATTTAAATAATATAATTATATAGAATTATATTCTAATTAAAATATTTTTAAAAATTTTAATTTGCTATATAAGAATACTTTGAAAAAATATATTAAATTTATATAATTTTAAATATTTTTATAAATAAAATAAATAAATTATATATTTGAAATATAACATTAATATATAATATATATATATATATATATATATATATATATTTTATTAAAATCTAATATTTTTTTTTTTTAGAATATTCATAATATCATTTTTTTATTTTAATTATATCTATTTTTTTTTAAATTTTAAATAGTTTATATTATAAATAAAAAAATATTTTTATATTTTTATAAAAAATAAAAAATATAATTATTAATAAAATTTTTGTGCAAATTTTTTTTTTATCATAAAAAAATAGAAAATCCATATAATCAAGATCAAAGTTCAAAATAACCACTAAATAGATTTTAAGTACTCCTACTATTAGTTAAAAATTTATGAAAAATTTTTCTAAATATATGCTTATAGGATTATCTATATACTAGATTTACTTAGAAGTGCTGATAAAAAGCGCCACAATACATATTAAAATAATATCAGGATTTTTTTAAGAATAAATAGTTAACAAAAGAATATTTTTAATTTAAGAAGCAAAATTTTTATGGATATGAAATTTCGGAAATTCTGTATGCAAGTTGTATAATTTAGGTTTATAAAAAAGATTTTTATTTTAAAAAATATTTCCTTATATATATAAATAATAATTCTGATATTTATTGTCTAAATTTTATACAATAATAATTTAGAAAAAAGCTAATAATGCCTTTTTAAGACTTAAAATAACTCTAGTCTAATAAAAAAGCGATTAAAACTGTATATATAATTTTAGAAAACGCCAAGCTAACTATAATATTTATATATCAATCAGTCTTTGATTTATTGCAATTAAATAAAAACTACAATAAATAAATATAATATTGCATTTATAAAATTTTATTTTTCATTTAAATATTCTTTATAATAAACTTTAGATAATTTAAATAAAAAAGCATTAAATTAATATCAAAAATAATAACTTTAAAATATTTATATATTTATATTAATCTAACACAAAAAATAAATCTAAAATAATATGAAAATGAATTACTTTTTATAAATGAAAAAACAAAGATATACAAAATACTAAATGAGAAAAATCTAATATTTTGTAATAAATTGAAATTCTATATGAATTTTTTCAAAATAATAATTACATATTTATATCAAATTAGCGTTATTCTTAATTTTTTAAATACTTTGTTTGCTTTTTGATTTATATAAACTTATTTTTAGGAATTAAATAATTAATAAGAATTATATATTTTAATTATTTAGACAAACTTTAATAAATTTTTAGACATATTTTATTATTTATTCTTATATTTTGATATTAATTTTAAAAATTATTTATATGTAAAAAATTATATTTTTATGTTTATAACAAAAAAAATAAATATAAAAACAAAAAATTAATATATATATAAATATTTATAAACAAATATATATATAATATTTATTTTTATATTATATATTTTCTAATAAAAATTTTCATTTTATTTCTTCTTCTTATTTATCTTTTTACTTATTTTATAAAATTTATTTAAGTTCAATTTCTTTTTGATATATTTACAACTATTATTTAAATCCATAATTAGGATTTATATTTGGTCTTTTTTCTTTTATTAAAAGAAGACAATCATCAGCTGTTTTATTATATTTTTTCATTAAATAAGCAATTGCAATTGTCGCACTTCTTGAAATTCCTGCAAAGCAATGTATTAATACATTTCCTTATAAAAGTCCATTATCTATAAACGAGAAAGAATCTTCGAAATAACTTTTAATTTCAACTTCTATTTCATCATTAATAGGGATTCTTTCATGTTTAATTTTTAAATCTTCATCATATTTTAAAAAAGAGAAATTACCTACTGTTAAAACATATTTTATTTTATACATTTGACTAGCTTATATCCTAAATGCAGCCTAAATATTTCCTAAATAAAGGCAACCTTTTTAATTTTAATCTATATCTAATTATAAAATTAAGTTTATATTATTTAATTCTAACATAAATTTTTTAATATTAAACTTTTTTATATATTTAATTTAAAAATGTTTTTTATTAAATTTTTATTTTTTCAAAAAAAAATAAAAAATAACAATTAAAAAATTAATATATATATTTGTTAAAAAAAAAAAAATATCACTCCAAAATTATATCCACCTTTTAATTTTATCTTATTAATCAAATATATTAATACCACAAAAAATATTATCAAAAAGTACTTAGAAATAGTTAACCCTAAAACCCATAACAAAATCGAAGCCTTTAATAAAGTAATCAGAAACATTATATATATCACATTTATAATTCTTGAAATCTCTTAATAATTTATTGCTTTAAACATAGCAGTAAAATATCTATGTTTTTTTAATCTATATTTCATAAGATATAAATTTTTTGATTTTTATTCCAAATATATAAACCTTCGTTATATAGTATCATTATTTAGCATCCTTATTAGTAAGCTTACAAATATCATTACTATTCGGTTCTCATCGTCTCTACGAGGAATCATATGATTTGAAACTTCAGGAAAGTCTTATTCAGAAACTATACAATTATCTTGTACATAGTCAAATTAAGCATAAGTAGTTTCAGAATTACATTGTCTTAATTAATGATAATGTTAACAATCTAAAATTTCTTATACTGTAAGTGGATTAACATAATAATAAATATATACAGAAAAAAATGGCTATTTTCTTAGAGGCGAAAATCAGATTAAATATTAATAATAAATTAGTTTGTAAAAAATTTATTATATGATATATATGTTTAATATTAATTTTCTTAAATATTGTAATAAAGCATAACTATTATTTTTATTCCACATTAAACTATAAAATATAAAAGAAAAGAAAAAAAATATACATATAAAGATAAAAAGAATAAATAAAAATATTTTAGTATTTTAATTATTTTATATTTTAATAAAATATATATATAATAAAATAAATTTCTTTTATAATTTTATCAACAATATTAAATTTTTTTAATATAATTTAATAAAAAAAATATATAATATTTAAATAAAAATAATATTAAAAAAAAATATTAATTGTATTTAAAATAATTGAAAAAGTAAAAAGATTTTTTTTTAAAATAAAAAAATTAATATCTATAGAAAAAATAATAATAAATAATAAATAAAATATTAGAAATAGAAATTAAATAAAATAAATAAATTATATTTAAAATAAAATAATTATACAAATATATAAATATATAAAATAAATATATATATATATATATTTATATTTTATATATATTTTATAAATATATTAATTTTAATAACTTAAATATTTAAAGAAATTAATAAATTTTTAATTGATTTTATTTCTTAAAAAAATAGTTATTAAATTATTAATTTTATTATACTTATAATTTTTTTTTTTTTATACAAAATGTTAATAAATAATATAAAAATCTTTTATAATTTAATTTTTTTAAAAAAAAACTAAATATTTTTTTATATTTTAAAATATTAATTAATATTTATATAAATATTATTAAAATAGTTATTTATAGTCTTAATAAAATAAAAAAATTAAAAATTTCAAAAATTTATATAATATAATAATTATATTAATTTATTTATAAATATTAATTAAATAATATAAAAAATTAATTTTTTTTTATACTTTTATAACTAATTAATTTACACTAAAATTAAAAAAAAATCTCTATCAATCAACTTTTTTATTACATTTATAGTTTAAAACAATATTACCTACTCCTAAATATTCATTTTTAGAGTATTTAATTCTAACAGACTAATGTTAATAATCCTATATCCCTTAAAGTAGCAAACACAATTCCTTTGCACAAACTTTAACTTATCCTTCACTTAATCCCGAATCACAATGCATTATATCATTCCAACAATTAATTTTCCCATTTATTTTATTAACTAAATAAACGGCACTAGCAGCCACATTACTAGGCATAAATTATAAAAACTTACAATCAATCAAGGACAATTCAATAATATAAAAAACTAAAAATTAATTTTTCTGATCGAAATTGTTAATTCTACAATACCATTCAGCAAATCTAAGAGCTGAAGGCACTGTAATTTAAAAATTTATGCTTTTAATAATTTAAATTTCCATTTTTATCAGGCTTTCTTTTGGAAAGGACCCATCTGTAACTTCAGCAAATTTACTTAAAGAAGGAGGATATATTTCTTCGTATTTTGAAGCTATAAAAAGTGCAGTTATTCCTACTAATTGAAGCCTGTTTCTTTTAACTTCTTATATATTTAGATACTTATTGATTATATACACACATAAAAATAATGTCTCGGGTTTAAGTTTAAAATTAAAATGCACAACAACTAACCAATCGATTAATATTGAACGCATATTTTCAGTTAATTCAGGTTGTTCTTTGATAATATTCGTGTTTGTTTTTATTTATTTTTCTCTTTTGATTAAATGCTGAAATATTTCTTTACTATATTAGGCTACTTTTTCAGGATTATTTAAGTCTTCTTACATTATATTCTCGTATTCTTTTCTACTGACTTCTATATCAAATGAAGAGTCATATCTTAGCTATTGTTGTATGTTTTTAAATGGACATTAATAATATTATTATTATTATTATTATTATTATTATTATTATTATTATTATTGTTTTTAATTTTGTTATTATTATTGTTATTACATTTATTATTATCATTGTTAATTTTATTGTTATAGTTAATATTGTTTATATTGTTAATTTTGTTACTATTGTTATTATATTTATTACTAATAATGTTATAATTTTTATTTTCATTTTTTATTATAGTTGTTTCTTCAGAATTATTATATATTGTCGATTTTTTTTTTTAGCTTGTGCTAGAAATATTATTTGTGTTTATATCCTTTTTACTTTTGTAAGCATCTTTAGTAGATGGTTGATTTCGTTAAATATCTTTTTTATTATTTTAATTATTGTTTATATTTGAATTTTAGATAATAGTACATTTATGTCGAGATTCTAATGTATATTTTTATATCTTTTCTACAAGTTATATTTATGTTTAAGAGTCTTTTTTATATTATAATTAATTTTAATAAAATAATTAGTTTTGCTAAGTCTATATTTATTATTATGTTATTTCTTCATGCTATGTTATATATCTTTTACGAATTGGAGCAGGAGGTAAGTTTATATTAACTTAATTTGATTAATTTGATAATCTTTTAGAATATGGAATTTGGAAGAGAATTTCTTATTTTAATTATTTAGTTTAATTCATTTTCTTTTTAGATATTTTGATATTTTTATAATTTTATAATTTTTTAATTTAAAAAAAAATATATTTTTTGAGTTTTTTCAAAAAATATGTAATATTTTTATAATTTTTTTATATTTCAGTATTTCAATAATTTTATAAGAAAAATATATTTGTAATAAATTGCTTTTTTTTATATATTAAAATTAAATATACTTTTTTTAAAATATTCTTACTAAAATTATTATTTTACAAAAATTTTATAATAGATAATAAATATAAAAGAGAAAAAAATTTGTATTAAATCTATAGAAATAATTTTTTCTTTGTTTTTACTTTGTAATTATTAATTAAATAATAAATACATTATTTAAAATTAAATATTAAATTCATTATCATATCTAAAATATGAAACAAACATATATCATTTTATAAAAATTAATAACATAAATATTAAATAAAAGTAATAAATTAATAAAAAATATAAAAAAAATTTATTATTTAAATAATAATATTTATGTTAATTAATATTTATTTCATAAAAATATATAATATATTAATTTTTAGATAATTATATTTCTCATTATAAAAATGGTAATTATGAAAGATTTTAATTCAATAAAATATTTATAAAAAAAAAAAATAATTATAAATATAATATTAATAAATATTTATATAAAGTATATATTTTTATATATATAAACATATAAATATAAATATATATATATTATTAAATATATATATATTATTTTTTGCAAGTAAAAAATAAAAAATCGTTAATATAAATAATAATATTTTATTTTAAAAATATATATTTAAAAATGATTTGTGACATATCATTATAAAATAATAATAATTAATAAAATGCCTTTAAAAAAGAAAATATTTTAATGCATATAAATAGTTTATCATTATAAAGAATTATTACTAATAATTAATTATAATAATAAATTACTAAAATAACAAAAAATCCTATACAATCAATATTTTCTAATTAAACTTAAAGTTTTAAATTATTAATTAATCAAAAAGAAATCGATTAAAAATAATAAAATACAGAAAAATCATTTAATAAAATCAAAAAAGGCTGCCATTTAAAAAGGCATAGCAGTATAAATTTAAATGAAAACACTTAAAATGTTTTTTTTGATAAAAACTAAATATTAAAAAAGAGTAAAAAATTAAGCTCTACAAATTAAATCTTAACTTAAAAAAGTTCTAATAAATAATTTGTTTTTGAAAACTAAAACAATAAAATTAAAACTTAAAATCAAAATAAATAAAAAGATTTTAATTAATAATGTGATTTAAGTGTGAAAGAAATATTTAATACTAACAAAAATTTTAAATAAAGAGAAATTTTATATTAAAATAAAATTAAAGAATTAATTTAATAAAATAATATTTTTAATTTTTAAATATAAATTTAATAATTACAAAATTAATTATACTATTTATAAAATAATGTTTAAATAAAAGAATTAATAAATTAACAATATTTCAATATAAAAAATAAATGCTTAGCCCTTTTATAATAACATCATTAATTGGAAATTAAACATAATTAAATAATTAATGAAAATTAATACTACGAGTAATTTTTTTTATAAACTTAATGTAGTTGTATATAAAAAGCATTAAAAACTAATGAATTATGAATTCTATTTATTTCAATAAAATTAAAAATGTAATATTAGTAATATTTAATTAATTAATAAATTTTTTATTTTAATAAATAAATTATTTATGTATATTTAATTTATTTGTATAAATTTGATTTTTTTTAAATAAAATTTAATTTCTATTTATTAAACTTTATTAAATAAACTATATAAAGTCTAAATTTTATAAAAATATATTAAAATAATAAATCAATTATATATATTTTTATAAAAGAAAAATATTTTATAAATTAATTATATCATTTTAATTACAATAGATATTAAAAAAAAATAAAAAAACTAGGTCCCACTGGGATTCGAACCCAGGTCAAGGGATTTAAAGTCCCCAGTACTAACCACTATACTATGGAACCAGTAACTGAATAATTAGATAAAATTATAATTGATAAATTAAAACTTAATATATTTACTAATTCTTCTTAATGCGAATAAGTATATAATTATTTTATAATATAATATTAAGAAAAAATAACTAGTTTATATTATAAATATATTTTTAATATTTTAATTAAATAAATTTAGAAATTATATTTATTTATATACATTATCTTTTTTGTTTATAATTTATAAATACCTTTCTTTATTTTTGTTAATAATAAATCAAAAATATATTATAATTTTTAATTTTAAAAATAAGATGAATTACATTAAAAACAATACATCCATAAAAACTTTAGAAACAAATAAGTATTTTAAAAAGCAATTATTGAAAATTATAATCGAATTTGTCTGAAAGTAGAGCAAAACCACCAAATAATACTGAAAGAAATTCAAAATTAATATAAAATTTATTTGCTTTTAGTAGGAAAAAAAAAGCCTAGTATTGATTTTTATGTTGGAAATTTAATTCTATAATAAAATACTCAGAGTAACCTAACGAAAAATATTATTTAAAGAATGAACAACATATTATGTTTGATATAATTAATGACTTAAACAATTAATTATTATAGTGTATTAAATATATTATATGATAACATTTTTATATATAGACAACGAAATCGAATATTAATTAATAAATTTTATTGATACTTTTAAGAATTTTTTATAATAGGCTTATAAAGTGGGAATAATATTTTTATTTTTAATACGTAGACTAAAATATAAACGATATTTCCTTCTATAAAAGTTGTTTAAAAACACGGTAGTAATTCATCTCATAAAGATTGGCTTTATTTTGTTCTAGATTTAATTTTTTAGTTTGGGGTGAAGTTAATTTTTGTTGACTTTTTTTTCAATAATTATATAAATAAGACTATTAAAATTATATAAAAAAATAAAAAGAATTAATAAATAAAATATACTAAACAAGATTTTTAATAAAATTATTTAAATAGATGATATTTCGATTATATTTATATATAAATATTATTTTTTTTATAAAAATAAATAAATAAAACAAAAAATTTAAATAATTAAGAAATTCTCTAAAACGAAATAAAAAAAAAAACATATAAACTTTAAATAATTAATAATAAAAAAAAAAAATAAAAAAAAAATAAAAAAAAACATATATACAAAAACTTTTAGCTTCCATATATGCTTTATCTGCTATATTTTTTTTTCTTTTTTTCTTTCTTTTTTTTTTTTTTTTTTTTTTCTAAAATTTACTAAAGTTTATATTTAAAAAGAATTTTTTTTTACTAAAACAAAAAAAAATATCTCAAATTAAATATTTTCAATTTCTTCTTTATTATCTTCCACCTTCTCTATTTCCTTCACCTCCTCTATTATTATTTCTTCTTTCTCCTCTATTTTCGTACTATCTATCACCTCCTCTACTTTCATATTATCTTTCACCTCCTCTATTTCCTCCTCTATATTCATTGTTATAACCTCCTCTATTTTCATTGTTGTAACCTCCTCTGTTTTCATTATTATAACCTCTTTGTCTATTTTCGAAGTTTCTTTATCCATTATTATAACTGTTTCTACCACCAGAGTAGTTATTGTTGTAGTTTCTTTTGTTTTATCTTACTACATTTCCTTATTAGTTGTTGTTTCTGGGTTAATTTCTTCTTTATTCTCTTTCTTTTTCTTATTATTATTAATAACTAGTATAGTCTTAAATAACATTCAATTATCCATCGCCCAAGGGTTATTATAAACCAGGATGGTTAGCAAACTTAGAAATTTCATCATGATTTCTGTAAATAGTGACGGTCAAAACAGTCAAATATCTCTATTTACTTGTAGATTCTTTAAATCCTTAATCTTTGAATTCTTCCTTTACTTTATAGTTATCATTTACTAATTTATTCTAAATTTCGACAACTGAAAATGCTCCTTTAATCTTAGATTAGATCACATTTGCGCTTTTCAATATATTCAAAAATGTTAATCTGGCTCCAGTTAATACAATATGGTCATATAAGAATTAGTCTTTATCGTTCTTTTCGAATAAAATTTTCAAACCATAATCAATATAGTTACGACATCCACGATCTCCCTTAAATCTAATTTCGTTTGCGTCACGGTTTTATTATTAGCCTCTATCTTTTTCATAGTGTACAAGATCTACTCCTCCTCTAGTATTCATTTTCTTTATTTCTTTTTTTTTTCTTTTTCTTTTACTTTTTCTTTTTTTTTGTTTCTAACTTTTTCTCTTAATTTATTAAAGATTTTTTTTTTTTCCTGATTGTATTTTTTTAAATTATTTTATTTATATAATTTTATACTTTTTTTTTATTTATTATTTAGATATATAAATAATTTTTATATATATATACAATTATTATTATTTATTTTTTACCCTTTTTATTTTTGATAGCTAATATTTTATTTTTTTTATATTATATATATATATTAATATTTTTAATATATAATATTTTTTTATTTTTTATTAAATACAATATAATATTTTAATTAATTATTTAAAAATTTCAATAAATATTTTTTAATTAATTTTTTTAGAATTATTGTATTAAAATTATCATATATAAACCAAATTAAGTGTAAAAATATTGATATAATTTTTTGAAAAAATATTTTTATATTTTACTGAAAATTTAGATTCTACTTCTTCTAATTTAATATGTATGGATATAAATGATTTTTTATTAAAATTATGTTATTTTTTAATTTATTAAATTTTAATTATTTCATATTAATTTTAAATATGATATTCAAACTCTAACCCAAATAAATTGCACAAAAAAAAAGATAATTTTTAAGTATTTATAAATAAAAAAATATTATTTATATGAATAAAAAACTATATTTGTATATAATAATATATAAAATAATAATAATATATATATATATATATATATATATTTATATATATAATAAATTATATATTTATATTAATTAGTTTACTATTTTTTGTTTCTTTTTTATCTATATTTACATCCTTTTATTAAATAAAACAACATTATTTTCATTTAATTTCTTTTTATTATATAGAAAGTTTTATATATATATTTATTGTTAAAATAAAAAATTTTATAAATGTATTTAAGAATATTTAATAATTATATTTATTTAAACAATTTATTTATAATATTCCTTCATAAATTAATAAAAATTCTGAATTTTTTGTCTTATATATTTTGGCTTTTCAAATAAATAAAAGATACTTAAACTTACATATTCTAATATGTAAAAATGATCTATAAGTTTTTATTTTACTAAAAATAAAAAATAAAAAATCAATTAAAAACATTTAAATTTTTAAAATAATAAAATATCAACAAATCGAAAATAAATATATTTAAAAAATAATATATATTAATAATAATGAATATATCACAAAGTAATTTCGAAATAAAAAACAACACCGAATTTAACGATATTTTAGTCATAAAAATATAAGAACTCTAATAAATCCAAGGTCATAAAATAAAGTAATTAGAATCAAAACTAATTGAAAAAAATCAATTATATAAAGACATATAAGAAAAATATAATCAATTATAAGAGAACTTTAATTTTAATTTATAATTAATCTAATAAAAAGATTTTGATATATAACTACTATCTACGAAAATGTAAGAACTGAAATAAATAACAGACCAAAAAAATATACAAATATAAGATTTAAATACTTATTTATAAACTCTAAAAAAATAAAAAGATACTAATAAAGAACATTAGGATTAGTAAAATCAAACATATATGAATAAACTTGAAGATATAAAAGAACTTTTAAATTAATAAAAAGCAATTGCAAATGAAGAAATAGCCAAAAATAAAGAACTTTAATAAGTTATTCATTAATAAAATATATTAGCAAGAGAAGAATTTAAAAAATATGAAAAAGATTATGAATTTAAAATTTAATAAAAATAAAATCTGCATTAAACTGAAGTTAATAAATTGAAATAAACAATAGAAGACCTTCAATTTTAAAAATAGGAAATTTGCAAAGATTTATAAGTATAAAATAATCGTTTATTAAAATAAAATGACGAACTAATACATGAAAGAAATAATTTAAAATAAGAAATTTTAGAAAAAATACAGGAATTTTAAAATGAGTCTTTTATCCAAAAATAACGCATTTAGGAACTTTAAATAAACAATTAATAACTTTTATAAGAAGTTAATAATATAAAAAGTTCTAATACAACATTTTAAAACAGTTTATAGGAAAAAATATAAAAATAATAAAAAGAAAAGGAAGATTTATAATAAGAAATGGCCCAATTAAAACAAAAAAATTAAAAAAAATTAAAAAACTTAAAAGAAGAAGGAGAAAAAAGATTCAATGAATTAATATAAGAAAATTAATAAAAACACAAAAAAATTATAGGTCAAATAAAAGATTTTGAATATGAAAATGAATTTTTAATATAAACATAAAAAGAATTAAGGGATAAAATTAATGATTTGAATATTTAACATAGAAGAGAAATTGATGAAATACATTATAAAAATAACCAAAATATAAAGACTTTGGAAGAAGATAGAAGACAAGTTAAAAATTAATATGAAATTTTGAATTATTAATCAAAATAATTAAAAGAAGATAATAATTCTTTAACAAAAAATATTTAATAGTTAAATATTTAACTCACATAATAAACTAATTAAATTGAAACTTTAGAAAAAGAAAATAAATTACTCATAGAAGAAGTGATCTAATATAGAAAAAAATAATAAAATAATAATAATAATAATTCGTTTGAAAATTTACTTCATTTATAATAAGATTAATCTTGTTAAAATTATAATGATAAATCTCCAAATAAAGCATTTTAATAAATGCAAAAAATAAAAGAATTAGAACAAGAAAATAACTCATATAAAGAAATAATAGATAATATAACAAAAGAAATGGAAAATGTTAGACAAAAAGTAATTTTTTATTTAAAAAAAAAATATATATAACATTTTATCATTGTTGTGTTTCGAATTAAAAAAATAAAAAATAATGCATATATATATGTATATATATATATATATATATATATATATATATATATATATTTCATATATTTATAAATAGACTTTATTTAATAATTAATAATTTGAGTTAAATTAATAAGAAATTATGCATTTAAGAAACAGAATAAGTGAATATTAATAAGATTTATTTAATTATAAAGAAAGAATTTAAAGACTAGAATAAGAAAATAAAGACCTTTTATATAAAAAATCTGAAAATTAATATATGGAATAAATTTAATAATAAATAAAATCTAAAGATATATAAATAAATGATTTAGAAATAAAAATACAGAAACTAAATACTATAAATAATAAAATCTAATAAGAAAAAAATTAATTAGAAGAAGTTTGTAGTAATTTAAAAGTTAAATGTTTAGAATATGAAGAAAAAATAGAAACTTTTTAAAACTCTGTTGATATTAATTAATTAATATCACTTAATAAAAATAATTAACAATTAATAAATTAGTTAAAATAAAAATTAGAAGAATAAGAAAATTAAATAGCCTATTTTATTAAATAAGATTAGGATAAATAAAATATAATATTCTAATTAAACGAATAAATCAATTTATATAACACATTAAAGAAATAAGGTGGATGTGTACCTTCATTATCTGTAGTTTCACATTATAATCATTTAAAAAAATAATAATAAGATAAAAAAATAAAAGCAAATAATAATATATAAATTCCTAAATACTAAAATTTTGAATAAATAAAAAATATTTCAGAAAAGTAAAATAACCTTAAATGAAAATAATTAAATATATTTATATAAATTTTTTATGTTTGTATTTGTATTTTTATTTCTAAAAATTATGTATAATAAAAATTAAAATAAAATAAAAGAAAATTCATTTAATATATAGATATATGAATTAAATATTTATATATATATATATATATATATATATATATATATATTATAGTTATTTATATTTTTAATATATTATATTTTTTTTTTTATTTTTTTTTTTAAAAATATTATATGTTTTATATATATAAATTAATAAAATTAAATATTAAGTAACATAAGTATAATTCTATTATTTAATTAATTTAAAAAAAAAATATATTTTTATTTTAAATATAATTATTTAATATTATATTTTTTTAATATATCAAATTAAATCTTTTTTAATTTACATAAATATTTTTTTTTTCTTTTAATATGATTATATTTATTTAAAGATAAATATATTTTTATTTAAATCTATTTTTTACCTCTAAAATATATTATTTATATAATTCAGTATATTATATAATCTTTATAATCGAAATAGAAAATATCTAAAAATCTACAATTCTATAATTATACAGATTCAATTTATAAATTTAATAATTTTTCATTTGATTTATTATATTTAAAAACTGTGAATATATTAAAGTTATTTTTTAATTTAATATAAATATAAATAACTTCTATATTTTGTAAAAACTTATATAAAAAAAATATTTTATTTTATATATATGCATAATTTATATAAAATATATCATAAAAATAATATTAATAAAATATTATTAATAAATAAAAAAACAAAAAATATATATATTTAATTTAAAAAATATGAACTAATATAAATTATCATAATATATATATATTAAAAAAAAAAAAACTAAAAAAAAAAAAAAAATTAATTAAAATAAAAAACTTTTCCATATATAAAAAATAAGTATATATCATATTTTACATTTACTTTATCTTTTACACTTGCACTATCTTGCTGCTTCATTAACTTTTTTTTAAATATCATCTAAATTAACTCTCCCCTTCTTAATATCCATAGCTGAAGGTAATAAATTTAATCTCATTGCCTCATTAATTAAAATCCCTACAGGTCCTTAATTGACACTTGCGACTGCCAATACCTTATCATTTTTTAAATACCAGGCCAAAAATTCTAATTTCTTTAAATCTCCTTGAATATATACTTCATCATAATTTTTCACAAATCCCGTATAATGTAATTATTTCCCGAAAAATCCTGTCCAAAAAAACGGTATTTATTAAACCGGAGTTAGTTTCCCGTACATATTTAGAGCTGCTATATATCCCTAATAGACCGAAGAATTTATATGTTCTGATCTAATTCTTTCCCCAGTAAAATGATACGGATAACAAGCCACATCCCCTGCCGCATAAATACTTTCATTACTACTTTATAAAAAGCTATCAGTTTTGATTGCTCCAAATTCATCTTTTTCGACCTCCTAGCCTACAAACTTAGTATTAGGAAGAGTTCCAGTACCCAATAACACTAAATCAGGTTTCAAAACTTCCCCTGTAGACAATGTAACAGTCTATATTTTATTATCTTCTTCTTTAAAATCCTTTATAGTACAATTCATTAAGAAATTAACCCCATTTTGCTTAAAATTTTCCTTAATGGCATTCCCTACTTCTTTTCCCAAAAGTCTTTCATAAGGTTATTAATTAATATCTATGATAGTAATATTAGCATTTTCCTTTAGAAATTCTTTAATGGAAGACGCACTTTCCATCCCATTAAAAGAAGCTCCGACAATTAAAATATTTTTTTTTTATTAAATTTTGGGTTTTTTATTTTTTTCATTTTAAACTAATATTTATTTTCTGATTTTAACTACATCCTAGTATTCTCTTAAAGTAACTAAATTATTTATTTCCTTATTTTATTAAAATAATTCCTAAAAGCACTCAAAAACAACCGGTTCTGAGCCTGAACTAATTAACAATTTGTCAAAATGAATATGATTTTTATTTTTAGTTTCTACAAATTTCCTTTCAGAATTGATTTCCACAACTTCTTCTTCATTTAAAATTTCGATTCCATAATTATCCAAAAAATCCTTCTATCTAAATTACAAGTCCTTAATTCTTGAAAAAAACACATTTTTAGACAATACAGTCCTATCATAAGCTAAATACTTCTCTTTATTCACAATAATTATCTTTCCACTAAACCCGCATTACCTTAGAGTTTCAGCAGCACTTAAACCAGCTGGCCCTCCTCCTATAATGACATATTTTTATTTATTATTGATGTCATATTTAACCATTTTCATATTTTTAGGTATATTCAGTTTATTTTTGGGCACCTTAATTCTCAATTTACCATCTTTCTCGGTTATTTAAAATCTTTAGAGCCCATCAAATACCGGGCCGCCTTCAACATATCCACTTTTGACTGAAAACTAAGTATTATGTTATGGACAAACAATCTTATCTTTAAATAAATGACCTTTACTTAAAGGAGCTCCAAAAATGGGGCATTTATTAGAAACGCAAAAATAAGTTTCATCCACTTTGCATACTAATACAGTAGAATCAGGGTCTTCTGGGTCTAATTAGACTTCGATTTTTTCACCTTCTTTTAAATTTGCGGCTATTGTATAATCATAAATATCATCAGAGTATATAGGCTTATTTAAATAGTAAGTTGTGCCAAATGTTAATAGAGAAAACGCGGATATTTATTTGATTTTTTATGTGTTTATTTTTATATTAATTAAGGATTATTTTAATATATTACGGAACACAAATGAGAACATGCTTTTTTTAATTTTTGGATATTTTATTTTTTAATTTTTTTTAAATAAAAGAAATATTTTACATTTATATATTAATTAATTTTTTATATTATATATTTGTAAACATATATTATTAATATATTTATATAATATTTTTATTTAATATTAGTTAATAAAAATTTAATTATTATTTTTGTTATAATTAATAATCCGATATTTTTATTTAGTATTTTTAAAATCTTAATATATTTTTTTACAAAAATACATTATTAAAAATGATATTATGAATATATTTTTATTTTTTTATTATTACTAAATAATGCTAAATAATATAAATATTTATTATTCAGTCAATTTATTTTATAGAAAATTAATAATCAAAAACAAAATCTAAAAATAAAGTATTTTTATTAATTTTAGATATATATATATATATATACTAAATTTATTTATTATCTAAAAAATAAAAATAAAACATCTAAAATAATTTTAATAAAAAAATATATATATATATATACAAAAATGTCATATAATTCAATCCAATAAGTACTTGAGTCATTTTTATTTAATCAAGACTTTAACCAAAGAAAAACAGCCGAAGATTTTTTAAACCAAATTCCCAACGTTGATTTTTACGGAGGATTAAACCAATATCTATCTGCCTTATCTCTTCCCAAATCAGAAGTATATAAAAAAAAAAACCCAAAAAAAAAAAAAAAAGTTATCTGAATTAGCCGCCTTAATGCTAAAAAAGCAATATATAGATAATGAAGATAATTTACAAAAAATCTCGATTGAGCAATAAACTGAAATATTACAAAAAGTATAACAATCAATAACCTCAACTCCCCGAAACTATCTCTATATAAAACGCGCTGTAGAAATAATCATAAAGCTCTACACTCTCCAAAAGCGTACTTTAGATCTAATAAATTTTCTAAACTAATAAAAAACCACCTCTGATATAAATTTAAAAAAAGGCTTAACTTATTTAATAGAAACAATGTGTGAATATTCCCTAGATGATGATGATTTAATGAAATATTTTAATGAAATTTCACAAATATTAACCATATATATGGAAGATAAGGAAATCTAAGTCCGCGCCTATGCGTTTAAGAGTTTAATAGGTTTTTTATGCGCAGTATAGGAAGACAAATTATTAAAAAATTTTGAGTAAATTTTCCCTAATTTAATAAAAAAATGTGTCGAATGTATATAAATAGACTAATTAGAATCTGGTACTATTACATTAAATTCTCTTATAGACCTAATTGAAATTCACCCCAAGTTTACAAAAAACTTCACTAATGACTTTTTGGCTTTATTTAATGAAATTCTCACCTCTAACCTTTCTTAATCTATTAAAATAAAAAGTCTATCCGGTATCATGGTTTTAGCCTAAAATAATCCAAATTTATTGAGAAAAAACACTGATTTCAAATAAAAGACAGTCCCTATATTCATCTAAATGATTTCCTTGGCCAAAGACCTCCCATTTGACGAATGGTCTGAATAAATATTAGACTAAGCCTTATCTAAAAATGACTTAAGTAGTGCCGCGGAAGACATTTTAGGTAAAATCGGGGAAAGTTTAAGCAATAAGTTCCTCTTCCCGATTTTCTTTCCTTTAATAATTTAAGCATTAAATTAAGAAGAATGGAATTTCATACGCTCTGGTCTTGTATGTATTTCCCAACTAATAAACGAGAGTGGCGAGATGATAAAAAAAGAAATAAAAAACGTAATGAGTTTATTATAAAAAATCTAAAAAAAGTCCTTTTAAAAAAAAGAAGACTAAATAAGAATCCAATACGACATCCTGACTACTTACGCCTCTCTTTGTGTAGAATACTACCCTAATATACAATACGAATACTTTGAAACAATATTTTCATGTGTGCTTGAAAATATAAAAAGTGATAATTTAAAATTGTAATTTCGTGCTGTTTCCACAATAATAAATTTCTTTAAAGAAATAATAGAAGAGGATGAAGATGAATAATCATAAAAAAACATTAAATTAATTTTTGAAAAATACTCAGATAATTTATTAGAAGGAATTGCCTTTGTATTTTCCTAAAATTTAAATTCTAAAAAATCCTATTCTCATCTAAGAGTACTTGAAGAGACTTTAATTGCACTTTCAACAATAGCAATTTCTCTTTAAAATGCTTTTTCTAAATACTATAATACATTTATGCCTGGTTTAACTATTATTTTATAGACTATATAGCCCACAACTCCTTAAGAAATCAGTATTAGGACCTACACTATAGAATGTATGGGCTATTTATTAACTTCAATTAAAGAAAATAAATAGATTTTTAACTAAGACTGTCCTGGAATAATGAACGAATTGATAGCTATGTAAAACAATCCCAATATAGAAGAAGACGACCCTCATCATGCTCCTATTTTTCTAGTTTACGGCTAAGTAGCTGAAGCTTTATAGGGAGATTTTTCAGTTTATTTACCTTAAGTTATTAATAAAGTTTTAAAAGGAATTGATATTGAAATAAACGTGAAAATTAGTGAAGATGAGAAAACTAACGTAAAAGATAATAATAAAATTCAAAAACTAAACCTCGATTTTGGTATATATGGGGGACTTAAAACCCTATAAATAAACACGTCAGCCCTAGAATAGAAAATAGAAGCTTTTAACACACTCTAAGTAATAATAAATGTGATGAAAAACTACGATTTTTCTTAATATATATAAGTTTGTGTTTAGAAAATTTCCTAATATATAGGATTTAAATACTCTTCCGAAATCAAAGAAGTGGCCATAAAGTCTGTAAAACACCTTATTTTAGCCTCCAAAAACGACAATCCTTAAAAGGAATAAATTTATAACATTTTTTTACCTTTATTATAAGTTTAATTACAAAATTGTATAAAAGAAGAAAATGTAGATGATTGCATTTTAATTATATCCAATTTGGCTGAATGTTTGAAAAATATAAAATCTTTTAGTCATGATAATAGTATTATTTTTGAATAAATAATTGATTTATGTTTAGAATGTTAAAAACTGTCAAAAAAATAAAAAAAAAATATAATTAAAGAATACGAAAATTAAGATATGGACGAGCACACTCAGGAAGAATTCGAAAATAAATACGATGAAGCAAATGAAATAATGGAATGTAAATATAAAAAAAAAAAAAAAAAAAAAAATTTTTTTAGCTATGATAGATATTATTGGACAAGCATTGAGATTATACAAAAATCTGGAAAACAAAATCGTTAATAATCTACTTCCAGATTTTTATGAAGTTTTTAATAAAGAAAAAAGTTCTGATAATGAAATAAATATAGCTATTTGCGTATTTGATGAAGTCTTTTAAAATAGTTCTTAAAACGTATATATATATATATATATATATATATATATATATATATATATATATATATATATATTTATATATATATACATATTTTTATATTTATTAATCAATATTTATATTTTTTTAAAAAAAATAATATTATATTTATATAATTTATATAATAATTATTTATTATATATATATTTTTATTTTCGAATTTAGATTATTGATAAAATATATAATGATTTGCTTCTTTTACTTATAGATTATACACTTTAATATGATAATAATGATATAAAATAAAGTAGTATTTTCGGAATAGGAATTCTTGCTATGAGATGTAAAAAGGAATAATTTATTTAATTTTAAGACAAAGCTTTATAAGCATTATTTGATTTAGTAAATAATAATTAATATTAATAAAATGAAAATAAAATCATATTAGAAAACGCTGTTTCATCTATAATTAAAATTGCTTTTTATTAAATTGAGGATATTAATATAAGAAATTAAGCTTTAAAATTAGCTATAGGACATTTGCCTTTATCAAAAGATGTTGAGGAAGCTTAGAATATACATGAATTATTGCTTAAGTGTTTAGTTGGAAATATTTAAATTAGTTTTGATATAGGAATTTAATAAGACTTATTATAGGTTGTTGGTAGAATTAAAAATGTTATATAAAATAAAGAATATTAAGATATTTTAAATACTAATTCTTTAGAATTAATTAAATAAATTAATATTTGACAAAAATATAAAAAATATATATATATATTGGTTATTTATTTATAAATAAAATTTTATTTTAAAAATTAATTTAATTTATCATAAATATATTGGTAATTAAGAAAAATTAAAAAAATGATATAAAAATATATTTAAGACTTAGATTTTTAAAAAAATTAATTATTTTAAGACTAATATAGGCCTATAAGAAATATCTAAAATTAACCAAAAAAGATATTAAAAAGCAATTTATAAAATATATAATAAAAACAATATTATTTAAATAAATCATTAAATATAAGCTATTTCACATAATAAGTAGATTTGAAAAAGAATCCAAACAAGTAATAAAATAATATAATAATTGAAGTAATTAAATATTTAAATATAAAAATAAGATTTTAATAAATTTAAAGAAAACAATATTTAAATAATAATTAATCATTTCAATTAAAATAGTATCTATGTATTAATGATAATAATTATAATTAATAAGATTATTTAATTCCAAAAATAATATACTAAGATAAAGAATAATTATACTTAGAAATATTATAATATAAATAAAAAATTAATTAAATTTAAAATGAAAGTATCAAATTAAAAACAAGAATACAATAATTAGAAGTTTCTTTTTTAAAAATAAAATAAAAAAAAATACTTAAAATATTTTTATATAAAGAAAGAAAATTTAAAAATGAAAAAAACCTTTGTTGAAAATTAGAAAATTAAAGGTTAATAATAATAAATAATTCCCAAAACAGAAGTATATAATAAAAAAATATATATATAATCTTATAAAAAAAAAATATATAAGGAAAAAACAGTTTAAATTATGTAATAATAAATTAAGGACTTATAAATCCAAATCGAATATTTATAAGAAACAAATAATAAAATTAAAAAATAAGCAAAGTTTACTAAAATTTAAGAATTAGTAATATAATATTAAGCCTAATAAGAAGAATCGTAAAGGCTTTATAAAATACTATAATAATATAATAATAGGTACTTAATAAAATAAAATTTATATAAACATAAAATTTAAAATAGTCAATATAATACAAATCAGAATAAAAATGAAAATAAATAATAATAATAAATAATTGATAAACTGTAAATAGATAATTAAGAATTAAATCAATAATTTAAAAATATAACAAAATAGAATATTTAATTAAATGTAATATTTAAATAATATTAATATAAATAAGAATTATATAATTTAAAAATAAAATAGTAATAATATAATTAATTAGAATAATAAAATAAAGTTTAAGTAAATGCTTTAAAAATAAATTTAAAAGATAAAGACTAAGAAATAAATGTATTAATATAAAAAATAAAAAGCATAGAAAATTAATAATCATAAAATACTTAAACAAATAATTAAGATAATACAGATTATAAGTAAAAATGTATTAATAAATTTTTTTCATATATTAAATTTAATTAAAAGTTAAATAAATAATTTCTAAGAAATTTTAGAAGAAAAAGATCAAATAATTAGGTGTTTACAAGAAAATACTGAAATTTAAAAAATTTAATTTTAATAATAATAAGAAAAGTTAGAAGAATATAAATAAAAATTACAAAATTTAACAAATAAACTATAAAACTAATAAACGCCAAAAAATGATGTTTAATATAAAAACTCATAAATAAATGAAAATTATTATTAAAGAAATGAAAATTAACATTAAATAAATGAAAATTAACATTAAAATAATTAAATTTAATAGTAAAAAATATAAAATAAATAGTAAAATAAAGAAACAAAAATATAATAGTAAAAATATTTAATATTATATATTAAATAATAAATAAAATATATATAACAAAAAAGGTTTATTTAAAAAGAAATTAAATAAGTATAAAGAATAGATATAAAAATAGCAGAATAAATAGGTAATTAGTTTTATATAATATTAAATTTTATTTAACTAATAATAATAATAATAATAATAATAATTAAATATAAAAAAGGAGATGAATTAAGATATAGATTAATGGCGAATGGTTTAGATAAATAATAGGTTTTTGAAATATATTTTTCTGATTTAAATGCATAAATTTCATATAGTTCATTAGAAAATTTATTTATATAGTTTTAATTTTTTATTTTTATTTTATAAAAATTTTTTTTTTTTTTTTTTAATAAAGAGAACCATTTAACTTAAAAATTTAAAATTCTTAAATATTTACTTAATATATAATGGAAAATAATAATTCATAATAATAAATATAAAATAATAAATTTTAAACTAAACAGGTAAAAGAAATTAAACAAATTTTATAATAAATGATTCCATAATATGAAATATTTTCTTAAGAAGAAGCAGAATAAATGTATGAAGATATAATAAATGTAAACTAAATAAATTCTTTTTTTGTTTTGTTTTAACTAAAATAAAAATAAAAATAGTTAATAGGAGATGAACTCTTAAATTTAAAAAATTTATTTGATTAATGTAGTAATGAATTATAATTAATATCCAAAGAAAATTTCATTTAATAATTAAATTAATTAAACATTAATTTAGAAATTTAACATATTGACTTTATGGTTATTAACATGATTGATGATTCTTAAAATTTAAATGAGTTAAATTATTTGGTTTTATTATCTATTTTAAATTAAAAAAGTCAATAAAAAAGTTATTTAATTTATTCTTTTATTTAAAACTTAAAAAATATTTAATATAATATTAAGATTAAAATTCTAATACAAAATAAAATTAATAATATAATGAAATATAAAACAATATTTAATAAGATTAATAATAAGATATCTATGAATAAGGTTTATTTAATATAATATTAAAATTAAATAATTATTAAAAAATAATATTTTTATATAATTAGATGAATTTTATGAAGATGTTGAAGATATTAATAATTAAAATAAAAATTATTAATAAAATGATGTCGATGAAGTAGAAATAAAAGAATATTAAGAACAAAATAAAATTGAAAAGTAAACTAATGTAAAAAATTAATAAATTAATTAATACTTATTATTATATATATATATATAAAAGGATAATTATGACTATGATGAAGAAAATGAAATTTTATCAGAAGTAGAAATAATGTGATAATTTTTTAAAAATAAAATTATATAAATTTAAAAATATAAAATTTTAGATTTTTTCGAATATAATAAATATTTAAATCATAATAAAAAATTATATATATTTTTTAACATAGATATTTATTAGTATATAAATATTTTTAAAAATTAAATTTAATTATATTTTATTTGTATTATGAATAATTTAAATTTTATATTTATTAATAAAAAAAAAATTAAGTCTATTAAAATTGTGAAAAATAAAATAAAAAATAATTTAAAATTAACATATAAAAAAAAATATATATATGTAGTATATAGATAAAAAAAATATATATAACTATATATATATAAATTTATTAATATATATATATATATATATATATATATATATATAATATATTAT